TTTTGAAAGGCTTTCATAAATTTTTAACTTAAAAATAATTTTGAAATCATAGAAAAGTTTCCTATATCATAGTTTTTTTACCAAAAAGTGTAAGGGTTTTTAAAATACTGTTAAAAATACTTATAAAAGTAACATATAATTGAAGATCAAAGTTCAAGTGATTATAAACTACATAACTTTATATATTAATGTTTTTTATTTACTTTTTAGACAGATTGTTTTCAGTAAAGGAAAGGGTTTTTCTAAGCCTAAAGCCTAAAATTCTCTCCAAATAGTTCCAGGAAGGTACTTTTGATAAGATTGCCTTGAAGTTGAGTGGATTGCTTGTAAAACTTAATAAAGTATGTTACTGTATACTTTGAATGGTTTCAGACATTAATAGCTTATAACTGTTTCAACAATAACTGACAATTTTCCAAAGCTTATAACTTTAAATTTTCATCAAAAAGTATGAGAAAATTTTCTAAGATATTTGAACGAGTATGTGAAGATTGTTTCTAAGACTTTGTTGAGTATATTACTACGTGTTTTGAAGAGTGCTAAAGACATTTTAGCCAAAAATATTTTCATCGAAAATTGCCAGTTTCCTTTAGAATATGGATGTTTTCTATTGAATAAAGAAAAGAACGGACATAATTTTGAAAATATTACCTAAAAGTGCTTCCTAATCATTTTTACGAGATCATAAACCATATATTTCAAAGTTAAGTCTCTTTTGACCACTTTTGAAGTGCAAAGGTTATCGATCAAAAACTCACATTTCAAAGCCTATAGCATTACTTTCAAGCTTACTTAAAGGGTAGCAACAATTCAGTTTTGGAAGAAGATGCTGATAATTTGCGTTATCAAAGTGTTTTACAACCTCGGAGCTGTATTTTGAAATGTGTTTTTGACAATTTTTTAGACAAAAATTGTCCCATCCAAGCTAGCCTCTTTTCCTAAGCCTGTAGCTTGCTTTTAGAATACTCCTTAAAATGAGTCCAAGTTGTTTTAAAGTTGCTATCAAATTTATAATGATTTTCGGTTGATTTGATTTTCGACTTGCAAGAAATTGTTTGCCTTACCTTGCGATTTGACTAGAAGATTGTTTGAAAAAGATGGAAATTCCTTCTAAAATATCGTCTAAATTGCCTATTCAGATCATCAGAGAAATATTTTCTGAAAAGAAAATACCGATATCGAGAGAAAGAATGAGCTGTAGCGCGGTAAAAAGTTTTAAAAAGACAAGGGGAGAACAGCGCCATCATGTTTGTAGCTGTAAAGAAATTTGATTTTTATCACAATATTCAAATAATCAAGTTCCTCTCAGTCATTGCTCGATCCAATTCCAACCAATTGCAGAAGTTCTTTGACTTTCAAACTCATTTACTTTTATTTGAACTTTTGAACTGATTGAAATAGTCAATTACTACACAAAATAGTCTGTCTCTTGCCTCTTAAAGCAGTTGATCACCCGGAGTTGATTATCTCTTGGCTCTTAAAGCAGTTGATCACCCGGAAATTTTGCTTTTGCCAAAACTGCTCTTGAAGCATTAAAACGCTTTTAGGTACTAGATCTTATTTGTTTATTTTTCTTATAAAAATTTGGATTGATGATTAGATTGCATAATGCATTTTTACAGGAAACGTTTTTCTTTGGATTTCGACATCTCTTGTAGGCAATGACCTATATAATGGCTTTATACGAGCACAATTAGATCAAAATCTTTGGATCCAACTTATTTTGTTTGATAAAAGGCTTACTCTTCTAAGAAATATAAAAATGCATTAAATTTTATGGAAACGCCTATGTGCGGTACACTGAAGAGCGATGTATAATTTGATAATTTGGTCAAGGAATTAATCTGTATGCTTAAAAGATTTGTTGAAAATAGAAGAGAAATTTTTTGCCAAGGTTATCACAAAACATAGAATAATATTTCATAATGGTTTGAGACCTTTAAGCTTGATTTACACGAGACGAATTTTTTGCGCGAAGCGAATTTTTCGCCACGAATTTTTTAGCTGCGAATTTTTCTCTCGAATTTGAAGTTCAATTCATACTGGCGAAATTTTTATGCGAATTCGCTGCGAATATTACAAAAGAATATAGCGACTGTCCGAAGAATGCTCTTATCAGCAAGTTTAAAACTTCAAATTTATCAAAAAAGCGATACTGGATTAGAAAAATTTATTCAGGACGTCTTCAGAAGGGGGAATTCCATCTTTCGGTAAGAGAGGTTTACGTTTACATTTATAAGACCAGTATAACTTCTTCAAATACTTTCAAAGGTCGCTATCGAAGCTTGCACAAGCATGCGAGATCCTGTTAGTGCATCTGCTTAAAACTGTTGCTGTTGAGCAGGCCAATAAGCAGCCAGTAATTGAGCAATTTGAAGAAATTATTGCCTATTTTTTTTATTTCTGCCATATTGGTAAAACGATGAAACTTTCAAGCCAGTTTTCGTCAATTTGAAATTCAAATGTTTGAATAATAATCTGATATAAATCAACTTACATGGATTGTGTAGGAGGAACAGGAAATGAATAATTACCAACCTATTTTATTGACGTTTTAAAGGCGAGAGTATTTGAGAAAAAGAATGCGGAAAGACGTAGGCCATTTGAAACCAAAACAGAAGTCGGGTGTCTTTAAATGCTGTTCTGATTGGTTTATTTTACAAGGCGAAAAATTTTGCAGCGAAAAAGTAGGAATGGTTTCTACTTTACTGCAAATTCGCTGCGAATTTTCTAATCTCTACTTCTGCGCATATTTTTCGCGCATTCGTGGCGAAAAATTCGCCTCACACGAAGAAATTCGTCTCGTGTAAATCAGGCTTTATGGTGAATTTTGAGTAAGTAATTGTTACCAATTGTTTTCAATGCATAGTAACGTCATGTCATCGCTTAATAAACTTGTTTATTTGTGTTTTTGTTGCTTATAACATGTTATCAAGATAAAATATGGAACTAAGGAAGTTCCTTATTTTATCTTGATGTTATGATATAACAAGTTAGCATGCTGAAAAAAGTTTATGATAGCAGTCTGATGTTGGCTCAAAAAGTAAGGCTACATAAGCTTAAGAACAATGCTCATCTCAGAGAGTTAACAATCAGGCTAAAAATTTCTTTTAATCATGAAATTCTTTCAATACGCTAATGATCATTAACGAAACTACTCAACATGAGGTTTATGACAGTTATCTTTAACATTAAAACATTGGAAAACTCACTTGTGCGGAAATGCTTTGGAATTTCTACGTAAAAACGCCGCTTAAAAAGAGGACTGTAAACAAATTTCATTACGATGTATACTGGAACTGTGCATGCACCTGTAAAAGACATCAAATTAATCGTTATAATCCTCTATAAGTTAGAATAATTAGCACTCTATGACGAAAAAGTTTTATCTTGATGTTATGATATAACAAGTTAGCATGCTGAAAAAAGTTTATGATAGCAGTCTGATGTTGGCTCAAAAAGTAAGGCTACATAAGCTTAAGAACAATGCTCATCTCAGAGAGTTAACAATCAGGCTAAAAATTTCTTTTAATCATGAAATTCTTTCAATACGCTAATGATCATTAACGAAACTACTCAACATGAGGTTTATGACAGTTATCTTTAACATTAAAACATTGGAAAACTCACTTGTGCGGAAATGCTTTGGAATTTCTACGTAAAAACGCCGCTTAAAAAGAGGACTGTAAACAAATTTCATTACGATGTATACTGGAACTGTGCATGCACCTGTAAAAGACATCAAATTAATCGTTATAATCCTCTATAAGTTAGAATAATTAGCACTCTATGACGAAAAAGTCTGGCTTTGATTATTCTTGCCAAATCAAAAACAGAATTTTGTGCTTATTGAGGAAAATCCTGCCCATGCAAGATCGTTTTGAGACAAAGACATAAAAAGGGCCTACTCAAACTCTGTGCTCAATTTATTTTTTGTGTTAGCTAGAGAAGGTGACTTTTTCTGAAGCAAATTACGAAATGGTAGAGACATAAAAACAAATCATGTTTTATGCTAATTCAAAGTTCAGCACAACAAATTTGCCTTTTAGTTTTACTTCTTCTTACCTTTTTCCCAAGTTATTTCTTTATCGTTAAGGGAAATTCGTCTCTTAGTAGGATCACTCCTTTTTAGTCCAACATGTTTCATAATTTCTGATTGGCTAACTTTTTTATGACTTTGCTTCCAATGGAATTTTAAAATTGAATGAATTAACTGAATCAGGGCCTTCGACGAAGGGGGGGCCGGGGGGGCCTTGGCCCCCAACTTTTTTGAAAATCAATGGAGTTTTTTTCAAAATATTTTGTAATGGATGTTGAATTTTCCCTTGAGCCCCCCACTTTTCAACCTTTGTCGGAGCCCATGCTGATTGTAATAAAGCTTTCTCTAAAGTGGGTATTTCACTTTCGGTGTGATCACGGTGGTTTCATGTGATATCGGCATCCGTTTTTTAACATTTTCTATCGACGGAAACTGTTTTGTAAATCAGTACGACGTGAGTTCATACAATCAGTGTCAGGCTCATTAATAGTATTGCAGCTCCAAAACGTATTTGGGTATACCCTCTTCTTTTATCACGACTCAGTGTCTTAAATGATTGAAAAAGTTATGGAAACGTTCCCTTCTATTAATTTGGCCCAGTCTTGGAACAATAAAGTTCTGACTAGAATTGCCTTTTGGTTTAAGAATACTTTTGTCACTTCTTGCTGAACGTCAAGCTACCAGTGGTAAATCCGCTTCTGGTATGCTAGAAACGAGTCATTCAAAAACGGGCAGTATTAATTTCGGTAACTTTGTATCGTAGCTAGAGATTTCGTTAATTTCACAGCTAGATCAGCTCAGCTTCCTGCAATAGGTTAGCCTTCGCTTAATTTTGTTAAGTAGCTTGAAAAACAGTGTAGTTTGCTTTAGGAATAGAATCCTGGGTCCTTGCCTAATCGAAATTTTATCTTATGATATCACTTAGCGTAGAAAGAGTTGCTGATTGATGACAATTGATAGCAAAATTGTCGTCACTTTTCTCTTTCTCTAACAGCACTTAACTCAACAGTACGTTCATGATACAACTGCACCTAACAACAGCTACTAAAAGTGAGCAACTGTGAATGCTGGCCTTTCGTTTTTTTGTGTATTTCGTGAATTGTTTGCCATTTCCCACAGCTGCTCAGTAAGCAGCTACTTCTGTTTGAAAAGTTGAGTCTTTCTCAAAAACGGGAAGTTTGTCAAAAAAAGAAACGCTGATAACGTGTTATCTGCACAGTGCCTTAGGGTAACGTTGAATGAAGCTCCCGCGAAAGGCATGCCGCGAGATATCTCGCGCGGTCTTATCAATTAAAAACCAAAAAGGGATTCTGAAGCAAATTCGACTTAACTAGCATACTGTTTCCAGCAAAATACATAAAATGACGGGGCGAACAGTCTTTCATCGTTTCCAAGTGTTTGCTTTGCAATGAGCCCCGGCACTTGTCATAGGATTCCGCTATTTTATAGGAAGTTTCTAAAAGAGAGCAACCAAACCATGGCCGCACGGAATAATGAGCACAAAAGTGTGACGCAAGCTTTTGCTTTGGCTGGTGAGAGTCTGTTTGTAGACCAAAAAAGTCTTTCTTGGGAGGCTACCATTCTGTCTTGACGATCAGTAAGTCTATTTTTACGTATGAAATTCCTCATTTTGCAAGTTTTTAACAAGTAATTTAGCTTGGTAAGTCTCTATGAAGATGGCAACACTTTCATTTTTCTAATAAGTCTTACCTGTTCCGGAAAAAGTATCTTCAATGAGCATAACTGTGCTTGAAAAAAGTGACAACAAGCACAATACTGTCCCGGAATTTTCAGCCAAAAGTGAGAGGCTATTGGCAGGCACATCCCCGGGTAGTCAGTGTATAAAGTAGGCCTCTCTGGGAGCCACATTCACTGGAAAGTTAAATCAAACTCGAAAGTCAAAATTCTGGCGCCATAAATTGAATATGTAACAAATAGGGGATACATAATATATGTTGCATTCTCCGTATGAATGCAATATTTTCATGAGTTCTGTGAGCCGAGACCAATTCAATAAAGAAAGCAAATTTATTTTCATAATGGCGTGTTGATTGTAAGGTGCTGGGTAATTTTCTCAAATATGAACTGGTACCATCATGAAACATTTACCAAGTCATAATAGGAACGATTCGGACTCAAATGGTGATGTTTATAATGTCCAAATATAATTAACAATAGCAAAGTATTTATTGATGTCTCAAACAGCACATAATTGGGTCTGGCTAAAGTGCAACATCAAGTTGTAAAGGATGCTGAAAATTCAATTTTTCATGTAGCAATAAACTATTATACAAGAACTACTATCTATTGATTCATGTTATAAGGTCCAATGGAACTTCTATAAAGTGGACATCATTTATTCAAAAAAGCCAAGAATATAATGATTATGTTTGACTATCTACAGATTTCTGGCGATAGGATAGTAGCAATGAAAAAGGCGATTAAATTTGTGCTGGAAATTTTTGTTTCCATTTTTTATTGTTTTGCTTTAAATGCATTGTTACTTTAAATTCTTTTAAAGCAAAGATTCTAAAATCTGCGTTTAACCATTCAACAGTAAAAGATTTCTCAATTAATGTTGTACATAAAGAAATGAGGTCCAACATTGTTGGCGTATCTGCTTTACCGAGTGTCCGCTTCATATCTGTCTGCTTTATAGGTTATCTGTTGTGGGATTTCGTTTTACTTTCACTCTTAAAAAGATTTCAAATTTCTAGTGTGTCTATCCTTTAAAGATTCAATAGCAACATAGCGAATTCCCACAAACTATTGAAAGTATGAGCATAGACCAGTAACGGAAGCCAGCTGCTATGGATGGAAGTTGAGAAACGTTTGTTATTCAAAAAGTGTATTTAAAATTATATTTGATAAATAAAGTGTGATGATATTCAAAATATTATTGTACTTTGTCAATTAGGCTACATTAATTTGGCTATAAATTACCATTCCTAGAAATGTAATTGCAGTTATTTTTGTTTGAAGCTTTTCTTCTTGGTGTGACGAATTTTATTCGTTGTCGTCTCTTGAAAAGTAGCGAAAGAGATCATATAAAATGAATATAAAGTATAAACATAGATACAAAAATTCATGTTTATAAGCTAGATAAGTAATTTGCATCATCAAAAAATAGATCCACTTGCATTACAAAGACAAGGATTTGGATTTGATTTTGATCTAGGTAGCAGCTGCGGGATTGTGAATAACAAAACGACAGCGAAGAGGACAACTTTACACACTCATGTTAAAGAAGATCTCCAAAAAGAAGCAATCTTGTATATAGAATGCTTTAAAAACTACATGAATAGTCACCCAAGCATAGGGAAGTCTTGTTTTCAGTTGGATATGGTCAGTATGTTCCAGTGATACAAACATTTCAGTCTGCAAGCCATAGACCAATTCGACTAACGGCCTCGTTTTGAAAAAATCTTCAAATTCTTTTGTACAAAATTATTAACCTCAGATTTGGATTAAGAGCAATGATTTTTGGTAACATTCTCAATAGGCAAGCGGCACTGATTGGTCAACCTCAACAGTCATGTGTTCGTGTTTCTGATTGGCCTATTTCGATCCACAACTGGGTATATATATTTCCTAGCGTAGAGTTTTCGGTCTATGTTCTGACGTTTTAAACTCTGAAGAGTGTCAGACAAAAAGCTTTAGTTTACTAAATGTTTGCTATTTTCAAAGCCATTTTCAAGCAATGATTTTAATCTACTTGAAAATTTTCATTATGGTATTGCTCATGATATTGATTTTATGACGACATAAAGATAAAAAATTTTATAAGAGATTTGGCTGTGATTGGCGACTAAGGGGGTAAAGTTTCACCCAGAATGATTTTTGTGGTCAAATTCCTTGCAAGTCTTCAAACTTCATTTCTCCATAAAATCTAAATTACAAGCACAAACAAAATGAAAAATTGTATCCAGCCTAAATCTATTGTGATAAAACCAAATCTGAGCTTAAAAAAGTCGTAATAATTAAATTTGGAGAAATTTCCAAAATGAGGCCGTAAGTCGAATTGGTCTATCTCTTCAAAGGTGGGAGGACAAAATTAATCCAATGCAGCCACTTCTATAATTACAAACTGACAATGAAGCACTATATCATGACGTAATTCTCCAAAACTCATTTCTTTTTGCATCCACGCTAATTCAATCGTAGCTACAATTGCGACAAGTGCATCGGCTCTCGACAGTATTCAAAGAACTTTTAATTGTCAATTAGATCTTTTGTAAAGAATCAATCTGATTTTTATTTACCATTATCTACAGATCTTTAGAAGTTTCCCAGGAAAAAATTCTCAACATTTTAGCCAAAGAGTTGGAAGCTCATGATTCTCAGTTTCTTTTCAATTCAATCAATTCATCCTTTTAGCTTATCTATCAGATAATCAATAAAGGAATATTTCTAGTCAGAAAAAACACCTGGCAACATAATAAATTTCCTTTTGCTTTGAAGAGGAGCTTTGATAGAGTTCACATTCAGATAAGTTGTTTCGTGTTGTACAATGTATTGATCAAGTTAACTTTTAATTTGAGTCAGTTCATCGGGTGGCACTCTTTGCAACCTACACAGGCACAAAGCTACATCTCTACGTTATTGCGACTATATCTCACTGCTCCTTATGAGCTGGTGCAGATTTTAATGTACGAGATTTTATTCCTGTTTCTTCACAGTAGTCCATTAAAGATTGCAACAGATGCAAAAATTTTGTGACTTTACTCTTAGATTCTATAACAGTGTCTTAATTATGCTATGTCTTAAGGAAATTCATATGACTTGGAATTGCCAAACATGGAAGTACTTCTTCTGTATACTTGTGCCAAAATCTGGACCTTTGAAAGGTATTTTACTTTCCTTGGTCTTTTGTCCCTCGTTCACTGGTTGGACACAACTCACGTAGCTGTTGAGGTGGGCACACTTGAGCAAGAGCTGTTGTTACGATCACTGTTCTGTGGCTGCACCCTGGCACATGCTCTTGAGCCAGTGGCCTCGTTCTTGGCACATGCCTTTCACCTGTCCACGTCCACGTCCACCACAGTTTTCGCAAAAGTCGATTTCCTCATTTCTCGAAATCCGCTGAAAACCTTTGGGAGGGGGAGAGCTGGGCTTTTCAGATCGATTTTTATACTGGCAAAAATGTTACCAAAAATGCTGCTTGAGAAAGTTGCTTGTCCAAAAATCTCATATTTTCCAAGAGTCTGAAGGATGTGGCCGAGAAAATTTGTTTTTGTCAACCTCGAGCTGGCGACGCAACTGTCTTGAGCGCAAACTAAAAAACCGCCCACTTACCATTAATGGCTTTCACATCCTTCATGCGTCGATGGTAGAGAAATTCTCAAAAACAAACATGTGCTTGTCTAAGTTAAGACATTTTTTATGTGTCAACGGACTGTAACCTACGATTTTTACTGTCGGTGTCGCAGGCCATAATTGGACACTTGGAAGTAATGCTTATTTTCCCACCAAATTTTGAAAAGTATTAGTATCAACAATTTCATCCAATTTGAAAATAACGTATTTCCTGAATTCTGAAAAAAGCTAAGATCTAGATTAGGAATAGAGCAACGAGTATAGCTGTTGTTTCGCCCGTGCACAAATTCTGTTTCCACGATTATAATTTGGCTTTCTGCAAGCAGACAGCAGATGATTTTTTTCAAAAAATCTTTGTCTTGATGTACGTTAACAGTACGATTATTCTTTTAAGTTTTGTAAAAATTCAACACAGTGAATTCTCCCAAATACGAACCTATTAAAATAAGTACCCAGTATTTTTCTTAGTTTTGCACCTTTTATTTAAGAACATGCTTCAGTTTCATGAAAAATATGTTCAAATGACAAGATTTATAGATCCTGTTGTAATTATTCAACATTTTGTATACACTGTTTGATGTCCAAAATTTCTGACAATATTTTTGGTTTAGAATTGGTAAATAAGTCATTAAAGACATAATCAGAATCTGTTAGTCAGAGTTTTCTGGTGATGAAATAATAATCAACAGAAAATAATAAATTTTCATTACTGACCTTTACAGACCGATTAATCAAATATACAACTGTCTTTGCTCCCAAGCACACAGAACTTGTTGCAATTGATTTCCTTAGTCTTGTTTTGCCATCAATCTTTCTTGATTCAATAATCGCAGCAAATGAATGTATCGAACAAAGTGTACCGATCCCATCTTCAACCTGATCTCCCCATGCCTGCTGGAAGATTTCAAAGAGAAAGTCGGTAATAATTTTTTAATTTAATCATTGTCACGTTTACTAATGTGAATCAGAGATAGACGCTTGTTTTTTGTCTCCCTAGTATAGCACATAAACTTAGTGATACATGAATATTTTCCTTAAAATGGTCAATCTTGGATCTTCTACCATAAAATGTGGCTTTGCAAAATGTGGTTTTAATATTGCAATGGTATTGGTGTTGACAGATCCGGTGCAATGCTGTTGATACACTTTAGCGTTTTAACGTATTTTTAAGACTTGAATACAGAAATGACGATTTTCAAATGTGTGTGCTATAGCCTACAACTGGCAGCTAGCAATGCAGCTGACGCATATATAAACATCATGGTGAGTGAATTGTAAAGCTGGTTTGCCCATAAGTGACTCTCATAATACAAGGAACTTCATGAAACCATCGTCAACGAAAGCCCAATTAACTTCCTCCAGTTAAGTGCAACAAGATATATGAGTCGACAGGAATGTATCAGAAGGATAACAGATCAATATGATGCACTTCAAATATGATGTCAATTGGCAGGTTGTAGTCAATTTAGCGTTCCTGGTATTTTCTTTCGACAGCGAATATCGATAAGTCAGTGAACGGGTGGCCTAAGCCAATGGACCTAGGCCCCAAATAAAAAGCATATTAAAAAACTCCTCCGTTGATGGAATAACCTAAGCCCGTGGTCAACACACAAACCAAATTAAAGGGAAATTATCTAACAAAAACGTCATACTACATGTTGACAGACAAACACTTTGCCATGAAAAGGTATTTACTAACACAACGGGTGACTTTCACATGCAACTGAAACGCTATTAAATTGATAAGATGTAAAAGCCAAACAGTTACCAGGAGAAATATTACACTACTTTACAGCCTTCAGGAATGTGTCAAGATCGAAGAAAATAATTTGTTGGCGTTTCTAGGAGGTATTCTAAAAGATATTTCAAGAGAAAGCATTGATCAAGCACTTTGAGCTCTCTAATGCAGATGGTGTTTGACTTGGTGCAAATCGTCCTCAGTTTTACCATTCACTTCTACAACGTATTGCAAGTCAAAAGAAGCTCTAGAAGAAATCTCTAAATGTTTTATTCAGTTATTAAGACTGCAAGAATGTAATGCCACTAACCTGTATTGGTTATTGATTTGCATTTTTGAGCAGTGCAGACAGCCTCCAGCTACAAGAAAATTACCTTCAGAAAGTCAAAGCAAGATGCGTAAGGCATCTCATAAAAGGAACAGAAGAAGTACAAAAGAAACTCGGAGCTTCCCAGGACATGATGCATAGTTTCAGGCAGTGACAACCGGAACCGAAAGAAGTTCTGAAGACATCCTCGGATGTTGGTTCAATAAAATAGGAGTGGGGTCAGCAGAAGCTGACAGAGATCTCTAAAGATATCAAAACCCAAATGAATTCCGTCGCTGGTGAGTCAGACTTCGCTAAACTGCCACTTGGCACAAGTTGTCTAGGCATTACATACTCGTTTCCCTATTTGATACTTTGTTCAAAACATTTTCTTCTGATTATCTAAAGGAACGATTCTTGATGTTGATACGATCGACTTTCTTGCTTCTGTTGAGAGTGCTGTCGTTTATTACATTTCATTTATTGTATTCCTGTCCTTCTTCTAGAGATTCCTTTATAACTTTTGAGAAATGGTTCTTTTATTCAATATGAACAAGAAATTCCATTCCTCTGAAAGTGCAAATAAAGTGAGCTTTTTATTTTTAACCCTATATCTTGTTTATTAATGTTTTTTGTTTTGACTGCAAAGCTCTCTTAACTGCAAATTTGTGAGATGAAAGCAAAATGCTCCTACTCAAATCTGCAAATGTCTCACAATTCGTGACATCATCTGCTGGACAAAAGAGCCATCAGGAAACTAAGTTGAAATTCTACGCTATTCTTGATTGATGTTGACAGACAGAACACACACCAAAAGGAAAAAGCACACCAAAAGAAACATAAAAGTTAATCATCTTTAGACAAAATTTGAAGCACTGAAAAGGATGCAGGCATTGATATTATAGAAAATTTCGTTGCCTCTGTTTCCAATTTACCTTATGGCTGCTTGGCTCAGCCGTAACTCTAGCATACTCGGAACATAACTTGAAACAGTTATAACGCTAATTGTGAATGTTCAAAGGATCAATGTTTTTCAATGCTACACAGGTGATTTTTATTTTTTTACAAGTAACGGAATACTAAACCTAGTATTTCTATTATTACTTTGAACAAATTATGGAAACTTGAAATATGCCTTCGATGTTACATTTTCAAAATCTACATACCAATGGTGAATAATTAGGATTTTTCCCAATGAGTCAATTGAAAAAGACAAGCGATTTCTTCGTTATTTTAAAGTTTCATTGCAGTGGTGTCAACAAGAGTTTAGGATGCTTTCAAACATACACTTCACAAAGCCATGCTTTCATGTGAGGCACAAAAGGGATCAGCCTTCTAATTTTTTGTTGATTTAGAATTCTTTCAAAACATAGAGATTTAAAGTTTTCTTTTTTAAGTAGAGTTAAATCTATTTGCAGAATCGTCACTGTATAAGGTATTAATTGCTTAATTAGATTTATTTCTGTAAAGCATCAAAGACTAGCGTGTAATTAAATTTTCATGGGATCCGCTGTTTTCCTTGTATCATAATTTTCGGATGGTTTTGTGAGCTGAATTTTGAAAGATAATGTTTATCTCCACTTGTGTCAGAATTCAAAATTCTTCAGAAAGAAAAAAACAGTTTAAGATGAAACGAAAAAGCTATTTTGTCCGCCGACCCTGCTGGTATATCCAATTGTGGATGGCAAAAAGCGAGAGAGAGGAAAGCAGCATTTGATTGGCTCTTTTAGTTTGAGCAATCAGAGATGGCTTAATCCTCATGTGATTGAAACATTCGAGTGTTAAAATGAACTCTTTCTGGCTGTATAATCCAGAGTTTTTGTCATACCGTAGATATATGTTTTCTAGATAACATTTTGAAAAAAAAACAAAAATAATTATACGAGTTTTTGCAAAGTTCCAACTTACAATACGCTATTTGGATGGAAATCTTGATGTCTATCTAGCGTTAATTCTTTTTGCATAATTGTAAATATTCCCATCCCTTGAAGATTCTATAACACATAAATTTGATAGATTTTTCGACAAATGTAATCGATCCATTTGTAAAAAGTAAGTAGTTATGATTTTCTATATCAGAGAATCTTAGCTACAATGCTACAAGTTCTACTTGCGTCAACTTACAAGCCAAACAGTCATGCCTACTTCACGCGCAAAGATTTCAATTTTGCTATTATGATAAACATGTCTCAGGCCGTTGCTTGATACCTAACTACAAAAGTTTGATATCTGTGCATTCTGAAAATGTTTATTATTAAATTGAATCAGTCAGAAGTATTAGATAAATATTTTTAAAAATATAAGTTATTGTTTTGATTCCTGAGAGTGCAAGAAGAATCTTATGCCCAAAAGAATTAGAAAATTGAATGAAGATAATTTTGCAAGTATCTAAAACTTTGGCACCAAAAATTTAAGCTAAACTGATTGGGCAACCTCAACAGTCATGTGCTCACGTTTCTGATTGGCCTATTTCGATCCACATCTGGGTATTTATATTTCCTAACATGGAGTTTTCGGTCTATGTTCTGGTGTTTTATACTCTGAAAAAGTCAGACGGAAAGCTTCAGTATACTCAAATGTTTGTTTTTTCAGAGCGATTTGTAATTTTTGTACCACCAAAAGATTGCTCCCTTCTTTAAAAAATCAAATGGGTTATTCATAACTCAGTTACTTAACGTCATATGCAAATTTTTTGAAACTTTTACTAAAAACAGTTATTTGAAATTTCAAGCAATTGGAAATATGAAAATACTAGATTGCGTGCGGTACAATATAATGCTATAATAGCGATCAATGTAAGTAAATTGTACCAGGGAAATTTTTTTTAAATAAATAACGACGTTTCGAGCATAGCCCGTTATCAAGTAAAATTGAAAAGCGATGATAGAACTAAAAAACGTTAAAGAAATATGAAATTCGACAAATGGAATAGGAAGATGAATATAAGAGCATAGAAAAGAAACATATAGAAAGAGCTAAAAATAATATGTATATATATACATATTCACAAATACGGAATTTATGTGTATGTTTATATATGCCATATAAATTCTTCTTATTAATTTAAAAAAAAATTCCTGGTACAATTTTCTTACATTGATCGTTATTACGGAAATATGAATAGCTTGCATAAAATTCATTTAGCATGGTAAATTCAGACGTTGTTATTATGCAGTTGAAAAATGGCATGCAAAATCGATGATTCAAAGCTATAGAACCTACTGTTGGAAAATTGGGACCCGTAGACGAAATAGAGAAAAAACGAGAATGCTGATTGGCATGTGTTTACAAAATATCTTCTGAGAATCTTCATCACATGCTGATCAAGCTGTATATGTAGTACCAGACCGAACTTTGCCTCCTCCGAACATATATTCCACATACAGAACTTAAGTCGGCGTTGCTTCGTTGGCAGGAAATTCGATGCAAGTGCAAAATTGGACAGAGACTCCAACAACATTAATGAACCAAAGATTTTTGAGGTCCCCCCGTGATACCGGCTGGTGGACCCCGTCAACTTGGCATGTGTGCTGTTTAGACGAATACGACGGATATGATCAACAGTAATAGATGCAGCCCATGAAACCCAGACGATATTGGTTTCAGGCAGTTTATTGGAAAGGTTGATTTCAAGTGAGTAAAATCTATAAAAGACTTGACAGATAAGAAGAAACTTCAATGGCTTAATCTAAATCGAAATTATTTGCTTAACGCTACCTGTTGGCTTTCTGTAGACCTTTTCGCGATTTGCGAAGGAAGACATTGTGTTTTCACGTGGTAGCTGGCTTTTAATTCAAAACAAGAAGATAACAGAGTACCAGTTTTCAGAAGCATACAATACGTTCGGCGTTGCAAATAATGAAAGCAAGATTTGTACAGATCTAGTTGTTGACGCGATAATCTACCTTTCTAGATCAGTAGTATCGCCATCCGGAGCAAGAGTCATCAAGTCAAAGGTAAGAGCACTTAATAAATTTTTACAAATCTGGGATTGTTTCTGATTCAACCATTATCTCCACATCCAGCACAAGTTACTGAGAATTATTGCATAATCAGAAAGAGATAGTTCGACATCACAGAGAATCAACTATGGAGAATGCTTTGGAGATTCAACTAAATTGCTTGATAACAAGTTATGTTTATGATTGTTTTACAAATGTGCTAGCAATTTTCTTACTATCACCAAGGCCAAAGATAACCATAAGGATTGTTAAACTGAAAGAAAACTTATCATTGAAAGCTTAAGGCGCTTCTGTGGATTGCCTACATAACTTAGAAATTGCATATATTTTGAGTTACAAAACTGACAAAGTTTAGAGCACTGTCCAGTCCTGCAAAATATACAATCACATAAGGAGGTTGAGGGCTTTCCCAACCCGTCAGCCACAAAATGTCTACGTCAGATCACAAATGTTTTCTACAGCAAGCTACTGCTAAGACCTTTTAGTCTGAATGATTTTTCTGAAGATTCACGACTTTTTAGAGTTGTTGTTCTGACCTCCTAAATACTATGTCAACAAATACAGCGTTGCTATTTGAACAGCAAAGAAAAGCTACATGAAATGATGACATCACTCGATGGTAAGATCTGTTAACGACGCACGCGTTCTTTTGTCAAACACTGATTCCAAACACTTTGAAAAAAACAATTTTGCAATGTTATCGACATACAACAAATTTTCGTAAAAAAATGCTAGTATTCTTGCAAATCATCAGAGTTAAATTCTTTTTCTTCTGCCTTTGTTGTGATTATTTTTTTATATTGAAAACTTGATACGGATTCTGTTGCTACTAAGATAAAACTCACACACAATCTGCATTTGATCATCGGTACATAGTACTAGCATTTAGTTTTTGATTCTTTTCCTGAAGGCTGTTACAACCATTACCACAAATTATTAGTAGGAGGTTGAGTTTTAGCAAGCCCCAAAAAGATTGAAACATTTCGTCCGAATCAGAACTAAAATGCACGAGAGTCGGTCCTAAAAACTTTCTCGCTGGCCGCCTTTTTTCTTGCTGATATTGTTTTCGTATAATCATTCATTCTTTTTGTTAAACATCCAATGTTGTTCGTACTCAAGTTGGAACAACTCTCCTCTAAAAATGCTTTATTTCGAGACTTTTCTTACAGCATTTCTATTATTTTGTTATTTGTGGCAATAATTCTTTTTGCTTTGTTGAAGCTTGTTTTCTGATCATAGAAAAAGTGTGTAACCTATAGAAACAACGAAAGGACAGTAGATTTGTGAAATTGTCGTCTTCTTGTGAAGTTACAGATTATTTTCGCTTTGATAAGAGAACATGATAACCTGCAGTTTTGCATAGAACCTAGAAATCCTTTCAATTGTGTTGATGGAGGCTTTTGGGTCATGCCTCCACTTTTTGTCAAAAACGTAAAAGATTGATACATGGACCATCATCAATCCTTTTTTATTTGGTTTACCACACCACGCCCCCCCGCCCCTCCTACATGCTTCCTATCATAGATAAATACACAATTCTAGTAGTAATTGCTCTGCATCATGGTATTCAGAAACATATATCAAGATCTCAAGCGATTTTTATAATCTATATAGTATATCTTGAAGTAATCTTTACTTCTTTCATGTAGAAACGAATTAATTTTCATCTCAAGCCAACCATGGCTAGATAGTATATGTAGCTAAGAGGTAGCAATCAGGAAACTTGAGATAATATGGGACTCGTTCCATGTTCGCCCGCAAGTAGTTCCCTGTTCGAAAGACGATGGACCATGCCTATTCGAGGGGTTCGTCCTATGTTGTAAGCATTTATAGAAGTTCAGCGTCTGCAATTGTGTATTATTACTTTATGAATTCGATCTCTGAAATTTACTTATTCAAACGCTGGTGTTCATCAGAAATATGCTTCTGTCAAATAGAAATCAAGAAAAAGATCTAGTTGAAATCAGATCTGCTTTCTGGCAAAAACTGATGAATCTTCAAAACAATCCAAAATCAATTTTTATTGAATTCCTCAGCTTAGATCGCTAGAAAGCTAAGAAAATCTCACTTTCTTGGCAATAACATTGCTGTGTTAAATTCTCACACCAAACTTTCTCCCTTTCAAAACAGAGTATGTTCTCCATAGCAATACAAATTATAAGCTGGTCATTTGCAGGTGACCGTTAGAACTCACCAGGAATCTTGCAATGAAATTGCAAGCCATTTAGGTGTTCTTTTCAATTATGTTATGCTAAAAGAATTACTCAGTTGTGAAAACGCTCAAACAAGCCCTTGTAAACAACTGAAAAGATTTCTGTCTTGAAACTAACGAACAAATCTCAATTAGCAATCAAGACTTATTATACCGTGTACCTGTTTAGCGGCATATCTAGTCAAAATAACTTTTTTGATACAATTAAAGAGTTTTTGTTACAAAAAATTGTGCATATACAAAGCCCGTGTCTTTTACGTGAATTAGCAACTTCAAATAGTCTCCGAAGATCAATATCTTGGAGTGATACAGCAACGAGCTATTTCAAACTTGCCAACGAAGACCTTAATGAAAGGCCTCAACGAGAAGGGGGTAGGGAACCATGCCCTCTTTCTTCTTTCTTGCAAAAAGATAAGCTATTCGACAAAATCTTCTGCGAACATCCTCTTTAACCAATACTTTGTTATAGAAAAAGGATTCCAGCTAGCTTGTCAGACTGAAATCGCAGCATATCACTATAAAATCATTTATTCTGTAGAACTAATCAAATGCTCTAGATTAAGAATTTTCGAGATTACTTATCTTAAGGTTCCACGTGGATTTGGTTTTCTAATGTTGACCATGCGCAATAGATTTACTGCAGGAATAGGAATAATCCCAGTGCTAAAACAGAGCACAGGAATTTGCTCGTCCGGTTTCTTGGACTCTTTGCTCATCTCTTAGCTTCAAAATTTGCGTTGCCTGCTAATTTTTATTATATTGAGGCCAACGACATGGCCTCGATTGATCAGAATTCGCACTATTTTTCTTCTGCTAGTAGGCTATCAATGCTTGATCTTGCGATAAAATTTCTTCTCCTAGGAAGATCACGTTGAAAAAAGATCAATTAATCTTGATCTTAGCTCAACGAAGAAAACTATATTTAAAAGAGCCAATTTGATAGGGCGATGGGGATGTCGCCTAAAAAAACAGACAAGAGGTTAACTTGTGCAACTTATAAAGATTTAGCTGCAACTCACTTATTTTCAAACTTATTACCTATTTCGGATTTCTTATTACCTATTTTTGACTTGCATATTTCGCCTTTCTTGATATCAATTGAACAGATTGATACAAATGCATGTTGCGCACATCAATTTGATTGTCTTGAAGAACAACATCTCTGAGAGGCAAACTTCTCTGTTCACTTGCGATGCTTTCTTGTGGTTTCAAAGCGCCAGGGGTGGGAATGTATTAAATCAAACAGGCTGGATACCCAATTATTCACAGGTATTATTGCCAGCCATCAATCATTTAGAGCATTAATCGCATGAGAAGGGTCTTCAACCATTTTCTGGTACGATAAAAAGCAAAATGTATGCTACATATTTTGGGTAGGAAATTTCATATCGATAAAAATCAGAGCAGAAAGTTTTCATGCCTGGAAGTTATAACTCAAAGCAAAATCTTTGAATTGCGTAACAAGGCAGTTTTATGGGTTCTTTAAATCGTTCCAATGACTAACTAACACAATGACTAATGTTTTGTGCCCCTACGCCAGTTAGATTTTCATATTTTGTGCACCTACGACAGTCAGAGATATAATGTTTTGTGCACCTACGACAGTCAGACATTCAATGTTTTGTACGCTTACGCCAGTCAGACATTTATTTTTCTGTGCTCCTACGCCAGTCAGACATTTAATGTTCTGTGCTCCTACGCCAGTTAGACAATTAATGTTTTGGTGCAGTTACGACAGTCAGACTTTCATGTTTTGTGCACCTACGACAGTCAGACATTCAATGTTTTGTACGCTTACGCCAGTCAGACATTTAATGTTCTGTGCTCCTACGCCAGTCAGACAATTAATGTTTTGGTGCAGTTACGACAGTCAGACTTTCATGTTTTGTGCACCTACGACAGTCAGACATTCAATGTTTTGTGCACCTACGACAGTCAGACATTCAATGTTTTGTTCATCTACGACAGTTAGACAGTTAATGTTTTAAGCTCCTACGCCAGTCAGACATCTCAAATATGGTTGTCTTAGAGCAGTAAGACATCTCAAATATGGTTGTCTTAGAGCGGTAAGACATCTTATGAAATGTCCTTCAATTCTTCTGATGGATTGAAAGCAAATGTAGCAGCAGGGCAGGAAACTTCTTCGAGTTTGTTAAAAACACCATCAAAAAGCGGTTAAGGCAATAGATTTTCAATTCTTGACAAATTAGTTGTATTATCACGAGCGAAGGTAACTCTTTTTCCGATCTTATCCTGAATGATATTTATAAATCAACAAGCGAGAAAGGAATTATGCTCTTCAAAGTTTTATTTTGTATTTCTTTAACTTGAAAATTTCTACAAACAAGCACAAGATACATTGATGAAGGCAAATGCGCAATTACAAACTAAATAATTTTCAATTTTCCTTTTTATTTTTATTAAATGAACACTAGGCATTTTCTAAGCAGGAATGTCCTGCAATTTTTCCAAAAACATTTAAAAATAGTTAGATGTATAAGAAATTTGTCTTTTGATGTATTATACACACATCGAAATTGCTCAAGAATTGCACTTTTGTCTGCATATTTATGGCTACATGAATGAATGCTACGACTTTTTTCAAAATATAAAACATTTAAGGCATTTTTTGCTACAAAGTTGATCCATAATAGACGAACAGCAAATGCCGTCTTCATTACATAACAACTTTTCGGAAGAAACAATGCAGCTGTTCCAAATTTTTTTGCCGGAAATAATTCATATTTAATGAGCACGTGTGGAATAAATGTTACCTTCATTGCTCCTTCGTCAGAAATTTAGTACATTAGGATAACTTTCTATGAAAATAATTCATGACTTACGCCATTTGTTCAGCTTGCTTTACCAGCTGGAGATCATTCAAGCACACTTATTCCGTCGGACTCAAAGCACTGAAAAAGCGTCGGGTATAAAAGCAAGTCGAGCATGGTTTGCTATGCAGACAAGTCAAGCTGTGAAAATAAACACACATTTGTCAACTTTTCCACGAATACTTCGCAAGAAACGAGAATGACATTCTCAAGAAACAAAATATATATGCTCTTTATCTTTTCTAAAAGCCGCTTTTTAAAATATCATAGAAGTAATTCGACAAAACACACTTCTTGACTACTAGATACACCTTCTGACACACTTATTAAATGTCACTTTAAGATAAATGAGGATGGAGAGAGTGGGACTGTTAAGACAGCTGATAAACATTTCCTCTACCCTTTTATTCGAGTCCTGTTCAGCGTGTTTTAAAGCGAGCGCATTGTATTAACACGCAAGGCGATAAGAAATGCACACAAGCCAGCCAAACTGAAAAAAAACAAACAGAATTGGCCAATATGAAATATATGTTTGTATTCTCTATGTAAACAGTGATTTACATAATCATCCAAATGACCAAAGTTTTCCTTTGCAAGTATGTTTTTGTCTTCACTAAATTTTTTAATTCATTTCACTAAAAATAACAGCCGATTTTGTTTGCTATCAAATTTGCCGAGATTACAACAGTGGAAATATTTATAGCCAAGATTAATGATGATGGGGTTTCTTTAAAGGGAAACTCTGCGTTCAAACTGACTTTTGTTTGATCATTCGCATATTGTTGAAGCTCGGAGCTTTTGCAACCACCTTTCGCACTGTTGATTTTGATCAGAATTAAATGTTCTTTGCTTATTACGTTAAAAGGTACAGAGCAGAGTTCTTAAGCAGGTCAGCAAAGTAAACACTACAACAGTTTCAGTTGCCAAACCAGGGATTACGCAGGCTGTAGAACAAGGTTGGGTTCCAGTGCTTGAATTGTATTCAAAGCGCAAACAGGAAGGCAAGAAGCTCTTCCATTAATTTCAACGACAGAGAAATTGAATACAATCAATACCTGCTGCATTCTGCAATACACAAGGACGTAAATAAGCATTGGAATCTTGACTTAGACTTTTAGGCCATACTCACAATTCCAACTAATTGCAATTAAAAGATTTCAAAGATTGGGGGGGGGGAGGGTTATGAAATATCTATATTAAAGGCTTATTTTGAGCATTACAAGCAAATGTGCTACTCGCAGGTACTTTTCTGTGAAAAGTAACCCATCAATGGCTTTGTGTTTTAATGCTGCAATCACAATGAAGCTACGTATGTAACTAAACTTTCAAGTCGCTGATATTTCAAATCTAAACTCCATGCTGCTACGTGTTTGGTTTTTCTACTCAGTCTTGAAAATTTGCAGTAAAAAAGTCTTGTTGTCTTGTATTTTTGTAAACATCCGTAATTTTGGAACTTTCTTTTCTAAACAAATAATAACGTGGTTCATAGGGTTTCTGACCACGCCCTCTTGTGCGACAGTCAAAAATATTTCTGGATCTGTTATGAGGAATTGTTATGATGAAATATAATGATGAAATTACTTATCTTGTCAAATGTGTTCCCAACAATAGATAGTGTACACAGTAAAAAAATATTACTATTCATAGTTATTGTTAATCATAGACATAATACAGTTGACCAATATTTCTAGGTAGAGCTATAACTAATCACTGATATTATACAGTGTAAAGATATTACTGATAGTAAATATTGTTAGTTATAGATTTAACATAGCAAAAAGATATTTCAAGCCAAAGTTATTGCTAATCATAGATATTATAAAGTGAACCGACAATATCAATCAATGTAAATGCTATTCATTAATATTATATAGTGCACTGATTTGTCAGTGCGCTAGTCGTAGCTATTAATAATGACTGATATTACATAGTGCACTTATACTATTAGCTAGTTATAAATTATATAGTGCATGAAAATTTTCTGCCATAGATATATTAATGTTATAATGAAACATTGCATACTGTTAACACAAGGAAATGATGGGAATTACCTACTTTAAATATCAGTTATCCAGATTGATGAAAACAGTTTGTTTGTTGTTGCACAGTGCTAAAAATTTAAATAATTTGAAAGTTGAACAAAATACCAAATTAATCTGTCCTGCCCTGTGGACGATTAAAGTTGAAAATTTGGCTCAAATCTGCTGCCAATCACACCTAACTATTTCTATTTTTCAGACGCATTTCAAGAAGCGGTTTCACACTGTCTCTCAGTTCTACAATTTTTCGCAGTTAACAATCAAACTATGCTAAAAGCTGACTGTGATTGCAAGTGGCCTGTTGCATAATAACGACAGCTGTTTTACACACAAGCAAAGACTCAGTGCAGTCATGCAGATGATACGGAAGCAACATGCAATGGTTGGAAATTATCTAAGCATGGTCATCAGCTCCGTGAAAAGTTTTTGAATCAAACAATTTTGGACTGCATTGCTTGTATTGCATCCTCTTCAATTTCTACTCAACTTCAAATCAAACTGCAAATTTCTACTGCAAATCATAATTAGACAAGGGGACAAAGCCACGCTGAAATGAAGAATTCTTCAGAGCAATTTATAAGCACCCAGCTATCTGTGTTCTTGACGATTGCACTCGGTTTTTCGATACTATGCTGTCTGCTGTTCAATACTCGTTTAGCTTGGCTTATAGCAAGAAGACTAAAGGATGGGAGAGCTTTTCTACACCTTTCGCCGTACTTGTTAAGCTCGTGTATTTCAGAAACTGTTATCACCTGTGTCTTCGGGCCAGTTTTATGCATATTAATGACTCAACAATCCTGGAACATCGACACAGTTGTGTGTACGTTTCTAGACTGCTTGTTCCTAGCACTTTTATGGAGTGCAACTGCCTCGACATTTGTTTACAGTATGGATCGGCATTGCCTGCTTGTCCAGAGAAGGCTGTACCCCGAGACATTTGGGAATCTTAAAAGAAACGCAGTTAATCTTGCTTTCATATGGGTCTTATCTCTAATCTCAGCTCTTCCTTATATAGTGATGCGAAATGCTTCAGCTATTGTGCCGATGACATTTACTTTCGAAAAGAACATGACATATTGCGCCCATGCAGTTGTTATTTTGTACATGGTGCCCGTGCTAATTACAGCGATCTCTCTTATAAAAACAGTGCGTGATGCTAAAATGAGAAAGAAAGCTTTCCATCAAGCGAATTCAACGAACGAGCCACCACATATCCATAAAAGCTTGATAGAAGAATTTCAGACGTACGAAGGACTTGTCGTCTCAAGTTGTATATTCATACTTACGTCTTTGCCTTGGGTATGGTTCCAGTTGCTGAAAGCTTTGGACCTAACTAGCGAACCATCAATAGCTAGTGAAATTATTCTGATGGTTATGCTTGTGTTCGGTGTAGGAACTAAAACAGGGGCTCTTGTTTTGTGTTCCGGCTGTATCAGAGAAAAGTTCTTCTCTAGCATTTTACGACGGAATAATTCAAGGGAATACAATTTAGAGCCTTTGCCCGTTGTCTTAACAAACGTTGCTGCTGTCTAGGGAAAAGGAAATAATGACGGGAGATTTGACACAAACAAATATTTGTGTTTACTTATGTGTTTTTAGGAGTTGTCAAATACTTTCGAATGACTGGAAACTCTATCGTATTTTGTCCAAAACTTCCATGTTAGCTGGTGTGAACTTTTCATTTCCAGGGTAACTAGACATGAAACAAGAAACAGATTTTGCATATCACGTTATGTTGTAATTAATTGGTGGTTGTGATCAATTGCTCTAGTCTTTAAACCCTTGCTCAACAACTTTAGTTGCTCTTTAATATAGTGAATATTATGTCGGATAGATAAATAGATAAAAGAGATTGAAATTCAATGAAAAGATGCATTCCTAGTTTTTGTTGTAAAGATTTTATGTATCTTTCTGGATTCTCAGGGCAGAGATGATGAAGACACCACGATGACGTTTTATATTTATATGCAATATTTACTAAGGCCTAATTATGACTAACCGGTTGATGATTACTTGACAAATCCGCGTGAGTTACTCCTTACCACTCCACTGGCCTACGCCAGGGAGTGACTGTCTCTAATATATATCCTTTCTACCGAAGCTCCTTCTCGTAACTGACTACAATTCTTGCTGCAGTACCTACTACGCCCATATATGTATTTTCGTTATAACCTTATATGGCATAATGACCTTTGCACTTACCGCGTGCTACTATTCTCTTAATTGCACGCGAAATACCAAAACTTAACTTCACAACAGTTTTCAAAGATTGAGTGCAGAACCTATTCCTGTAATGAAGGGATGTTATATAACGTAAACTTTGGGACCAGGCCAACCAGTCTTGGACCATTCCCTTGTGAAAAAATGGACCATTCCCTTGTGAAAAAGCCTTACCCATTCACGAGAGTGAGTGTAACGTCATGCATAGATGCAGAGAAAGTCTGTACATCATTTTAGGAACTGCTCATTAAAGTTCTTTACTTGTAACGATAAATGCACGTAACATTTTGCGATCGTGCAAGTATCCATAACAATTATGTTATCTTCGAAGTTGTTATTTATGGAAGGTCGTTTATTTTGTCTTTCAATTTCGTTTATTACTAGGAGGCTAGTCATTTACCTTGCAACCATGCTATCACATGTGAGCTTGCTGTGTTAAGCAATACACTATCATTGTAAAATAAAAAATATCTAACTGAATCTTCCTAAAACAGCACTTCTTCATCATACCCCACAATTTCTCTTGCCAAGCTCAATTCTATAGTTGAATATAGATAACTAGCAGACCTTGATGCTTTAAGTGGGGGAAAAACCCACATCGCATCGCAGCCAAATTAATTGACTGAAAAGCAATTTTGTTTCAGTTTGTTTCAAACCTGAACATACTCGTTCATTTTGTTACATAATTCGTAAAGCATAAAATGATCTTTGTTCATTTGAATTGAAAATATCAAGAGCGACTTAGACCCCGTTTACACTGGAGTGTTTTATCCGGATAAATTTTCATCCGGATAAAAATTTATGCGGATAGGCTCTCCGTCTACACGAGCGAATTTTATCCGTGTAGATATTTATCCGCTTTGCCGTACAAATATTTATCCTGCTACGAAAGCGAATAAATTTTTGTCCGGATAGAAAATTATCCGGCAAAGGGGAGTGTAAACAGTTTTATCCGGATAAATTTTTATACGCATACACAGTGAGGCTATTCTGTTTCATATTGAGACCATTTAAATATGATAACGAAACGGCGCAAGAGAAAAAATTGGCGCACTTTTGTTAATATTCCATGTCATTTTCGCTGTTTCCTGAACTATCATGGATGAAAGTTCACTTCAAACATCACACTATCTCTGTGTGCATTTTGAAGCTCTGTAGCTGCTGCAGCAAGGCTAAACGCTCTGCTAGCTGTTCTATCTGAAAGATCCTATAGAGTTAGCCAACGCAACTTGGAATCAATAGTTGACGATAGCAATTCACGGCTACAAAGAATAAGTCGTATTCTCAAAGCTTCAAGAAGAAATCGACGACCTCGCTGGTTCTGGGAAAGACCTTGGAGCAGCATGTGAAGTTCTTATCAGCCTTCTTGCTACTTCCTGTCGATGTATTCTCCGATTTCTTTGGCATTGTCGACTTTATGACAGAAATATGAACGTGTTCACTCTGACATCAATGAAAATTATTTTCGCGCGTTTTTAAATCAAGGGTTGTGCGCATGCCCAATTAAAAAACTCACCATTTAGTTTCACCGTGTAAACGGAGGGGCTAAACGAATAAAATTTTATCTGGTACAACGTAAACGGATAAAAATTTATCCGGATAAAAATTTATCCGGATAAAACACTCTAGTGTAAACGGGGTCTTAAATAGCTTTTGTAGATGGCCCATTATTTATTGACTGCCTCAAAACCTGCAAATGCCCTGTACTCATGAAAAATGCATTGATTTCTCACACGAGTTGGAAACAGAGCCATTGTTGGGATAATCACCATTCTATATTATTTAAGGGGGAAACTGAGAAGAAAACTAGAAACATAATGTGTAGCACATTATCAAAATCATCTTATTTTGGTACTGTTTCGGCTTGACTTTTGAAAACAACTACAAAATAATTCATTACAGGTTATGGATAGCAATGGTTAACTCTCAGTTGCAAACTAATTGTCGAAATCGAATTGATTTTCTGAGCAAGCACTGTTGTAAGTATTTAACAGATAATATCTGTCGAGATTCTTTTTATCTTGCAAGTAAAAATAATCTTTTTACCTAGGGTTGATAGAAGTAGGATTAAAATAAATTGGCTTCGTCGTTTCTCGAGAAAAGAACTCTCTTTTGTGATAATGAATGACATCTATAGTGTGCTCATCAATTACATTTATTCATGCTATTGCAGCTGCACTTGACAGAATGCAGGTCTTCATAACAGAATTTTCAGTGTCTTCATTATTACATAAGGACCAAAACTTTAGTTAAAACTTGACAGAACGAGATTTGCTGATCACATCATTCCCTACACAAGAACTCTCGTTTATGTTTTTCATTTGTTCTATGCAATTGCAGCCCCCCTTGTTAAGATTTCTTCAACATATCAACAAAGCAAACAACTTACACATTGTCATAAGCTGTGGTTCAAACATGTGGCAGTTTTTGAGAAAAGGGAGGGGGTAATCCGATACATACCAACTATTAATATTCCATGTCAGGCGCCTATCCTGTCTTATTGCACCTCATCTGTGCTACCACAGTTGCTCTGAGTAAATTGTCGTCAACATATAACACAACAAAGAACTTCTGCAATTGCTACAAGGGACCATGAACAAGGTGTTTCAAACGTATTTGGTGTTTTGGCAGAAATGGTATGCTGACTCCGTACATCCTATGAGAAATAAAACATTTAAAAGACTTGAGCAGCCAGCCACTTAACAGAATTTATGCATAACCTAATTAACTGTAATTTTAATTTTTAGCAATCATTTCAACAAAACTTAGATCAGATCAGTGGGTTGAGTCTTGAAATTCGTTAATCCATTGTCAGACCGAAACCCTGATACTCTCAAAACCTTACGACGAAATTGGTGCAACAAAAGAGCAATCATGTTTTCTAACTTTCCATTTGTCATCAGCCAGGTGAACTTCAAATTTATTGCACCTCTCAAGGGGTCCCCAAAGTAAATTTCCCAGTAAGCCTGATATTCAAGATAAAATTATTATTACCTGAAACCTTAGGGATCAATAAACGAGGAATCAATACCGATTTGGTAACGAGGACGATTTCGAGTGGAAGAGGCAAAATTTACACAAAGTACAGGTCAACAGGCACTAAAAACTTCAATGCAAGAGCCCATAAAGATCTTTTTGTTGACCGACTGACGCAACGAGTCATCAGCAATGCGACATCTACTCCTTCTAGACCCATTTCAACATAACAGATAGGTGCAGGTTTAGGGTAGTAAGACACTAACTTTAAAACAACAAAACCTTAACCCATCACGACTCTTTTCTTAAAGCTTGTTCTAACTTCTTCTTTTCCCACTTGGCTTTCGATACTATTCTCTAAAACTGTTGCATAGCAATTGTTTCTGCCAGGCTCAGAAGTAAAAACAAAATAGATTTGTTTTGCGGTGCAGTAGACTTGCAAATTCAGGGCAAAATTCGAGAAAATACAGAATTCGGTTTCTTCATGACAGGAATGCGGCTGATTTCTCTTGTGCCCTTGTCTCTTCTTTTAAAACTGACAGTCAACATCAGAGCTTGAAATCGTTTGGCCTTTCCTGCCGTATTTTATTGTATTTTCTTATAAGAAGAGAAGAATACAAAAGGAAATACGCGCTGTTTATTATTTCAGGCTATGATCAGTTTTAAATTACGCTGATCAAGTTATTGTAAGGTAAAGCGAAGTTGATTGATAAAATGCCGCTTAATAGAAGGTGTTGTCAATGAAACTGAAAATCACACTTCAACTGGTATTTTCCGCTAGGCTTATTAAAAACTAATCTTAATAAGAGTTGCACCTGTCTTTCTTAGCAGATAAATCCATGTTTTGAATTTATATTTCCTCCAAAATCATCAGCGGAAACCTAAAGCGTTGGATGTTCCGGGAAGCTGAAAACTCCCGTTTACAGTGTGTCAATCTTTAATTTGCAATATCTTCGCTTGCACCTTTGGTTCGGTTAGATATAATGCCAACACCTGGTTATCTACACAATTAATTAAATACCTACTTGCAAAAATGAATGGATTAATTAGATACACGCAAAAAAGTTATTACTAACTACCAGATATCACTACAGGACTTTCAATTCACGCATTAAACTCAAACTCATAAAATGTTATGCATTCCCAAACTAAAAATAAATTTGGATGTTAAGACCGACAATACACTCTTATCTTACAAAATTATTCATGTAATTGTGATTACAACTAAACCATAAACATTTCCGCTTCTACGTTACTTGGGCGCATTATAGCAAAATTTCGTCAGTTAGAAATACACCATTCGGCAAAAACAATATGACTTGGCTCTAATGAAGCTGCCTGTAATGACATATCAACTGTTCTCTTGTGCAGCTTACACGATAACTATTTGAAGGGCTTGTGTTGGTACATGTCCCTGGGATAATTGTTGCGGGGGGGGGGGGGGGGGGGGTTGCAATTACAGGGAATGCATTGAAAAGCAGACTCAAAGGCAACGCCCCAATCACGAGGAGAGTGCCCGATTGCTAGTTCATTTGAAGGGATATTTTAAAAGGATTTTGAGGTCAATAGGAAAAGGGGTAATCAATCTTTGATCTTTACAAATACTCGCTTCCCATGAGTCTTCTACGATGTTTGTTAGTGATTAAAAGGGTCGTAGTGATGTGGACGCTTAACTGTCATTTGATAGGTGGTCATTGATTAGTTTGTAGACAGGGTACCGATAACTGTCTTATTGTTCACAACTTTAGCACGTTGATATATTTGCGTCAAGCTGAGTACCAGCTGTGGCCATATTTGGGGAACTAGGAAGCTTTAGACTCTATTCCTTCCAGTTAACAAAATAAAATTAACAAACCTACGTTATATATATGTCAAATAATTATGTTTCTTTAATAAAATTGTTAACTAGGGAAAAAAAATAACAAGAAAACATCAATAGAAACTGAAAAGGAAAGCTGGCTTAACTTAGCGCAAATTCCAGTCCGGATCAATTAGCTGAATTAATTATATTTTGATGCTCATGCAGCGTAATTCGCTACTGAACAAAAGATGCCTGTTTGCATTTAAGCAAAACAGATAATTTTAAACGAAATCATACAAATTACCTTCAGTAAAGTCATCATATGCGGTTAATTTATAAATATTTTCTTTTCCAGGAACATGTGTAAAAGGTTCTTAGTTCAATAAGATACTGCACATGCAACATGGTCAATGAAGAAGGAAACATTAATGGAAATAAGGCATTGGAATAAATAGATTCAAGGCAAAAAAGGGTAAGGAAACAAAAGAAGGTGATGTGAAAACAGAATCATGAAACAAGTGTAAATTGAACGCAGAACAGGGAAACAAATAAGGGTCACGTGGAAATAAAAGGACAGGATAGAGTCACATTATCACTAAATAGTAAACAAGAGGGTCATGTGAAAACTGAACAAGGCAACAAACTAAGATCATGTGAACAGAGAATAGAGGAAGAAAAAGGTCACGTGCACACAGAATAGAGAAACAAAATTGGCAGATGTCAACAGAGAACAGAGAAACAATAGAGTGTCACAAAAACAAAAAAGGGAAACAAAATAAAGTTATATGAAAACAGAATAGAGAAACAAAAGAAGGTTAGAAGAAACATATAGAGGGTCTTGTGAGCATATCAGTGGGTAAAAGGAGGACGCAAATTAATGTTACAGAAGAGAGTTCTACTCGCACAGAATTATGTTAAAGTAAGCGGGAGGGGGGTGGGGGGTAACAAGCCTATACTCTTGGGTAGAGCATCATTTAAAAGATATGATACGATTATCATTAGAACGTAGCACAGGGTAGCTTCATGCAGTTTATATTCCTCTACTTTTATTACATTCAAATGTGTGTAAACAACCGATAATACAAAAAATAATTGTTGACTTTCTTTAAATAGACAGCAGACTTATATAGAAAAAGCTATGTAACAGTGGTTCCACAAAAGCCTACACTCATATGGAAAAGTAAGTATCAATAGACTGTTTCAAAAACTTAAACCTCTCCGCCCAAAATTGCATAATACTTAGAGGCAAACGAAGGGAAAATTTGTCCAATTCTACAATTAGGCAAGTTAATCTTCTGAACATTACTAAGGAAGTTTCCGATGTCTGTTTTAATTGTTTGGACTATACTCATATTGATACAATTATTTCTGCGATTCCTAGTTCTACCCAAACAACGAGTCTGTATTAGATTACGCATATGTAGAATAAAAATAATCATTGAAAAATAATTTGCAGTAATTGTGTGTAATAGTTTATAATAGCAAATTAGATTTAACTAAATCAGCATTTTCCAGTGCGACTGGTTCCCAGTCCAAAAGATATTAACTTTGTAGTAGAATTATTATGTGGAGCTCACGGAAAACGAAAATGTACCCGAAAACAAAAGTATATGATGATTTCGATGAATCGTTTCGACAAGATGATCGTAACTGAACATGCTACATCAACGAAACACGAAGCTGCAACACAACGTGATTATGGGAAGTACACCAACGTTGAAATGGATTGCTGCACTAGAAGCAACACACCAATTCCGCTAAACCAGTGAATACTTTCATGCCATTGTCATTATTATACAGGAAAATAACAATTCTTTACTTTCGACGAATGCTAGTAATATGCATACATATAATTTTATATAAAGACATACATACTTTTTACAAACCAATATAATATGCAATGAGCCCCATTTTAGGGTAGGGTCATTATCTTATTCGGAAACCCTTGGTGGAACGATTTGATGAAAATAAGCTATGGTAGAATTGGCATAAAAAATTAATATCGCATAACGCATATGTGCTGCATACTTTTCTAAAATGTTTATGTATAGGCGACAAACCATGCAGCACTGCTTGCCGTGTTTTCCTTGCCATGAAATTGCTACAAGAAAATCTGCATCATCAGAATAAAACAAGGGCATCAGCTGATCGTGACATTGGGTACATTGGCTGCGAAGGGCTTCGAATCAATTTCTTCTTAGGTAGTCTCTCAAAGGCTTTGGTGAGCATGAAAAATTGCGGCCTGTTTTCGGAGTTGTAGGCCCAGCACATGGAAAGAATGTCCTGAAAAGCAGATGGTTTGTATGAATCAACACAGACATCAGCCGTAAAACTAAAGCTCAATGGACAGTGCAACAGCGAAATGACTTTGTAATGCAGAAACTAAAGAAAGAACACGGCCTGCTTTGGATAGGAAAGACACACAGACATCTCCGATAAGCACAGGTTTATGATGCAAAATTTCAAGGCGTACTATTAAAGAAACCCAGAATATACTTTAGACTCAATCTGTTCAGACAAAATCGCTGTTTTTTGACTAGTTGACATGCTGTAGCATTTCCAAGCAACTTTTTTTTAAGACCTATAAAACCTATCAAAAATTCTTTCTAATTCTCAGTTCCGACAAAAAGTTAAACAAAATGCCGACACTGTTGCTGTGCCCTTTTCCGGAACGTCGACACATTTTTCCAAAATGGATGTTGTGTTCTCTAAATATTATCTCGCCCCTGCTCTTGAAGTACCAAATGCCAGATCTTCGTTATCAAATAAGAAAATTCTCCACAATGGAACAAAACAACAGTAAACTACACATGATACTAAGCTGCTTCGACGAAAAGTACGTCAGAACTGTTCGCCATATTTCTACTTTTTTCGTGATGTCTTAAAATTTTGTAGAACAAAAGGCGAATTTAGTCCAGAAAAAAGACGATATAGTATACCTTGGCATCTCTTGAAACTTCAAGTTTGCTCAATGACTGCTTGAAGCCTTTTCCAATCTGCCAGATTGTTGCATCAACTGGTTGGTCGTCAAACGGCCATCTTTTTGAAAGAAGCTCATACCATACAGTTCTAAATGAAAATCAGAAGACGAGTCAAGAGGAAATTGGAATAAAAAATACAGCAATGACTTAGATTTAACGTGGTGCAGTTGATCGCTCGCAAAACCTTCTACCAGGAACAAAAGAAGGATGATGCCGCAGAGAGAAACGGAAGATACCACAACCCAGATAACATTAAATTTAACACAAATAAGATATTACAAAGAAGAAACTTTTCAAGAGAAAGATGTTTTTCGCAATCACTTATTGGAATAATTCTGAGCTCGAAATGTACGGTAGTATACGCAGCGTCAAGATAGGGTCAAGATAGAAGTTCTCCATTATCTATTGATAAAAATGAACGTTCTTTGAAATTTCACGTTTCCACCAGTAGCTATAAAACCCGCATATAAAAACCTGGCTTTTCCAAGTCTTGATTTTTATGTTCTTGGTGGTAAAGTCAGAATTTCGTGTTCTTTGCAGCAGGCGTGGTTCTTAAGCCCAGAGGTTTAATTTTGATAGGTTTATAAAGCTAGGCTAATATATTCATACACATACAAATAACTCCTGAATGTTACTGCGGTCATATGGAGCTAGATCAACAATTCCTTGATACACCAAGCATGAAACTAAGAGCAAGATCAACCAGTAAGCTAGTATAACTGCTAAATTCTCGTTCTGAGTTTTTCCAGTTTATTTCAAATAGTTGGAAAGTCCCCATTTTTATGTGAAAAGAGTAAGTTAATGTTAAGAGATATGTTAAGAATTTAAAAAATTATATGCAACTGATGAAACTGATATGAAACTGATGAAGAGCTGGAACTTAAACCACAACAAAGCACACATCATAATTCATAGTTTTTAAGTCCTTGTTGCTGTATTTTGCAATCAAGCGATGCCATCTGATGTCATCAGACATCCAGTGTTTTCAAACAGTTTTGCAAAAAAGCTGTCTTTATAAATTTTCGCCTAGCCTTTTCAACACATTGACTATAAACTATTTGGAAACAGGTAATATCTTGAACAGGTGCATTCAAACTTGAAGGGCATTAAGTGTGAAATCGGAAAAATAACTGGAATTTCAGTGCAGTTATAAGTCTGATTTTCCTTTAAGGCCTGTGATTTAAAGAAAATTGAGGCGCCAGGAATTGATAAAGCTAAAAGAAACGTAATTTATGACTTTCAAATAATTGTTTCTTTTCTCCGCAAACTATCTTTGGTAGTACGAATATTAACTTCTTCAAAGCAAAAATGTTCTTATCTGTGCGGTACGAGACTCAAAACTTCAAAATTAGGTTCTTAAAAATCAAGTTTCTCTTATGCAAATTTCTATTGTATGCCGATGAAATTCGCCCTTTTTATTAGGACCAACAAACACTATCCTGTAATGGTGAAATCAACTCCCAGTGAGAGGATACTGACAGTTTCGGATAAAAGAGAAGAATTCCTTGATACAACAAGAGACGGATTTTCGTTTTAATTAAAGTAGAAATTAACCTTTCAATGAGATGAATTAGAATCAAGTGCCTATCGATGTGCGGCATATCAAACAAGGAAATCCTTGTCTAAGAAGGCTGTAGATCAAACCAAAGATTAAGGTGAATAATAAAATCCCGGAGCTACATTATTCTTTGCAATATAAGTTTAAGATGCACATGCATATGTAAGAATAAATATTGGATTGATCTGTTCTGCAGTTCAAGACACTCATTTTCATTCGCCACTGATCTATCTTCTCGTCACCAAAGCGCCTGTTTTTCGGCTTCAAAGAAACAACAGCTGATAAAAGAGATTTTATACCGATAAAAATGTTGCAAAACAAAATTTTGTATTACTATAAAGGGAGTCGCATCTTAAGTGTTATGAAGTGTAGTTAGTGAAACGTGAAAGCTCTCTTCACAAGCAGAATGAATAAAACTTAATGACGAATGACGCCGCCTGTAAAGGCCACGTCAACGAACAATCAAGGATTCCACATGGTCAAATGTAATCAATTTCTGACTTGAACAGCTGAGTTGATGAAACCCTTATTCCTGCAGACAGACATAATTTGTCAGATAACAAAATTAACAAGAGTTTAGATTGCTTGAAGCAGGTTCACAAATAGAATTTCAATCATGACCTAACTGGCCTAATGGTAAATTTGCAAAATCATTCAATTATGGGGAAAGGTTTTTAGAGCTGTTCAACATTTGCAGCTGAAGAAAATAAGAGGCAGGTGAGCCCAGGTCATAAAGCTTATAGAGGTGTTTCATTTCGTATCCGGGGGCACCGGGAGCCAAACAGGGTCCCAGGGTAAAACCTGAGATAGATACCAGATATGAATCATGCTCTATAGGGATTGGTGTTTTCACGGGCCCATTTGGGATCGGGTCTTGGGGTTTTTATACACAAATCATTCCCCCTTCTTGACCCTCCTGTCGCGTCAGTAGGCAAAAGTAAATGCGGTCATTGGATCATAGAGAGATCGCTTAGGTATATTCATTCCGAACGGCATTTAGCCACTGCGACGTAGAGGGCATACGTCATAAGTTATCATTTTCCCTACCAATCGTCCACATGACAATCGCCTCCAGCAATGGCGTTCGAAACAAACTCATCTAGGAGGTATGTATGTCTGTCTGTATGTACGTATGTATGTATGTATGTGTGTATGTATGTATGTATGTATATGTCTAAACGGGCTATGCTCGAAACGTCGTTAATTATTTTAAAAAATTTTCCTGGTACAATTTACTTACATTGATCGTTATTTATTCCCCCGCACGCATTTTAGTATATTTATGTATATATGTCGTTTGAAACTGAAGAGGCATGGCGCTTATATGAATATTCATCATTCAACTTCGGCAACTGACCCAAACGACCCAACTTATGTTTACAAAGAACTAAATTTGGCCTGCGATTAGAGAGAAAACCGAACTTTAAATTAGATCCGAGTCAACTTTCTTTGCAACAGCTGGTTCAAACACAACTGGGTCAACAGAAGTGAAAATAAGTATTAGAGAAAAAGTGGTCTTAAACTTCCTAAAATTGGGATTTTCCCGCGATGGCCTTACAAAATCTAGCATAAAAGCAGTTCAAGCCTAAAACAAAGCCAGCAGTCCGGATACGGACAACGGATCCGGAAAAACTGCATAGATCTGTTGGAGACTGCATTTCTGAAATTTGGTCGCGAGCTGAACATAAAGGCATGAAGCAACTTTCCCAGGCATGAACTAACTTACATGATTGTTGCCAGCTTTCTGTAATTCAAGGCGTAGGGATCACGAGCTGTGGTCACATCAAAAAAGGGCACTGTTCCATAAGCACTGTTCGACAAGCAAAGCTTCTCGGGTCTAGGGAAACCCGAGACCCTCAAAAGTAAATCGGATCTAGGGTAATGGCTGAAATCAGGTTCTTGAGCAGCAAGAAAGTGAGGGAGATAGAGAAAAGTATATATAACTGAATCGCTGCAGAAATACCGAGAACGTCTCAATCACCACCTTTTACCACCTTTTTATTCAGGACAGACTGTTTTTCGTGCGTATCAATCAGGCTGCATCTCTAGGTACATACAAAGTTCGGAGCATATAAAAAGATCTCGCTTACTAGCCAAAATGATCGCAGAAAGATTTCAATGCTTTTTGCATCTTCAACTACCACGGACAGCTCTCACTGAAAACTTATTATTAGCTTAACGGGGCAGAGGAATACCGATATAACAAACGGTAAAGGGAATCACAAAAAAGCTTTTTATCAGAAGTTTGTTAAACTGAGCATTCGTTAAACAAATCTAATTTATAAGCAGCATTGCAGCGATGATATCTCTCGTTCGTTGTATCAAGAAGTTTGTTATAGAGAGCGTTTGTTTAATTGGATTAAAAAACATTTCGAGAAAAGTCATCTTTCTTGGCTTTTTCATGACAACCAAGGATCTATTTTTCAAAGTTTTCTCTACAAACACAGCACGATAAAGACGAAAAGTGTTTTTTTTGGAACTACAGCCAAAGAATATGATGAAAGATTTCAGGTGTCAACAACATTTTTGCAGTCTTATTTCCTAGGATATCTGCATACAAGAAACAGATAACAGGATTACGATGATACTTAAAGAAAATTTCTACACTTTTTGTACAAAGATGCAAACTAATGCCAAACTCCCCCAAAACATCTGGTTTTCGAAAACCTTATGTCTTGGATTCCTCACAGCTATGCAACGTGACCATGCTCACCTTAGTTTCAAGATATTTTGAGAAAAAAAACTTAACTGTAACTTTTTAGTGTAACTTTTTTAACTTCTGTAGTGTAATTTTTTTTAACCTTTTAAATTTTTTTTGAAGCTTTAACTTCAATCTCTTATTATTTTGATATTTTTACTTTACAAACTTTTATTTTACCAGGACCCTTAGTGATAGCAGTATTATCTTTACTGAAAAGCCTATCCTGTATAAATATGGTAGATTATTATTATGGCTAATTAAGTGATTCACAGACAACTAGATGTTAATTCGTTCGGATAATATAGGAGGGAGCAGTCAGCAACAAGCTGACAAAGGTCCCATTCTGTCATCTCAAGACATGTCATCATCTCATTAACAATTATTGGCAAATGAAAATTTGTCGTTGTTATTCAAGAATCTATGACAGTGAATAGCCTGCATTGAGGGACTTTGACCATTTGTGCTACGAGCAAAAACATTCACGTTAAAAGTTGGGGCAACCAAGAACTTTTGTTAACAATGATTTCACCAGTAACTCGTACGGCAGTTGCATTTATAAATGAAAATCAGAAGTGAACGTTCAATAGAAAACGAAAATGGACAATTTCCAGAAGGTAACTCTGCGCATGCCTTGAATTCGAAATGAATCTTTGGACTGTCGATTGAGCCCGGTAACCAGTTGTTGTCATTTTCGTCAAATTTTACAGTTATTTTCAATAATGGTACTGACTTGAAATTATACAACTTACCCGAAGGCATAGACATCCGTTTCCTTTGTGTACAAGTCTAACTCCGTTCCCGGGTGCAAAGGATCTAAAGCCCGGACGATTTCCGGGGCTTGGTAGCATAACCAATTGCTCATTATCAACAGCCAGCCAGGACTACAATAAAATAAATGATACATCAAGTAAGATAATCTTTCAGACAGCAATTACAAAATAACGTTGTGCCATTACTTACAAAAGGTACTAGTAGTACCTTAGTACCGTACCAGGGTTACGTTTCCGGTCAAAAACAGGCAAAACAACGTACAGATAAAAACTACCATGCACGCTCTCTAGGGCGCATTAGTATCTAGCTTCTCTTCTTCGTGGATTTTCTCACACTCTCATACCACGTAAACACCACTGCATCGGCTCTAAACAAACACAGTATACCTTAAATATCAAAATATGCCCCGTTAATGACGACCCATATCTACTAATATAGTCATAGTCATTAAAGTGGCAAATGTATAAAGAGGTCGCAAAAGAATGGGAAAGATAGGCGTAACTGGCGGTTTGTAGTCGTCAAGGACCTTAACCAACAAATTTCAAAAGAGAATAACGATGCGAGGCTACTTCGAAACGATAACACATGGCGGGAAAATGCATTCGCCATTTTAGGGGTTGGTTAAAAACGTAATTAATTGATAAGTTTGCCATTTTGAGTAAATACTCAGCGAAACTTTAAAGCACTGTTTCAAAAAATTCTATAAAAGATTCAATAACAATGAAATTTCCCTTTTTATGAAGTAGGGTGATGAATTTTATCTTGAAATTTGAAGCAAACAAATTTTTCTGGTGAAAAAATAATTACCGAGAAGACCCTTTTTGTAGAAATCAACACATTAAATATTGACACCAGGTGAGTCGCTTGACATTTGACCATAAAGACTTCAGTAAAGTTCATTAAAATTATGATATTCTTATTACAAAAACTTGTAACAATTAAAAAAATTGACTAGTTTTATCTTCCCTATTCCTTTGCAATTAATTAATAGAAGTATCTAAACCAAAACTGGCTACTTAGATAAGCAACAGATTATTTTGATCACTAAACAAAAGTTTTTGAATTTGTTCACCTTGTACCGCTATTGATAACCTACTGCTGAGATCTCAGATCAAAGGATCTGCTCAAAAATACATAAATGTACATATATTCATAAACAGAGCAAAAAATCACTTAATAAGTTTTTCTAAAGAGTCTTATGCTTCTTGAAAATCAACTTCATTTTATCACATTTTCAATGAATCCTTCAATAATTGATTCCTGAACTTTTCCGGAGCATTGGCGCATAGTTTCCATGAATTTCTTTCTCAAAACACTAAAATAATCCTTCAAATTACTTCCATCAAACTATTAAAATGGCATATATTTTCTTGCCGACGGGTCTCGTCACCAAGGCCGCTTAGCCCAGAGGCTTTGCCTGAGAAATTTGTAGGCTTTGGGCCTTTGATTCTATATAGCACTATTTTGAGCAACATTTTCACACCTTTGCAACACCAGTGATGAATTTAATCATGTCTTACGCTCTTCATTTATTACGAAAACTGAAGGTCAACAAGGACTTGTAAAATGCTTCTTTATAAAATTCCTTACAAAACAAGAATACAACATGACAAAATTGAAGCAAAAGGCAAGATTACACACAGTATTAATAATGCTACGTTATATATTTGACACTAATCAATGTTTCGTACTCTGATGAAAGGTGGAATTTCCCAATAAAGAGAAAAAAATTGTTCTAACTGATAGAGTTTTCAACAAGAACACATCGTTAGCGAACAGGACCAGAAATTTTTTGACTTGATTAATCGATTTTTCGAGCGATTAAAACAATTTTTCAATAATGAATTTGCAACTTCCTTATTTCTTCGTTGACGTTAGTGATTGCAAAAACAGAAGGTGCTTAGTTTTATGAATTCCAAATTTTTCGAGCAGCTATTAAAAGTCTATTTGTTGTTTGCAAATCCGATATTCAACTGTCATTGAAATCTTTTCGACTCATTGATAATATCAAATACCTAATACAAATCCGTGGGACGTACGACGTAGTTAGAACCCCCCAGCCCCACCCCCACCCCCAACAAAACTACATCAGATTCTGCTTAAATACGCAAAATGGAGCCTGTTTAAAAAAACACATAATATTCTTTCTTAGCAATCTTGTGAATATTTGGCAATAAATTTTCATGAGTGAATATACTTTTCAAACTCGAGAAGGCCAGCAAACATGGATATCGATATACAGGCTTATGATTACATTATAGAAAGTAAGAAAACATTGAATACTTACCGTTCAAGCGGGGATCTTGTATCAGCTACATTAAGAAGACCAAAGTCAGTAATCACGATGCGATGCTTCTCTACGAAAATATTCTTTGAATTTAAGTCTTTGTGTACAATGCCTCGAGCGTGTAGGTAGCCCATTCCCTGAAGAGCAATGTTTAGAAAACACGATGAGGATTACAAATAAATACAGCACTTTCGCTAACAGTGATCTTAATCTTTGTATAATTTATACACAGATACATTTAAATGAGCTTATTATAAAATAAGTTTGAAATTATTGTACCCCTTTACAGATTATAGGTCTTTCCCCCTCTACTGCTCTAACATAAAAGTCATTAAATGGCAAGAGAGCCGAGTTTGTTTTCTAATTTTTTTACCAACCTTCTTTAAAATTTTTAGGAAAGCATTAAAGAGGAAATCATTTATTGGCCTTTCAAAAGTCAAAGCTTTCTCTGATACAGCTACAGATAAACGATGAAAAAATTTAAAAGCAAACAGTATATCCCACCTGTGCTACTTGAGTAATGATTGTGATTATCCTGTTATTGTCAAAAGTATTGTTTTGCTCGTGTATATGTTGGTGTAGAGTTAAGCCCTTGCATAAGCTACAACAGAAAATGACGTCAGATCAGTCATCGACAACACAACATTGCTATTTATAAATAATTCTTTGGCGGCCAGACTTCGAGAACCTTGATAAAATCTTGTGAAAACTTCATAGAAATATCTGTGGTTTAAATTCAAAGAGAAAAGATTCAAAACAGTCTTTTGCATATAAAATTTTAGAAATTTTGTATCTCAGATGCCGCGAAGCAAAAGTAGGTATTCACCTTGGCACAAAAAGGATGGCTGTACTATTTGACAAACGATAAGAAAAAATAAACTTTCTTGAATTATCTACTGCACAAAGACCTTCTTTTTCTAACACAAGTATCGTAGACTCTAAGCCGTGCCACAAAGACAGACCGCATCTACAATGTCATCAAAAAAGTTAGTGGATCGTATCTCACAACTCATTATTTGGAGACATGTCGTCATAAATTGAAAGGCTTGCCAAAAATGTCAAGTGTATAAGTACTGTTATTACTCATTCTTGTTAATTCAACACACCTTGTAACTATTGCCAATGTAGGAGGCTCCATGCAAGCTCCCATAAAAAGAATTAGATTTTCATGTCGTGTTTTTCTAAATGTTTGTACCTGGAAACGAGTGAGAATAAATTTTTTAATGAAACAATCGATATTTTTATTAAAAATTATTAATAAAACAAGTAAAAAATACCTAGAGGAAACAAAACAGCATTATTCGCAAAAAAATAAGAGCAACAAAGATTTATACCAAAAAGGCACCAATAAATGTGGATAAATGATATCAATGGATTATGTAGGGACAGCAATGGAAATTGTAATAGTTGTTTGCCTTTTTGTAAATATAACTGAGATACCTCGTGTTATGATGAAAGAGATGTTCGTTTATTGACTTTTTATTGCGATAAAACCTTGGCACATCGACAGCTTAAAACCAGCCAACAATATAACCAATAAGACTGACGTTCGATTCTTTTATAACAAAACTCTAATTTCTCTGGAATAATTTAAATAAATTGTTTATGCCTGAAATTTTTCACGAATTTCTGTTTGCGGACCCAATTGCCGTTAATTCGTTTATTTTGGTTGATTTAAGCAGACGTTTCTTACAAGGGTAATGTCGCTTTCCAGTGATACTTGTTATAGGTAAATATTGCAATTAATATTGTATTATATCATGCCATTCACAGCTGTAAAGCGATTAGACTGTCTTAAAACCTCCTGTACGTAACTAAGCCAATTATGTTAAATAAGAGAAATCCGATATAACTTCTACCTCGTTGCATTACCAAAAAAAGCATGCAGAAACTGCTGGTCTCTTGCTAGCATTCTTCCAGCTAGCAAGTCTGAAAAAACTACTACATGCATATAAATTCGGTTCTTCCAAAAAGTTTTCCCAGCTGTTTGAGTCTACATAAGAAATTTGGACGCATTTTGATTCAAAAATGTAATGCAAAGACTTATTCATATAAATGATTTATAAGAAACGACGAACTTTGAGGTCCTTAAAAGCAGTAAACAAGTAAATCAGACGACAAAGCATCATTGCAAAGAAAGAATTTTTCAAAAAGAACTGCATAAAATCAATTTTTTTGACAAAACAGCAGCATGATTACAGAACCTTTCCTCAAGTGTTCGAGGGTTCGCTTTGCGATTTAGGGAAAAGACAGCATTTGACAAATTTCTGAAAAAGTTAAAATTATTTTGAAAGCAACGACGTGGCATCTAAACAAGCCAGAGCAACGTTTAGTCAAAGTCATGTCTTTATAAAAAAATCAAAACTTTGGAAGTATCGAGTCTCGAAAATACATTGCTGAAAATTTCCGTTTGCTCACGCCCAAGACAATGCTTATTTTCTTTGGTTCGACGTTACAAAATAAGTGAAGGAGGGGTGCACAACTGTGATGCATCATCTGCAATATAGCTAAAAGTGCGTCTACCTTGTACTTGAATGCTGATTTTTCTTTTTCGCTTGGGTTTTCCACATATAGGATTTTTACAGCTACTTCGCCATGCCAGCGCGCTCTACAAATAAATATACAAGAAAAGTATAAATACAGTTATAACACCTATAATTCCTCTAAGCATTCAAATTCATAGGTTAAAATAACCGAAGGCTAAATTTCTCGAAGCATCTTTAAAACTTCAATATTTCCTTTCATCCTCAAAAAGAAGCAGTTTTTTCTATCTGCCCTTGTCTAATCTTGTATTCAAAACAATGACACTTAAAGCAAAGTCTCGAAATCAAACATATCCGTTGGCTAGAAGAAGATGGGTTAGGCACTTGGGAAGACATTTTTGATATTTGAATTAACCATTGCAATATAAGGCAAAATTTCTTCTTAATAACACAACGAAAAGACATAGCATATTATGCTTTCCAGTATAAGATTCAAATTTTCTTTCTGAAAGATTTTTGATAACATGTGAAATGATATGCTCTGATTGAATTCATGCAAAATTCTTTTAGGCGAGTTGTGTATTTGAGTAAGTTTCGGATTGATGCAGAAAATTATGATAAGGAATGTGATAATAAAGGATGCTTCTTTCCAAATCCTGCAAAAAAGACAAGGCAGAAAGAGCTTCTTCAGTTGTCTTACTTGTAGACTTCTCCCATCCTTCCTCTTCCGATAAGTTCTTCAAGCTCGATGTCAGAAAAGGGGATTACCCATTCTGACATAAGACTACCACGTTCCTAAAAAATACAGATCACACAAACTAATACATTGCACGCAAAAAGTGCGATGTAATAAACAGAGCGATGGTTAAAGGAAATGTATGTTTGCGATGATTGAGCCCTAACCCCAACCCTCCTGGAATAAAGAGCTTAAAAGCCGAGTAAAAATGGTACAAAGAAATGTTGCACCCTTTTCAACTTGTGAATATTAGCAAAAATTATATCTAACTTAAATCAAAGTGGGATCTCCTTGAAACACGTCGGCAATTTTTTCACCTGGAATTTGTGCACTAAACGTTTCAGGTTGATTTGAAACTCACACATTCGTGAAAAACAGAGAGCTACAAGAATGTCTACCACTAGAAAGATTGTTCCAAGGTTTCTATGCTTTAAGTTCACTTTCTTATTTTACACAACATTGCTTTATAACGTTATTTGAATAGATAACCATATACAAATGAATCAAAGTAACTAATATACCTATTTCACTTAATGCGCAATCAGTCCCCTCCCGGGGGGGGGGGGGGTCCTGCAGGTTTGAGGGTCGTACCAAATTGCTACCAAATGGCCTAATCTAGATAGGCCATTTAACACTTCCTCTAATTTAAGTAGTCACTACCTTCTAGGGGGTACTTCTAACTGTCTAGGGGGTACCCCTATCAGGCCTGGATGGGAATACCCCTTTCGGGAATCAGTCCTTTTGCAATGCAAAAAGTACAAACTAAAGATGAAACAGTACAATACAAGTTTCATTTAATAAAATGCAACGATGTTACGCAGTAGCATAACCAATATTGAAAGAGACTGCGATTGACATATTGGATTGTCATAAACTGCAGTGTAGCAATGCTTAAGGCGATGAGGTGCATAACTACATCGCGCTGTGCAACACAGTCAAGACAAGGTCTCTATAATGTCACACTAGGCCAGAAAAGGGCAGGGCATTGAAACAGATCATGTAAATAACAGGGTGAAATCTGTATTGCCGTTAGGGAACATGTTGTGCGAGAGCGTGCTAGGTTTCTCATAAAAACGGTCTCATATCAATGATCCATTGTAAAAAACTGTAATAGCCTGAGTTGAAGAAATAACAAAGCTACTTACCGTTGGTGAAAGAATTATCAGCAGGTCATTTGCTTTTATTTCTTTCAAAATTACTGTTATTTTGAAAGCTAAAGCATGTTTAATATTAACTGTAAGAATTTTTGGTTTAAACATGAATAAAATCATACCAATTAGGTTTGAAACTAAGTTGAAAGAATATTTGAACATCGAGGTGTCAAATTTGATCAGCGTGACGGATTAAAATTAAATTGCTATTTAGGGTTGAAAATGAATGGAACTTAATTAACTTTTAACTTCACAAAGGAGCAATGACAGTCTTGAATACAAAAACAGCAAAAATAAACATAAATTTTTCTTTGCATAGACCACAAGAAGCAAAAAGTCGGAGTTCAATTTAAACACAAAAATAGCATTCCGTTGGCGAAATGGGGGGGGGGGATTTTGCCTTTGCTTTTTTACATCCAAGATAGCTGTCATCGTTCCCAAGAAGGCTAGCAGTGACTATGATTAATTTATCTTCATACATATCGACTATAGTTAGAATCTATTTGGTTTCCAATTAAGATACAGATGAAAAACATAACACTTTTTAAAATATTTGGATGGTTTTTCTAGGTGGTTATGTTAGAGATGGGCCTTAGGGCCTAAAGCGAAACCCCAACAAGAGATAAATAGGGTTTTAGCAACAGGGGGAGGTAAGATTAAGCTTGTTGATTTTATTTTTGAAAAAAGACAGTCTATTATATTCTTGGAAACAGGAAGAGCGTTCTAAAATCTATAAGATCTGAGAAGAAAAGAAGGGTTGGAGACAAGAGTTCGTGTGAACTCGACAAGGTTATTTAATATTTTTTTGTAAATTATGTTGTTTAATAATTGTCACATCATTTAATGAATATTGCTTTTCTTAATACTTACGTGCATATTCATAAGCATATCCAATTTTTCTTCCTTTGTTAAAGGCTCATCCTGTCAATGGTATTCAGATTGCAAATTTGCTTTAGTTTACGCATTTAAAGATTTAAGTTCCATTTACATAATTTAATAAACATTTACTATTTTTATGATATGGCCTCATAGCATTTCTATTACCTGGATCTGTCGTTGAAGCAACAGAGGCTTAGCTTTAATGCAGTGTAAGTTAAAACAGCAACACTCTTGCAATTATACTTTGCGGTCCTTAGCAAAAGTCTCTTTTCAGAATATCAAAATTTCCTCAAACACCTGAGGATTTTTTGGGCATCATATTTTTAATATCACAAACTATCCCAGAGAATTTCAAAAGACGTTTTAAAAAACAGTGTAGATATGTCCCGGGGCAACAAATGTTTTGTTTTCAATATTTACAACTAATTTTGCTTGAAAATCAGATGATAAAATCTGCTATATTTCTTTCAACACTCAAATTTTTGATTCACACCTGCCTAGGTATTTTTGGTTCACTGTTCAGTCTTAATCTCCGGCGTAGTTCAAACACTAAACAGTGATCACATTATTAACTTTTTTATCTCTTATCTATTTTATCTATAAGCATTGCTTACATTGCATAAATATAACATTCCTTTTTTAAACTGTCAACTAAAATCACTTTATAACTTTGAAAGCATTGAATTCTATCGACAAAGTTGAAATTTCTCATTAAACTTTTATATATTTAACAGCATAACAGTTAATAATGATATTCAGATTATTTTCAATAAACCTGATTTTATGGGGACACATATTTTGATCAAGACCATCCAGTGTTGATAATGAGACGCGATATCTTATCAATTCGTCTGAATCCAATACATACAGTTTTGACATTGTTTTCAATTTATAATAGGGTTTAGCTTTTTCAATCTGGCCATTAATAATAAAACTTTTAATAATGATACGCAACTTGGTAGGATGTTTAGAGCCAAGATTGATTTTACATTGAAAAACAAGAAAACATTGAAGTTACAAATTATAACAAAATAATTGCTTTAGAAGTTGTATGAGTAAAGAATCATAACAATAATCGGCAAATCTCTTTATGATTTCAGCAGCCATTATAGATAAAACATTAACAAATTAAAGATGAAACAATGATAACGATCCAGTATTAAATTGTGGCATAAAACATACCCCTCGTGGTCTGATTCTATGTGGAATTATATCCGATATCTGACTGTCTAAGTTATCAATGGCAAAATCATCTGTCTCGGATATTGTCTGAAGATAAAAAAGGAATGAGTTTGCATTGGAAGATGCTACATTCTGTAGGTGTCTGCCTCATCCTGCTTTGTTCTATATTCTTTAGTAAATATTGCTTAGCATTTAGAAATATCAACAAAATACAACATGAAAAAAATATGTTTCCGAAAGTATTATTCTCTTGTAATTAGAAATCCTGGTTCACAATATTCCACATTAGTGATATGGCAGTTTTGCAAACAGGATTCTAGACGAAAACTGCACTAGCAGAACTGAAAAAATACAAGAATATATATCGAAAGCTAAAACCAAAAAACCAAAGAAAATTAAAGCTCGGCTAGTAGTATTTTCAACAAGTAAAGTTTGTGGTTATTTGGCAGGGTAGAATAACATATGATGAGAGAGAATCTGGACCCCAAACTTAAACCATCAAAGGATAAAAACCTTGTGAAATAGACTATAAAGGGCAGGATGATAAGCTAAGTATTCACCGATTCAGTGCTCTTTGTACCACTGCTAGACTTGGAATATGAACTGCCTTCTGTTTGTACCATTGTATCCATTGACATGTTGCTAAGTAGGTAAATAGAAAAACATTATTCAACTGTAGCGTAATAAAAAGTGGCACGGAAAGGCAAAGCATGGCAGTTTAAGATGGTGAATTAAAACTGTCAATCAGTTTAAGCCAAAATACTTTAAAGAAAAGCTGCAAGGCCTAGACAAAAGTCAATGTATAGCGTCCGGCTTACCAAGACACAATTGCGATCCAAATGTTCAAATAAAACTAAGAGACTGTGAATCATGAAATTAATTTGAATTATTTTCAACTTAACAAGGCTATTTTATGGTTTAAGACGAAGTGATTGATTTCGGAAGTTATTTCAAGGACAGCTCAAAGTTATTTCGAGCAAGCAATTCAAGGCAACATAGCAGTGTCATCAAATTGACCAATCTTTGTTAAGTTTTTTTCTCGGGAAGTAGCAAATTTAAGGCCTAATAACTTAACGGATAACTAGAATTCAGCAAGAAAAATAATTTGACTATATGACACTTACAGAATATAAAAATTACAGAATATCTTCTAAGTAAGTAAAAATGAAAACAATTTTTTGCTGGAGAGGCCCATTAAGACAAAGGGTATATCTATTGACATCAATGTGATTTCCGTTGAGAAAACAAGAGTTATTTCTACTGAATTCTTAGAAAAGATCATATCTACCTTCTCATTGTTCCTGTTAGTGTGCTTGTTTCAGTTTCTGTTGTGCTGTTGATCAAGTCAATCTCTGGAGTGTCATCTCCTGTGTAAAAAAGAAGCTAGATTGATATGGAAGAATCGACGAAATGAAAAATAAAGTGAACGAAAATCGTCTTTTTGTGGGTATTATAACCAATTTTACAGATGATAAACTGATAAAGTAGAGTCTTTCAACGATATGGACGACAACGTAGGGGAAGTGCGTGTTAATGGCAACAATTGCCATGGACCTTGAGACGAGGATTTGTAGTAAGGCAGCAAGTGAGTATCTGAATCATACAAAGATCGAGCCAGGGTTGTATTTCCGTAGCTTTCAGCTCCTCAATAAAATGCTCTAATTCCATGACAATTTGCCCCCATGCAAATTGATACATGATTGATACAACTAACTAACTGCAGTGTGATTCGAAAAGGGACCTTCAGATGTTAACAAATAGTCAAATTTAGATCAATGTATTTTCCCGTCATATATAAACACCACATAATTAAAATTCAACTGGACTTTGAGGTAGGTACATTTGCATGATGGTAAAAAACAGATATCCAGCTTGACAAAATGAGCAAAAGTTTAGCGAAAAATAATATTAGCTATCGCATTCATTTTGTTTCGGACTTAGAAACGGAAAGATCCTTCCTTGGGTTACTGGCAAAAAGAACGAAAATAAATTAAGCAACCCATAACTGTCGCAAAAGCCTAGAGCCTCTAACGAGCTTCCAAACATAAAATAAAGAATGATTATTGTTACAAACAAGCACAAAACACAATTGAGAGTAAAAATGTCATTTGACACTAAGGATCAACAAAATCTAAACTCAAATAATACAGTCACTGAAACGACTGAAATTACTTGTTGAAAGGCTAAAGGCATCATACGTCAATTTTCTCTAAAATCAACAACTGCTCTGTTACACCACTAATTTCTTTCTAAAAACTGACTGTTTCGTTTGCCGCTTAATAAAGGATCAAATTCAGTCCAATAACATTAAGATTAAAGAACATAAAGATCAGTCCAACAATGAATATCATGACAATGATAATAATATTGCATATCATTGCATATCAATGAATATGAGTTGCAAATAAAAGTGATTACCTGGAAAAAAGAAATTTTCATTGGTCGCTGAAGGTGTCATGTAGTATGGGACATTATGCATATTTGCTGTGTCACTAGGTGAGTCGGTCACTGCGGGAGACGATGGATCAGACGATGCAGACGAGGTTGTAGAGCATGAATCACCAGAATGAGACATATTACTGGTGGTGTAATATTTGTCACTGTAGATCCTGTTTCTCTGGTCAACTGCATGGGTGGCCAAATCACCATGACTACGATTGGGGGTAAGGCGTCTTGGGGTATCCTTGTCGACCTGGAGAAGGATGCTGGATGGATCTGATACTGTCCTTTTCATGTTAGGAAGGGTGTGAAACTTGAATGCTAAAAGATACAAAGGACCCATCGTCAAGTTTGATTTACGTTTTGAAACTTTAAAAGTACCTACAACCTTGATAACTTAGACCTCCAAACTCATGCATAAGTTGTCCAAAATCAATCTCTTCCCTCCATCCCCAATCAAAATATGCATTTCAATGCCAGAGATATCAATAGTGAACCGGGGGACGGTGTGCCAAATCTCAAACATTTCCGTCGAGGATTATTACTTGTTTAAAATTTGCTATTTCGAAACTTAAATTTTGGTCATTGGTTATGTGGTGCTAAGCTTAAGCAATGTGCTATGAGAATGATTTTAGTTTACCTAGGTTATATCACGTTGTGTCATGTCAAATTATGTCTCGTCTCGTCTTGCTATTTCATACTTTGTTATCCCGATTCATACTTCATCATGTCATGTCGGTTACTTCATGTCATGTCATGTCATGTCATGTCATGTCATGTCATGTCATGTCATGTCATGTCATGTCATGTCATGTCACGTCACGTCACGTCACGTCACGTCACGTCACGTCACGTCACGTCATGTCATGTCACGTCACGTCACGTCACGTAATGTCATGTCATGTCATGTCAGAATGGCATTCATTTCATGTCCCTTAAGGCCCGGTCGTTTAGCTAAATTTAGATCCGGTCCTGCCAAGTCACGTCACGTTATTTAGGGGTAGTGCATTGGCTGTTTCTTACGGATTCCGGCAAAATACTGCAGCTGCTTGGATCATATAAGCGATAGCAGTACGGAAGGTTATATAAATTTAATAATACAATTAAACATTTAATATAATAGACAATCGCCACTGCTTTAGACTCACCATCACCACCAGAATCACGCAATGCATCGATAAAGATTTTCTCTAAAGCAGGGGGGAGACCACAAGACGGAGGTGCTTTGCGAGAGCATTTCTTGTGACATTTAAATCTATAAGGAAATTTGAAACTATGTTAATTAATAGTTATGAAACGGTTAAGAAACAAAACTTAAAAATACACCACACAAGTTAAAAATTGATAAGAGAAATGTTTGATACGAGACCCATTTGGCTTTTTATGCTCATTGGATCAAAAAGCTGCTTTGCTGGCTGGCTAACAACATCATAGCTTAAAACATTTTCTCTGAAATCTACAGCCGGTTTTTATCTTTTAAACATAGAGAGGCTAATCATACTGCATCATAAAGCGGTAATATCTTGTAAAAACCACACAAATCCTGTAAAATCCCGAAAAAATCTTGTAAAGATTTAAACTCCTGAAGACTTAGCTTTAAAGGAATATTAGTCATCTATAGTAAAAAAATTACGAACTGGTTGGAAAAGCATACCCGCATTCTTTGCATTTGACACCAACGAACATCAAACGATGACAGTATTCGCATGTCAGTGAGATTAAGAAGGTTTTTGCAGAAAACAAATGCTTGATTGAATGCCCCATTCCATAGCGAGGAAGTAATCGTGTAGGTGTTCGTGGTGACTGAGAAACAGAATCTAGAAATCAAATAAGTCCGAATGAAATTTTTCGCAAGTGGAAAATCAGATATCCAAGCAAGACATCAACAACTCTGCTGGCCATCTGTTCGTGAATAACAAACGCTGAGGGTTACCATTAAGATAATAAGACCTTGGGTATTTTTATGCAAAGTGGAACCTCTAACAGTGGCCACTTTTGGGAACCAAGCTCAGGGGTCGTTGTTTTAGTGGACACCACAAAAATGGCGGAGACGATGAGAGGGGTGATCAAGGCGATTGATACTGGAAAAGGGGGAGGGGTGATAAAGCAATTGATACTTGAAAAGGGGGGAGGGGCGATAAAAGCGATTAATACTCGAAAAGGGGGAGGGTTGATAAAATCAATTGATACTTGAAGAGGGGAGGAGGGGTGATTAAAGCTAATTATTCTCTTGTTTTACTTTACATACATTACAAATTCATGTAAATAATGTAAAAACAAGTTTCACTGAACACAACTCAATTGTAGGGGTGGATTAGGACTTTAAATGCCCCTGATGTATCAAGCAAAGGACATGGAAATAGCATACATTGGCTGGAAAAAACTATCAACAAAATAAATTTGCTAGTTGATGACCTCGCCATAAGTTTGAAAAAAATTACTGATTTTTTATAAAAATACATCCTGTCTAAATGGAAACGAACTTTCTGGCTTTTTCTTTCTTTGTGAAAGGTTATCATCAAAGAAAACAAGATGCCAAAAGAGTCGACAGAAACCTCACTCTAATAAACACGCATATTACCACATCAAATTGCCTATTTGATTGTGACCTTGAATGATTTGACTCTTTTTATGCCCAGCACTAGCAGATTTTTGGAATAGGGAACTTAACCTCTTCACGCAATAAAGGGCCTACCAAATTGTCAAAAAATGTACGATAGTATGAAGCTTGGGTTTACTTACGAGAGCTCGATGGGCAGTCATAATCCCTAGATGAAGACTCGAACCCATTCGTATTTGTCACTGTCAAATTCAATGGTCTGGGCTTTGATCCTGGTCCTTTGCCAGTTGATCCAATCGTATGACCACTACCACTACTACTGCAGCTATCCAAATGCACCCTCTGACCTGGAACGAATCGTATATGAGATTGACACGAGACTCTGTATGAGATTTTACTAAAAGAAATACAATATAAAAGACAATCCTCGTGGAAATATTTGTAACAATTCATCGTACCCGTTTATTTTGAAGGTAAGCAACGAATTTCCTGTCGCATGTACTGTAAGGAGTCTAACAAAGTAGAAAGTTTTAACCTAGGCGAAAACAAACTTCAAAGCTAATCCAATCTGGATATCTCAATGAACCTGGAAGAACATTTTATAATCTGTGCTGCATTTTCAAGCAATTTTGATCAAAGTTACAAGATGAGAATGAAGACTGTTGCGTGAAGATACAATTTTGTTTAGCTTTCTTTTACTGTAAGGAAATGCGTTTGCCTAGCAAAGTGAAGTCATAGATACTCTGAATTTTAAATGAGTCACTATGACTTCATAGGTGTAAGGACCCATTGACAACCCTTTTACTAAGGCCTTGATTTATGTTAAGATGAAAAATTTGGTCAAGTGAAAGAATGAAAAACTGTGAAAACGCATAGCTAGAATGTTGTTTTCCTGCAGCTATCAATATCTAAATCCTACAATAAAAAACATTAATTTGCTAGATTTAATCTTTCTACTTTCGAATAACATTTTTCGCAAGATTTCGGTGTAGCATAATACACAAAGAGAACCAGAAACAGAGAAAACTTTCAAACTTCTCAAAGATTATGCGGCAAAACGGAAAAGGTTCCTTTAAAGAAGATATATTGAGCAATGCATCCACTTCGGTAAACGAGAACTGCTGCAGGGCGGCATCTTTACGGACAGGCAGTTACTTTATTGCCGTATGTCTTATTCTCATCTCTGACGGCAGAATCGTGTAGCACAACATAGTCTATGAACGAAATCGATCAACCGACAAACATTAATTTGGCTAATTTCATGCTAGTAAAAGCTTTTCTACAACTGCGCTGAGAATCATTAATATGAAATAGATCCCAAACAAGAACTACCATATGTCAGAATACATGTGCAATTGGAAAACAAAAAGTCGCAAATAAAGCTTCCATTTCTCATCGTTTATGCGGCAAAAGATACTGCAATGCCTGGCAAATTTACTAGGATCACAAAACGGCTTGAGTCTTGGCTGTATATTTTCTTTTTTTCTAGAAGGTCACCGCTTAAACATAACCATTACTGTTTTTACATTACAAAAAACTCAGATGAATCATTTCTGATAATGCATTTATTTTCTTGCACCAATAAAAACAAACTATTAAAACGGAGGTCGATCAGACTATTGTGTTATCTTCAAAAGTATCTAGCAAGAAAGATAATTCCTTTCAAACATAAAAAATTCATTGGATAAAAGTTTCGTTTTCAAAACTTCCCCAAAGAAAGGGAGGAAAGAAATGTTTTACTGGGAACAAGGTTTGAGTTTTTATCCTTTCCAAAGTTTTCAAACTTGTATGGTCAAAAAATTTGCAATACAGGCACAAAACATAAAAAGTTTTATCCAGCTTAAAAATATGGGTGAAAATCCTTATGTGAATTCTAAATAAGTCGTACAATGAAGTTTTAATAATTTTCTAAAAACTTGACGTTATCCTTAGAAAACTTTAACAAAACTTAAGTAAATTAATACCCTACCTATATTTGCTTCATCAGATTTACTTCTAGTAATTGACACATCATTTGTTGCAAAAAGTACTGGACTTGGAGGAATCGATAGGCTTCCATAACGCATGCTACTTGGCAGACTAAGTGCTTTGTTTTTGTGTATCACTTCATCATCATAACCACCTCCATAGATATCACTTTCTCGACCGAGGCCATCTGATTCTGAGGCAGTTGTGCCCCACGATTCCCAAACAAGATCGTTGGCTTTTTCTCCATTTCTGAGACGATCTATACACAAATGACACCATTTACAATTGTCGATTAATATACACTTTTTTATAAAAAAAACCAAATCGAAGAAATTCAACCTGCAAAAGTTAAATAGTGTTGGAAATTTTTCAATTTTAATGTTACACTCTTCTGAGTTGAACTCAAAGCGTTTGGTCTAGCATGGTTGTTCAAGATTACAAACACTAACGTTACTATTATAAAAATTCTTAAGATTTACATTTCAAACAAAGGCTATCATCTTTCTTTGGATACAGTTCTTGCAAGTTCAAAGTATTCTTGAAAAATCCATTAGGACATGCGAGTAGCTTAAAAGCCATTACCAAATCTTATGGAAATGTTTGCTTAGCAACTGTTACAGGTGCACCACTGAAAACAAAAACTAGGAAACACCTTTCATTATAAATCTTCTTAATAAACCAGCTTAAATACTTCAATAACCATTTAATCTTTTCATTTAAAATACTGTACAACATTGAAAGGTTGTCGAAATGGTTTTCCTTGCTATTAGAAATGAACTAGCCAAATAATTATTTCACTCTGCTTTCAATACTACAGAAGCAGTGACAAAAACTATCTTCAAATATAGTGAGAGTTTGTGAAAGGTGACACTTTACAATAGCGTTTGAAACAGTCTTTACTTTTATGAATCTGACTTGATGTAATGCTATATAAAAGCAACATTGGCTCCATACTGAAACAGCAAAAGGGTGACGGACAGTGGCTTAACGAACCAAAGTTACCATTGGTTAAAAACTAAGGGTCCCCAACCTTAAGGGCCCCAAGCAACAATGTCTTCTTTTTTATTATACTGTGAAGCTGGTATTCTGTATGTGATAAACGAGTTAAGGAGGCCTGAGCCTGCATGACATCTCAGTCTAAACGGATGGAAAGTCTGCTGATTAGAATCTTAGGTAATGTTTACACTGTTTCGCAACTGCTTATAATTGGCACCCCAGCTGCCACAGTTATGCCACTAGTCACGGAGCAAAGAATTCTTTTAGTCCTTATCAACAAATTTCATGAAGTTAGGAATCAATATTTTAACAAATCATGTAGGAATTAAATCCATGCTTTTTTCTGGAAAAAACAGAACCGATAGAACATACGGTCAATTTTTATGTCCACTATTCATATGCCTTAAGTCTGTTCAATAAAATCAAATCTGTCTCAAAATTTTACCACACAGAACATTACCTGAATATGTTCTTAGAATTTTCAAGGCAGCTGTTAGCCGTTTGGCAGCACTGTATTGACTTTCTGTCAAGATTTCACCTTCCTCATCATCCTCATCTTCGTCATCATTATCATCATCATAATCATCATCAAAAATCAGACCCTTGAAGAAGCGTCTGATTCTTTCATCTGGCAGGGCACACAAATCGGGAAGGCTGTCACACGATTCAAGGATTTTCTATTGAAAAATATATCACAATTATCAAATAAAAAGAACTAATTCACATTTACTTGACAAGTTTAACAACAAAAGGTGTAAGGATACCCTTAGAAACAACTGGTCTATGAAATTGAGACAGGCGACTATCCAGCAAGCAGAATTTTGCATACCAATAATACATTTTAGCAAAAACAAGCAAATCTCATGAAAACACTATAACAAATTCGCTAAGGTGAGAAGAAAGTCAAACATCTCAGCCCTTTTGCTACAGGGGCAGACACGTTGGTGCTACTAATATTTTGTAATACATTACATTTGTGATATATTGGTGCTATTTTAATTAAAATGGACCTTAGTTCTCAAGCTGTTAAACATTTTTCAAACACAAATTGGTTAAAAACACCATCCTTAATGGCTAACACCCTTTTCCCTTTTAATAACGCTATAAGAGAAATGGTAATGACACTGTGGCTTAGTTGAAACATTTGATAACAAAGAAATTCTTGGATTAGCGTTCTCTTTGAATAATCATGCCAAATGAGCACCAATTAAACAGTCAAAGAATCAAAAAAGCAACTTCCCAAGCTAGCACCCCTATTATCAATTTTGAATTAGACTGGTTTAAATTTTACTTGAATTGGGTTGGGGTAATATTTAAGCAAAGTATTCTTTGTGATGTGACTCTATGATTTTGAAGCTGCCTTTATGTAATTATAGGTTATTCATCGACATTTTGTCAAATAGGTTAATGTATATACTGTAAATTCTCTTTGAAGCCCCACTCTCAATTAAGCCCCCTCTCTCTTATAAGCCCCCTTCATTTGTTTCTACTTAGCATCCAAAGGTAGTTTTTAGGACACTGAGAAGCTTATGCTTATCGAGCAGTGTCCTGGTCCTTCCTCTCGATGTGACCACACCTCGTGATTCTTACACCTGGAATTACAGAGAGCTGGCGACTCTCCCCACTCTGGGTGAAAGTTTGGTCATGCCAGGGACTCAAACCACAGACCCTTGGATCTGTAGTCAGCGTCTCTAACAACTGAGTCTTCCTCGCACCTTGCTTAAAAAAGCTCTAACCCTTTTAAAAAAGCTGCCCAAATTAGTGTGTGATGATGTGGAGTTTTAAACGCCTTTGGGCTTCTATTCAAGGGTAGCTTCTAACCATTTTCAAGAAAATCTGGTAATTTAAGATAGGTCTGGCTACTAGTTAGTGGAAACGTGAAAAAAGTTAATCAAATTAGATAACATAATGTCATGACCATGACCCTCTATACTGAATGCTCTTTGAATAAAACTAAAAAAACATACAAGTCTTAATTAGTTGTTTGAATACAAACAAAATATATCCTTGCATTTTATCGTGCAAGTAAATGACATGCAAAGCAAAAGCCTAGGGTCATCAGTCTTTGTAATATGGAAATAGGTCACATGCAGAGTTTCGCATGTCTTGACTACTTTACCCGTGCCATGACGTGCGATGTGGACTGCTTTTTATCCATTGTTTCTCTTTTCTGTTGTCAAGAACTATAGGGTGCTGCTTTCAAGGAGACAATTTGTGTTGCAAACAGAACAGAAACCAAAGAAATTGGCAGAGAAATTGTTCTTATTCTTCTTTAAAGATGTTAAATTTAATTAGTTAATAAGTTTTCTAGGAAGTAATCATAGAATATTTTTGTAATCATTCAAAGATATGCAAAAAGTCCTTTGGTGGTACGAAGGTTGAACAAAAATTCAATTTCTCAAAGAAATTGTCATGCATTGCCTAGAAATTACCATCAACATCACTGACTTCAGTATCATCGTTAACATAGCGGATATCATAACGGATATTCTTAAAAAATATTTTAAAATGACACAAGGAATGACACAAAGGTCGAAATAAACACACTTTCTTTGAACACAAAAACATGATTTTGCAGCTCTTAATCTTAAAAACTGTTTGATAACATTTTAAATTATTAAAAAACAGTAGTCGTCGCCTCTCCTTCCTCAGAGCTTTCTTTAGTTTCCTCCTCTTTCTCTAGCTTAGGTTTCTTTGATATACTGATAACATTATCAAGCTTTTGCTTTCTGCTCTTTGAAAGATCGAGCACCGTTGCCCTTTTCAAGATATTTTATCTTTTTTGTCAGTCCATATATTATCATTGATGGCAATACGAAGTCGCATCTCCATAACACTGTATGGCATTCGTAGTTGCCGGATAATTCCGTTCTTTCCCCAACCAATAAATGTCGCCAGCTTCACTTCGTTTCCTTTCGCCATGATCACCAAAGAACAGACTAATCAGGTGAGCAGTGAAGGCAACTCTTGGATCAAACCTATAAATCGCTGAGTTTTGAGTGTTAATGAAGCAAAGTGTTGATTGCAGATTGCTCCCCCTTGGCACCCCCTTGGCTAAATAACCGTTATGTTAAGGGACCTTGTCGTAACTACTTTGTGACACCATTGCTAAATCCGGTATGGGAGTGCTTTAACAACACTTTGGAAAGCGACAGGAATGTCTTTGAATTTGGTGGCTTTGACTTAGTGACTTACTCACTCACATGCGCTTATAAGCGATGGCAATTTCTTTGTTTTGCGCATGTGATGATTTGCATGCCTTGGACAATTTGGGCGTGTGTGGAGGTGTGCAATCGCATATTACAAAGACTGGGTCATGTAATACTCTAAAAAAGTGTATCCTTTTCAGAATAGTTCAAAATATGTATATACATACCTCTTTAACATCACACTCTACATCAACAACTTGTAGAAATTGGTCCAATTTTGAATATTTTGAAACATCTTCTTTGGATGAACTCAAGGCATCATGATTCTTATAAATTGTGGACAACTGCTTAGAAAACAGTTTCATCAATTTTCCCTGAAATGTTTTAAGAATATATTTTATCATGATCAAATTACAAATTGCTAAGGCAGATGTTTTAAGTAAGAAAATAGAGGTGTTCTAACATTAAATTACTTGTCACTTCCTGTATGCATTCCTCTAACATCATTGCTCTACAGTGGCAGCAATATTAAAAATCCAAGTTGAAAGAGCTTTGTTTGCAACTGCTGTAAAAGTCAGTTTACAGGATCATATTCTGGTAAAATTTCCATCATATTTACTTCACGTTTTTCATTTGATCACAAAATGTTATTGTAATCACAGCCTTACAAGTTGCTTGAAGTTGCACAAAGTTGCTTGGTCCTTTTAAATAGAGTACCAAATTGATGACATCATAAAAATCTATTCCTCAAATTTTGATCTAGGAACCTGAAAGAGCATCAAGACATACCACTACATATGCAAAAATCATTTAAAGGCATTGCGAATTGGCTGAGATATGACCAGCTGAGCACAGGCCCTTTCCTGGTCAAACCTCTGTAATTTTGGTCTTGGTTCAAACTTTCTGAACCAGGCCAAAATAACAGTAATCCCTTAGCAAACTTTAAATCTTTCATTGGCCATATCTCACCTAATTTGGAACATATCTAACTAACTTTGCATAATGAGAGGTATTTTATGCCGTTCTATCAGATTATGTGGCCAAATTTAAGAAATTTCAAAAACAGATTTTTGATGATGTCACACTTTGGTACTCTATTGCCTGACAGTTCACCATCACAGATACATCTTTACATTGCCATTGATTGCAAATAAAGTGATATCAAAGCTAATTTTTGTTTCTATAACTCTGTTGCCAGGCTTTACAAAGGAAAACACAAAGTCCTTATGAGACAGGTGCCTCTTCCCACTGAACCCTCTAGACACCATGCCCTATTGAAATTTTAAATACTTCTAGAATTTACATGCACCTGCTACCTTGAGCAATGGTAAAGATAATATTTGTCTGCTGGGTTAAGATTTTAACAATAATCCTATGAATATTGAGAATTCTTTAATAGTTTACAGGTAACTTCTACAGCACCTGCCCAGCTTAAAAGCTGTTAATAATTTTTGCTTGATGTGATATAAAATGAGTTTATGGGTAGAAAGCCTGTTCCTTGTTTCCTTATCTCTTTTAGCCTTGTAATAGAATTCAAAGGCTTCTAAATAAGGTTCATGGCTCCATTTTTGTACTAAAATTGAAAATCTGAATCAATTTAGTAAGCTGAAATTAATGTAAAACTTGGAATAACAGATACTGTATCCAATGATTATAATTCTGCAAAAATTCATTTTGGAAAATGAGTTATTCCTTGAGTCATTTATACTCAAGTTAAAGTCAAAATGTCAGAAGATTAAATTCAAAATGTCTCTATATGTATCCAAATCTTCAAGAGAACAAAAGCTTCCCAAAGGCCAATAATTAATACATGTGTTTAGTCATAGTCAATAGAATAGGGACAATTCTGACTTTTGTATTTAGTTCATCAATGAAACTATTCGTGCTCGATTTCAAAACCCCGATCAGAGCGTTTTGATGTAGCTGTAAACGAAATTTAATTTCAAAAGAAAACAACTGCACACGAACTTTGCCACAGCATCCACCATTTGCTGCATTTTTATCAAATCAAGAGTGAGCAGGCAATTAGGCTGTGGATAAGCGTCTACCACATCGAATGGTATTTGCACGTTATGAGCGGGTAGCCTAATTGCCGAATGAAAACAAATCAAAATTGGAACACACCTCAACAGTTCTTATTTCGTGCTGTATGAGACTTGAAGCAGAAGACTCTTCTCTCCGGAGACCTTCAAGTGATGTAATCCTCATATCGATCATTCTTTGCAACATGTGCAAGTCCTGCAGGACTGCTTCGGGAGAATCCATGTTTGACTACCTTTGATTTACAGGGTAAATGCAAAGAACCAGATCCTCTTTTGAAAAGAAGCGAATAAACTTGCTTTACGTAGAAACAGTGATAAACATCATTTCAATCTGGAATTTAAGACTTCAGTAGCAATCGGAATAAATTGGTTTCATTTCAAGTACAATCAAAATAATTTTCAGCAGACGCAGACCGTAGAACTCGACAGTTTTTAAACAGACATTCACACATAAACGAAAGCAACAAAAGTTTGCATTCTATGATTTGAGAGCGAAACCTCTAAAGCGGAACTCTTGTATGCGGAGCAAGTTCCAAATGCCTCTTCAAACCAGCAAATCGGCAACAACCGGCCTAAGTTCGATGTGGTGCACACGCCTGCAGGCAGTTCGGCTGAGTCAATGCTGACTTATACATCCACTGCACAAACGAACAAAATATTTTCTCGTGTGCCTAGATTTTCAAATTCCAACAAGATTTATGAAATAACGAAGGTCTTGACATCTTTGGAGTTTATTTCATTTCATTTCCAAAACTCACCACAAAGTTTCATCGAAACGACCCTGAAAATTCAAGTCGCCCCTCAAAGAATGTTTATGTTGCGCACCTCAAAGAAGATCTGGGGAGAGAAGCGTCATTGCTCTAGAATGGCGGCAATTTTAAAATTTCAATTCAAAAGAGCTTCATTGGTCATATTCAAGATCATATTCAAGTAAACTCCCATCATTTTACTTTACATTTTACACGTGATCACATAATTTTATCGTGTAAACGACCTTACAAGTTGATAGAAGCTACATGAAGCAGCAAGAGGGTACTCAATTTGCTTTTCGGGAAAGCGAGAAATGTCATTATTTGTGAGCGAGATTTGGGAATCGATAAAAACTTATTTACACGTGAGGAATTTTTCACGCAAGGCAAATTTTTTCTCACGAATTATTCAGCTGCAAATTTTCCTCTCGAATTGGAAGTTAATTTACATTAGCAAAAAAATCTTATCCGAGTTAACTGCAAATCTTGCGAAAGAATATAGCGACCGTTCGAAGAGTACTGTTAGCTTAAAATTTCAAAGGTAGTCTTGCATCAAAGCAAGCAAAACAGCAAAAAATTGATACTGGATTACAAAAATTTATTCATAAAATTTTTGAAAGGGAGTAATTTCATCTATTTTTTTCAAAAGTTTGAGGCTGGATTGTTTAGGGTGTGAGCAGTGCAATTGTGTTAGTGTTGTGCTATGGGGGAGGGGGGGGGGCTTTCAGGCCCCATTCGCCAACAAAATCAATGAGACATCAAGTTATTTACATTGAACTTAATTTTGCATTTGTTTGAAACAAAAAATAAAGAATGGTAAGAAAAATAATTGTCTTATGGTTTGATAACCATTTTATACCCAAGCTTGATGTTTTAAACGTAAATCTTTCTGTTAGGACAACATAGAAACTTGATATGCTCATAAAACTGACATGATTCATGGTGCTGGTAAAATCATATTTAAATAAAAGTAACAGGGAAGGCCGTATTGCAGTGGTGCAGCATGGTCAATGCCATTACTGTGGAGACACATCCTTACTACCCAAGAGTTTACTTTCGTCAAAAAAGCACCTTCTGACCTGCATAATGGTTTTTTGCCCCAGTTCATGCCAGTTGCTATCCAAACAATCTGTATATCTAATAATGTTCGTAAGCTTTTCCTTAAGAAGTTCTAGCAAATTGGCACTTCTCTCGGAAAATTCAACCCGTTATGCAACATTTGACATTGTACCTTCTTGCCATGCGGATTCCATAATTTTTTCTTGTTGAGCCTTGTGGCAAATTGGCCATTGCCTTATAGGCACATTGTGACCTTCAAATACTGTTGGTAAAACATAGTCAGGCTCTATTCATGGAGGGGTGAGGTAGTGACTGAAGTAGGTGAATTTTGAATGTGCAGTCAAAAATGAAAACAACCAAGGACCGAGATATAGGGGGGGCCGGGGGGGCCCTGGCCTCCCCAAAAATTTTAGTGCCACAAGTAAAACACTTTTGTATTACTATTTAGTACTTTGAGAAATAGTTCAGATTCAAGTTCATTTTTTACCCTCTATACAAGCATGACCCTATCTAAGCAGGTCCTCCTTTAGTGTACCTGCGTCTCTGACACTTTAAGTCTGCAGGATAATTGTCAACATGTATTACTTGGCCCTGCATGAACCAAAGTTTTCTTGCTGTTGCTATTTACCGTATTTTGGCGGGAAATCACTTCCCTTTCCAAATCGTTGCCTAAATGGCCACCACGTCAAAGTAATGGAAAGGAACTTTGAACTATTTTTTTCGAAAAGCAGCGAGAAAGAACTGCTGTTTCCAGCAAGTTATCAAATAATCAAGATAACAATGGACTAAACAAATCTAGTAAGGATCCGGGAGATGGAAATATAATTGCAGTTTCTACACGCAATAGCGTCTTAGGTCTGGCCTAGTGAACGAGAAAAATGAGAAACATCAAACTGGAGTTGATGGTTAGGTGCAAGAAAAATTAAAACATAACGATACTCTCTCCGTTCCGGAAATAGGAGAACGAGCGAACATTGCAGGTCGCCAAAGGTCTTTTCAACACACCCCTCACGCCCCTTTTCATGCCGGCCCTGCTGGCCCCCCCCCCCCCCCAAACAAAAAGTTGTATCTCGGTCCTTGAAAACAACCCATTGTGAAAACCATTCCGGTGTTGTGAACTCGGGCCAAAAACTACAAAAAGCTCAATCTACTATTTGGGATAAGGTTTATTTCAATTGATAGGCAAAAAGAGAAATTACTTGCCAAAAGAGAATCTCTAGAATCTGTTGAGACATTTAAGATTGAATCAAAAGCTAGAATTTTGAAGACTGCAATGAGAAAATAAACTCCACATTTAATAGGGCTTTCACTTCGGCAGTTTTGTAGTTTCATTTGATGCGATGCATCATAGATGTTGTTTTTATCATAGATTTCCTCCCATAGAAAGTCTGCCAAAATAGCTGGTTTTTAAAGTCGATGTTAAATCAAAAGACAGTGGTGGTGTTAGCAGCTACCAGTGGCGGCGCCAGCCATTACAGAGTGGGAAGGTAATGGGCGTGGCTCGTTTCAGTGCTTTGTACCAGGCTAACTTTCCTTTGTGAAACTGATCTACCCCTACCCAGCGCTTTTCAATCTGTTCTTAGAAGAAATGTATGGACCATGTTTTCAGAAAAGTAGGGAGGGGTAATTACCCCCACAATACCACACCTTGGCGCCGCCACTGGCAGCTAAAATGACGATTACGATGAGGAAGAAGACAGAGACGAAAGCAATAACGAAAAAAGGACAAAGTAGAAACGGACAATAAAAGATAAGCTGAAGACTAGGATAACTATTGAGATGAAGATGAAGACAAGGACGAGACGAAGACGAGACAAGACGAGGACGAAGATGAAGACGAGGACGAGGACGAGGACGAAGACGAAGACGAAGACGAAGACGAAAACAAGACCGAGGATGAAGAGTAAGACGAAAATGAAGATGAAGACAACGACGAAAACGAATGAAAGCTGAAATTATCTGCTATACAAGAGTGTACCTAGTAGATGAATTTGGAGTTGGACAGTTTGCTCTTAATGCGTTTCCCTAGTTTTGTGACATTTTTGCGTTTGTTAAGCAATAGGTGCTTTGAAAAATGCTGATCAAATGAAATTTTGTCAGGGTTAATTTCACGAGAGATAATGTAGAATTTGATTTCACTAGGGGTTCTTTTTTAGCTGATTTGTATCATTCTCATTTCGGTAAAATTTAAAGCCCAAGTTTTTAACTAACCAAATTAAAAAGGCTGTGACAAGTTGTATAAGAGTTCATTACTATTTAGATGGGAGATAATGAAAGATCTAGATAGGTAGAGAAACAAATATACGAAAGTTTTCTATTTATAAACATTATCGACAATGGTGAAAGCACGGAAATTGGGCTATAACGATAGGTGTGCACTGTACCTACAAGTACATATGTATTTGCAATAAAATAAGCTTTTCTTTGCACAACCTCGTAAGATATTCATAAAGTGAACTCGCAGATACTTAACTTTATGCTAAGACTGCTCATTTTCCTCAGTGTTATTAAAGAACTTGCTAATTTCCCCCATTGTCTATAAAGAATATGTTAAACATCTTGGTACAAATTTTCTGTACTACAACGGAGACCATTGCGAGAAATGATCCAACAGAATCCAATTGATATAGACTTTGCTAAATGCTTCCAAGTCCATCTTTTCAATTCATTTATATTCCTTTTACGAGTAAGGGCATTTCCGTTGTGGGTCAAGATCGGTGGAGGTTCAGAAAGGGTCTAGGTATCCCGTGCGGTAGTGTAGAGAGAATAGACAATTATAAAGCCTAGTTTTTTTAGAAATTACAATATTCCCAGATGATGGCTGGATGATTTGTTTGCGCAAGATATTAGGTAACTCAAATCTTAAAATGATTCCTTGTTTAATTAGTGGAAGCTTCATAAGGTGTAAATTAGGGGGTGGGCATATTTTGCGGTAGTGCCGAGGTAGGAAATAGGTGATCTTTCACTCCATATATTTTACAAACGGTTTGTGTTTCTGCTTAGGGCTCCTAGATTTGTACCAAATAATTACTCTAGAAGCAAAGTTTGAAAAATCTTCTTATATCTTGATAAAAATCTAAAAATCTTGTTAAACCTAAGCCTAAACCTAACCCTAACCCTAACCCTAACCCTAACCCTAACCCTAACCCTAACCCTAACCCTTTACTTGAAATAATTAATCATACTAATTTATGATTATTTATGACTATCAGGTCGAGCAGTTGGAAACTAGACAATTCCGAAACTAAGCAATTCCTGATAAGGGTGACAATGGCAATCATGCAAGGCTCGCTGGCTCTGACAACCACAATCAAGTTGTTTTTATCTCTCAGTGGATTGATTACATATCCATTTTTACATTATGCTATTTGTTCATTTATTCGTTGGAAGGCACCCTGGCTTGATAAAGGACGCGCATTCAGAATCACAACCAGGTATTTTATTATCAGCCATATTGTTTACGTATTAAACTCAAAGTTATCATTTTCGGACTGTTGGAATTTCTTGTGTCTATGCTCATGATCTACTTCTTTGGACCTTTGTTGTAGTGTTGAATTACATCATAAAATGACAGTTTATTGACAATCAAACATTTTCTTGCAGTACTGTCTCTGGCCTTCAATCTGTGGTAATAGTTGCCATCTCAGCAAGAGCTGTTATAATGTGCAAAGATATAATAAACGATGAAGACATCTTCATTCATGCTTTCATATGGTTTGCTGTATCATATTTCCCATATGATATCATAGTCATGTTTATTGGAAGCACATATGCAAACAAGAATAAGAAGTTGCATATTACTCATGGCAAATCATTCTTGAAATTTTTCAAAAAAGAAACAGTTATGGTTTTACATCATGTTATCTTCCTTACTGTTGGATTTCCAATTGCAGAAGTGAGTATCTATTTTTATTTGATCAGATCTAATTAACTCTTTTATTGTTCCTAGCAGTATGGTATGATACAATTGCCTACCTATTCAATATTTTTTTATCATTTGAAATATTATGTTGCATTATGATCATAATATGCCGTTGTTTTTTATTCTAATTTTTTGCTATGCTTGTACAGTGGATAAAGAGCTACTTGAAAGTAGGGGGTAAAGAGACATCATACTGTTTAAGTCTGTCATCTCTTTTGCAATGTCATTATTTCTTATCCAACTAGTCAAAAGCAAAAAATGTGTCAAAATAGGCACAGGCTGAATAAAAAGAGGCTTAGAACACAGTGCATCAGTCTTTGTAATGTGATGAAAAACTGCATGCAGTGTTTTGCACACCTTGATTATTTTTTGCATGCGATGTAGTGTGATTCAAACAACTTTTTATCTGTGGTTTTTAATTCCTGCTATCTTAAAAAATAGTGGGATCTTCTTTAAAGGAGACCTTTTGTGTTATAAGCTGATCATAAACCAAGGAAATTGACAGAGAAACTATTCTTATTTCTTGCTAAAGATGTTACATTTAATAAGTTAATAAATTTCAAAGAAGTGATTATAGAATTGTTTTGCAATCATTTTAAGATATCTGGATCTAAAAAAAATCAAATGTTCATAGACCCTACTGATTGTCTGTGGAGATGATGCCATGCAACTTCACTGACTTGCATATCAGCACTAAAGCCCCAGCCAAATGAGCCAACATTTCTCCCAAAGTGAGCCAACATTTCACCCAACATTTCAGCCGACACGCTCTATTCGCATGTTGGCTCAAATGTTAGATCGTTTGGCCATCATGTTGGGTCACCATGTTGTTGGGAAATGAATAGAGTTTTGGGGAAAAGTGTTTCTTTCAATATCAGGAATGGCAGACTTAGGTCGTCTTGGACTCAATCTGAGTAACCCAAAAACGGTTGTGCCAAATGTTAGGTGAACTGTTGGGTCATTTGGCCAGCCTTTCTAGCAACTCCCAACATTGTTGGAAAAGATGTTGGGTTAAATGTTGGGCAAAATGTTGGCTTGATTGGCCAGGGCTTAAGGTAGCAGATAGCATAGTGGATATTCATCAAAAGAATATATTATGATTTAACCAGGCTACCTTTTAATAATGATATAGTGGTAATGTGGTCAAGAAAATATGAAAATGGAATGAGAAAAGCGGAGACATATACAGAAAGTAATGGAGACAGAGTAATGGAAACTGGGCCTTAAGAGTTATAATGCCCCCTGGAAATGCCACCAAGATAATGCAATTGTTTTAGAGAAAATAAATAAGAAATTAAAGAAACAAAAGAGAAAAGAATAGTAAGTCAAAACATGGAACTAATTGTGTGAAAAAAGCATACCTCAGTAGTTTTAGGCATGTGTGGAGGCATGCATGTGCGATCGCACAGGATCCTTGCCTTTTTTAGTAGACCTTGTAACTAGACGCAGCATGCTTTTAGATGAAAGCTTAAATGTTTTCACAATAAGAATTTTCCTTAACTTTTCTATTTTTTAGTTTTACAAGAAGCAAATTGGTGACTTCTTCCTTTGCTGTTTTCTCTTAGCAGAAGCAAGCACACCATTTTATTCTGCCAGGTGTATTTTTAAGGAGGTTGGTTTTTTCATTTTCTTCCTTTTAAAAATTTTGTACTGCAAAACTCTGAAAATCACTGCAAATCCAGACATGGGGCTGTTTATAATACATTGCAATTACAATTCGATAAATGAAATGCTTACTATTGGCAGATTTTACTTGAAATCCATAGAGTCTAAATACAGCATTTTCAATGCAACACTTTCATGAAAACCCACGGCTAAAACCAAGAATATTGATCAATTGTATTTAGCCAATTAGCTACCAGGTGTTTACTGGAGAAGATATGATCCTTGACAAGATTGTTCTTGCTAAAATGAAAAACTAGCGGAATGACCACAGAACTAGAAGAATAACCAACAGAACAAACACTGAATTATTGGAACAATCAACAGATTAAAACGATCAATTGCGTAACAAGTGAAACCCTCCAGGAATGAACATGTGAGCAATCTCAGTGGCGACAAAGAAGATTGGTGGATTGATTTGAAGTTCTTACCATCCTTGATTTTTTGAAACCAAACAAAATGTATTTTCTGAACTAGAATGTTTCTTCTGAACAGGATTCCCATTAAGCCCATGAAACAAAGTAGGCCCATAAATAAGTAGGTCCTCTGCCTCTCTTTTTGGTCTCTGCCTAATCCTTAACCCCAAGTAGAAGCAAGTAGAATAGCCTTAGCGAAGTGTTCTTAGGATAAAATTTTGTTGTTACTCAACTTGTAGGTCTTAGTCCAGCATAACAAATCATAATGTAGCATTTAGATAATTTTAGGCATTTTATTGTATAGACCTAAGCCCTAAAGGTAGGAATAATGAATCAACTATGTATCTTAGAAGTTAACACCACTAGCCAAATGTGATCAGCCCAACCATGGTCATTCCATCCTCTGCTTCTTCTATGGTCCATTGTGATTCCTCTAGTTCAGTGGTTGTTCTGTTGTTCTTCTGCTAGTCATGTGGTTGTTGCATTTTTGTTCCATTGCTCAAGGAAATGATGGTTTATAATATGAAAATGGAAATTGAAGATGGAAAGTTTGTTCAAACGGCTCTACTACAGTTTGAATTTTACCCAGTGATACAGTTTTAATTATCCAGAGTTTGCTGTATTTTGTGGAAAAAGTGGGGTCTTGGTTACGTGAAAGAATATTAAACAAGAATAATGAAATTTTATTATTTTTGCTTGTATTCTGATGAAGAATTTTTCAAAGAATTATCTACTTGCATCATCATCCAATTGTTAGAATATCCTTTTTTGCATCAGGGCCTTTATGTCTAAAAAGTAACCAGTTCTTGTGTCTGTTGTTTAGTATTATTCTTAGTTGCTTTGCTTAATCTCTTCACAGCTGGAAATCAGGAGCGGCTGGTTTTACGTAATGAATGGACTGTTGTTTTTGGTGGTCTTTCTTTTCTGCAGAGTTTTATCCACACCACTTATGTTTCTGAGGTATTCATATTATGCCAATATACCATTTATGCAAGTACCATTCAACATACCGTTCAAATGCACCGCTGCCTGTATAGTTTTCTTCTTATTACAATTTCACTGGTTTAGACTCATTTGCCTTGCTGCTAAGAATCACGTTTTTAAAAAAGAAAAAAGTAACAGCCTCATTCTTATGGAAGACAGAAATCTAAGCAAGAAATCTGTGGAAGACAAGCAATGTGGTTCTCATCTTACCAATGGACATTTGAAAACAACATGAATGATAACAAGAAAGCAAATTATGTTATCTTGATGATAGTATTTAAAAATGGTTGAATTTCATGTAAAGTTTAAAGATTACTAATATTTAAATTCGCACAAATATTTCAAAGAAAAGTTGAATGTCTTTTCAACATCAGATTTTTATCATTTGATCACGCAGGGAAGCAATACAAAAAAATTTATTGCCTAGTGGCCTTAACGATTAATTCATGAAATGATGCAATGCCTGCCATATGGAATCATTGGTGATAAAATTTGATAGTATTTTTAAATATCTAAAATTTTGATATAGTATAAATGTTTTGATAATGAATAGAATTTTTGAGAATAAGCCTGCATTTGAATTATAGTTATTGCATATGATCCATTTTAAAGAGTGGTTTGGTGATGATAATATAAAAATAAGCATCTTCTTAGCTAGAACTTGATAATGGTGTTATGAAATTCAAGCACTGATACAAAAGGTGTAGTTTTTTGGAAGCTGCTCTTTTCTGGCACTGTAGAAGGCAATGGTTGGGCTTGGGTTGAAGCAAACAGTTTTCCTTGGAACAGCTGTAGAGAAGATGGATTGCCACTTGAATCCCCCTGCTTTTTTCCAACTCCCTCCTTTTGTTAAAGATTTTAAAGTACCCAGAAATACCACCAATCAACAAATGCTAAAAATGCTTTGGGTTTGAAAGCTCTTTAGCCAGGTAAGATATGATGCGTGGTTTAATTTTGCATCATTTTGTATGCCTCCGTTTGCAACAGATAACATGAATTAGTCTCTTCGAAAGATTATGGTGCGTCTGACGATGTTTTTAGTGCATGCATCGATCAAGGCAAATGCCTTTCACTGGGACTAAAAAGGAAAAAAATCAAGTCTGCGAACCCACCCCACCTTAACCCATCAAACCCCACCCCTGGTCCCTCCCGAATCCCTACCCACTGGACAAAAACGACCCGCAAATCCTTCTATTGTCCAGGCCTCCGGTCACACCCTCTCTTTACCACACCCACTGCCACTATGTCTACCTGGTCTGCACCACTCACCTCCACACCAACCTTTCCTACTTCTTTGCAAACCCACTCCAAATCTGCCACCACCCCTACCACCCCACTCCCCGTCCCAACATCCCCTATTAATTTACCTGAACTCAACCCACCACAGGCCCTTTTAGAAACCCTCCCTCTGCCCCCACCCCAAACCTTCGTCATCATCCTTGCCAGACATACTCAACACCCGCGAAGACGGCCAAGGAGGCAGTACCAGCATTCCACCTTTTGACACTGCTTCCTCTCTCTTCCCCCCTTTTTTGCTGTATTTTTGCTGCTTAATTATAGTATAATAAAACATATTTTTGCTGCTTAATTATAGTATAACAAAACATGTTTAGCTGTATACTTTAACTTCACTTCCTTTTCGTCAGCCATATAAACCTCTGTTTACCTATAACGATGTTGCTTTATTCGTACTCATTATTCTGCTATCTAGATTGCAATATGTACACGGCCAATGAATCCTAGCACAGCTTCCAAACCCACCATACTCAGGAAAACCATTGGCATCAAGCGAAGAAAACATACCAACCAATAAACTAACTAAAAATGCACATAAAAAGCTGCTCAAAAAGGCCATCCCGGCCACTAAACCAATCACATTGTCAATCTATCCTCAGCTCACATTTCAACAAGTGAGACATCTCTGCTGAACAGGGGGCTATCGTTTGTTCCTGCTCCCTGGCCCTTGGTAATTTAATTCAGCTTGGTTTTGGAGTAGGATGTGCACAGAAGTTTGAGATAGCCTAAACAAGTCCACCTAAAATAGTATCATTTATAGGCGTTGACTGCGAAAAGACCTAAAAATGTCTTCTCTCGGTTTAATGAACTTCCAATATAACGTACTATTTTCTAGTTTCCTTCAGAGTTCGTTATATCGAGATTCCACTGTAGCTAGCTTCCTTGTGCATCATTGGCGAGCGCAACCAATTTAGGTGGACAAGGTAACACTGATCAAAATTGAAGAAGCATTAAAGCTACATAGGCTGGACAAAAACAAAGTTGGAACATGGAAGTAACCCAACAAATATTTGGCTGCCGACATAATTAAGATAAAGAAATGATATGAATTTTAGATCCTTACAGTTCGATCGATTCGTTCACTTGGATATAATGAAATGATATGCTACAGTCTTTCAGGAGCTTCGTTTTGCAAAATTATTAACATATGGAATAGCTTGAATTAAGTAAACGGTGTTGTTTCAGACGGGACGGATATTTCATTTTGGTGTGCCCCAAGGAAGAGTCCTTGGTCTCATTCTATTTCTCTTCTTATCAACGATATTCCGAAATTTATTTAGAACATGGTGACGGTGTTTACAGACGGCACAAACACTTACTTTATATATTTGACAGTCAATGTTGTTCCAAATTACCTTGAAGAAATCGGTTTTTGGTGTAAAAGGTGGCAGCTATGTTCAGCGATGTATTTGACGTAAATAAAAATTAATTACACGACCCCCTTGGACTGGAACTAAAAGAACCAGAATCAAAATAAACCATTTGGAAAATCTTGTTCCACGGAGAGGCGTGTGAATCTCTGAAATGGCTTGCAAAAACAGTAGCTCATGCGAGTATTTTGGGCATTTTTAAGAAAAAGTTGTTCAAGCACTTGCATGATCAGCATTTAAGAAATTGATTTTTTATATAAATCTTACTTTTTAAGACACCTAACATTCTTCAGTTTTTATCAGATTAACGAAGCATAAAATATATAAATAAAAGTACCAGGAAGGGTCAGCACTCGTGGACCGACCTCCCTTCTCTATAGGGGGTCATTTGGTTTCGGCGTGATCGCTGCTGTTTCATGTGACACTTGCATCCGTTGTTGACAACTTGCTATTGATGGAAAAATTTTTTGTCAATCAGTACGAGGTGAGTTCATGTGACCAGTTCCAGGTCAACCAATAGCATGGCATTCATGAAAATCATGACTCAGCGAATTTTGGCGCTTAGGGTATACCCTATCCATTCATCATGACTCAATGCATAATTAATTTTAGTCAATTACTTGCTTATATTAAGGGTTGCTTGAGGGATTTTGAAAAACCTCGCTAGTCCAGGGATTGACAAGGATATCACAGATTGGAAAGAGAACTAAAAATTTTTCGGGGAGCTAAACATGCAAAGACCAAAAGAAAGATTTTTTTATTGCTTTAAGTACAGATCTGAAAAATTATTGATGTGGGTAGGGGGGGGGGGCATTAGCCCTCCAGTTTAAAGGTTCTGCAGCCTCTCTAGTTTGACAATCCTGCATTAAATTTCAGCTAAATACTTGAGAAACGCCTTAGGTGAGCTAAAACCATGTCTAGTGTAATAAATCTGATTTTAAAGTAGAAGGATATAATTTTCTGCCTATCCTTTACATACATACAAGGAAGGAGTTGGGCAGACAAAATGTGAGCAAGGGAATATGTGAATGATCCTCCATGTTTTGTAACAAATTTAAGACAAAAATTTAAACAATCCATAGAATACTTAAGGGGAGGTCCAAAAACGTGTCTTTGGAGATTTAGGTTTTATCATTTAACAGCTAAGTCATATGCATTTTGCATTCATTTACCATGGTTATTTGGAAAGTTTGAGAAGAAGTACACAACATATAAAAATTGATGTCTTTGGTTAAGCATTATTTGTTAGAAAACTGTTCATTTGACAATCAATCTGTTTATTTGAATATCTTATTTGAACCTTCTAAGCTAAAGTATATTCTAAAGCTGTAAAATTCTGTGCTATGTTTTTTTTCTAAGAAACAAAAATCAACAGGCCTGGCCGTTTGAGGAGAGCCATATCTGTTGCTCCCCTTCACGCTCTCCTCAAATTGTGGAGAGAAGCTTCAGATTGCTCTCATAAATTCATTTAAATAACAAATTGCTCTCTTGAAATAAATTTTTCTTTGCCTCTATTCTTATTTATCTACAAATAGCTCACCTGGTAATTACTGAAGGAGAGCTGTTCACTACTCCTCTGCTAAAACTAACATGGCTAGGCCTGGTGGCAATTTTAGATCAGATCTAAAAATTCTAAAAATTCTCAATGTAACATAAGATGTTTTTCTACACAGATAAAAGTAATTTAAAAGGAATTATAAATATACCAGCTCCAATAGCAAAATAAAGAATTATTTCTTCGAACATTGCAGCCCCATTATTAATTAATTCATTAAGTTGAAAGCTCACCCCTTTATATAACTACATAGAATATTATCTACAAAGTGCTGTGTGTATGTCTGTGTGTATAAACATGTTTTAGTTATCTATAAATGTTAAAAAGGCTGCCTAAATTTCTCAGAGAATACACACTTTTGCTCTCTGTGTATAGAATAAGTTTGTGTACAAGTCCTATATTCAAGAGTTGTAAGGAAACACTTATCCATCTTAGCAAATTGTAAACCTATCCAGGATTCGTTTTAAGACTTGAAGTATGTAGAAAAATCTATCAATAACTAAAAAATCTGTCTGCATAAGTGAAATTTTTTTATCCTTGGCACAATTTAACAGGATTCAATCATATTTCTAGTTAAGATGGAAGATTGTGGTTTAATTTTTCATTTTTGAGAACTAAATGACACGCCCAAGAGCCTATCCATATAAATGCAAAAATTTATCTACACTCGTTGAACTATTTTGTTCATTTGAAAAACTAACTCCAAATGCAATACATATTCTGATTTCTATATTATTTTGAATATAGAACTTGAGCCTAAGGTACCTTCGGGATAATTACCATTGGCACAAACAAATCTTTGTTGTCTTAAATAAGTAAAGTGCTCATTACTTGATAAAGGCCTTACTGGATATGACTAGAACAACTTTAGTCTTCATTGTCTTTGTCAATTTTTTCTAACGATTTCTTAGAACTTTAAACTTGACTTTAAACTTATTTAAACTTGATGTTTTTCAAAAAGAATATAAAAGGCTTCTGAGTCCAAAACTTGGAAAATGAATTGTTTTCTTGGCTTCATATCAATGGATGATTTGAAGTATGTGAAAGGTCTGGAGTTGAAAGATCTGTATGCTACACTTTTCTATGTAGTTCTCGTCCTCCATAAGGACCAGTTCCATTTATTTCCCTTGCATTACATTCAGTCCAACATGCTAGCCATCTTTACTTTTCTTCATTCTTAGTTGTCACATGGCCCAGTTCCATTTGTGATATTCCACGACTTTTCCAAAAGAGTTTTTACAGTTCCAATTTCTCCTTCAGGCACTAATGCATGGTCATAATCAAAAGTACTAATGTAGTATATGGAAATTTGTGCTGCAGCAAGAGGTTCTGTTATATTTGATACAATTCCTGTTTCATCAAAGCCAAGGGGGCTATCACCTACATGAATCATTTTCCACTTCTCCCTACTTGATGGATGGTATATTGTATTCGGGGGAAACTTGGACAATGAGTCTTCGTCTAAAATAAACGACACATCTCCATCTATGATTGAAAAGTGGAAAAACAGTTCTTTTTGCATACCAGCCTCTATCCGACCCATTTCCGGGTGCATATTCTTTGTTGGGAAAAACATGAGCTCGAGCATTGTTTGAGTGACTTTAAACAAGTTTGAAGGTGAAATTCCTGTAACGTAATAATCTTCTGAAGGAAAATATAATGGCTTTGAAATAACGCTGCTTTTCTTCAAATCGGTGAAAATCGAATTCATCATCGCGCCCCTTTTTGGACCTCCGATTTTTGCATGATTTTCATCAAAAATCTTAAAACGTTTTCCAAGACATTCTATCGCTTGTGAAAGGTTAGCTTCTTGAACCAAAATAAAATCTGACTGGTATGTAGATATGCAAAACACCGTAATACCACAATCTGCCAATGGCGATATCACAGCTTTCGCAATTTTACTCACACCAGCCAAATCAACGAAGCCTACAATTGCACCCGCAGATACTGTAATAGCTCTCCACGACTTGCCAGAAGTTCTCAACCCAGACGGAAAGTTTTCGACTTCTTCTTCAGGCAGCACTAAAGTAAATTCTGAGCCTGTCTCAGTGAAGCTAAAAAACTGTGGACTTGAACCTTCTAACAACGATATTTTTATGATTGCATGAACGAACCGCGGTAACTCGGCTAGGTCAGATGAGCAAATTTGCAGCTTGTGGCGTAAAACATAGAGTTCCACTGGTGTATCCGTAGGCGATGTAGCTAGAACAAAACCGTTTTCCATACTTTCCATTTTGCTTGGAGACGCTACCCATGCAAACCTTTTGTTTTGATAACTTCTTGACAATATAGGCCACGCACCTTTCAGAGAGGCAACACCCACAATTTGCGAGATGCTTCATGTAAAGGTGTAAACTGTCCTCTGTTCTGTCAACACATTTACGCGCCGCGTTTCCTCCTGTGGCTTCACTTCACTTCCAACAGGAGCTTGTATTGTTTATGGAAACAAATGAAGTATTTTCTTTCCAAAGTCATATCATACTCTGAATCTTTTTCACTAAAGATTATGTGTAAACCTTGTAAGATATTTGGCTGCTTAACAGCAAAGAAAAATATTCTCTAGGTCTGTCGTCAGTATTGAATGAGTATTTTAGCGGAAACAGTGGCGGAAATTATGGGGGTTTAGGGGGGCCCCCAATCAAACTAATCGAGGAGAGAGCACCCCCTGTACTAAAAGTCTATTATTTTATGGTACTAACATTTTAAGTTCATTTGATGATTGTAGAAATCTTCAGAGACATTTTAAATTAAACTTGGTATTTTGTGGAGAATATTATATAAGATTTGAGTTTGCTACGAAAAATGAAAACTGAATGAGATTGTTTGATGACATCAGTATTTCGGGCTTTCGTCGGATAATTGACAACCGTTTAACGTGTCGAAATTATCCAAGAAATCGTTCTTAAAAGGTATTCAAAGCTAATCTAAGGGGCGTAATTGCCAAATTTTCTACTCACTTCGCTTGTAGGTGATCTGCATTTTTCTTTCTTACCCCTAGGGGCATCTATAACCTCTCAGCACCCTAATTAGCTATACACAGCATAGCTAATTAAATATTAGCCAGTACTAACTAATCAATCAAACAATACTTGACCAAAATCATAACTGTTTGTGAATTGTATATCTAATTTCAATTCCGTAAAGATTAGCCGAAATTTCCATCGGATTCTTCCGAAAAAAAGTTATTTTCAAATGTATTTCCCACTGACGCAAACAAGATAAAATGCATAAAATTAACGTACTACTTCTCAAAAGTGTAATCGGTCGACATCTTGAATCATCAATTGTTTTAGATGAGATATCGATCTTGATATCAAAAATCATAAATGGATTGTTCTTCCTGCTACTTAACTAGGGCGTGGTCAAGATTTCTAAAGAGTCCCGTCAAAAATCAACTATTTTTATCAAAATGGGCAGTTTCTTTGAAATTATACATGCTCTTAGATGTTATCTTGTCGGAAATGAAAGCCTGAATTTCCGCCACTGATGAAAAACAGTTTGAAATTTGTTGTTTAGAATTTTGAAAGACGATTGTATTAAAATCAAGTGCTGGAACTTAGAACCTCCCTGACCTCAACTTTGTACTATCCTCTTGGGCTGATAACTGTTCACATAAAAGAAATATCTACCAAAAAATGACTTTCATTCTCTTCACCATAATTCTTGTCAGGCAGATCATTAAAATGATGATGGTGATGTACCCTCATTATGTGTAAGCTACATAAACAAAATAATCAAATACAATGCTTTCATTAACAGATATAAATTGTGTATTAATTTAGAAAAATTGTGTATAAAACAATTTTTAATTTCCTAATATTTGAATTAATAACTTTTCACAATTGTTTTAGTTGATTATAAAGAGTTTCAGTTTCAAAATGCCAAGGTTTTAGGAAGGATCTACTACTTTGCCCATAAACAATATAACCTTTGTCTCAACATCAGAAATGAAGAACAAGAAAGGATGATCTGCATTGAAGGTCAACGGCCTTTGCACAGGCATCGCACATCTTGACATCATTATTGCAGCAGTTGCAGCAGCTGCTTCTGTGCCCTCCTCATTAACTTCAATGAATGCTTTTTGAACTACAGCACTGACCTTCAAACCTGGTTTCACAGCACTTATTCCAGAGAAATCAGCAACAGCATCACTGAACATATCTTGAAATCCAAGTTTAACAAGAATATCATTGTAATTTTTGTCAAAGTCAAACTTGAAGCGAGGAATCCTTATCTCTATTGGTTGGAATAAAACTTCTGGGCATATGCATTTCTGTAGCTGGGAACTATCCTTAAGAACACTCTTAAGTACAGAACTTAGTCCATCATCATCTTTTGGCAAAATTATGTTGAGGGTCAGCCTGCTACCTTTATATGGAAGGGCCAGCACTTGAAATTGTTCTGTCTCATAATATCGCATGTCCTTTTTTGCCTTCATGTACATCATTTGGACATTAACTGCTTTTCCTTTACTCACTTTAAAACTTTTTGTCTGTGTACTTTGGGGACGAAATTCGTGCATCCACTTGCCTTTGAAATACACCGCACTTGTTAGAACTAGCCTGGTTAGTTGATTTAGCAACCCAGGAGTTATCAGTTCCTTTATTTTGTTGTTTGTTTGCTCTTCTACCCAAGAATTTATTTCTTTCCTTGCCCCTTCACAATCGTTAACATAGTCAACAAGAGCACCCTCAGAGCCAAAATAGTTCTTTACTATTCTTTTAAAATCTGAGAGAAGTCCAAACCCTGAATGTACCCATATCTTGTTGGCAGTAGCATACTCAACGGGGCCTAAACTCTCGAGGCTTCCTAGGGTTTTGGCAACACCATCAAATGTACGCTCATCTTCGGGGTTGTTCTTAAGACAAAGTCCAGTTGCCATTTGTGCTGCGGTGTTTCCCCTTGCACCGACATAAGTCATTGCTAATGCGTTGAACATGCTCCATGGCGAAAATACCACATTACTATCTTCGGCATTCAATAAAGTGAAGATATTTGAAGCTAGGGAGTTGTTCGCTGCACCTACGTCAGTCCCCATGATGCTTTCGATCAATCCCATCCAAAAAGGCTGACTCTGCCTGCATCACTTCATTGGGCTGCATCCAAGTGCGGAAGTGGCGCAACAATACAACAACAAGGGTTCCAATACGAGGCTTTTCTGTTGCTGGTGAAAAGTAAATTCCGTATATGGTCTATTAAGCCCCCTTCTCTTTTAAGCCCCCTCTCTATTAATCCCCCTTATCAAGCAATGGCTCCTTTCTAATTTTGGCTACTTTCTAATAAGTTACCAAGTAAAAACCAAGTGTTATAAAAAGTTCTGTAGACAGGGGCGAAACTACCGGGGGGGTGTGGGGGGGTGTGACACCCCCCCAATCCAAAAAATAGTCGATTTCGCAGGGCAATCGAAGATTTCGCAGGGCGCTAAGAAGAGCTTTGTTGCCACGCAGAAACGACTCCTCTGAAGTTCGTAAAGGGCCGTTCACGAATTTTGAAATGAAAATATTATATTTGTTATAAACATCCCTTCCTGACATTGCATTTTAGAGAACGAAACAGGCATGTCAGGAAAAGCTCCGTTATTAGCAAAGCGAAAGCATTCCTTACCGAAAGTCATAGCCAATAGATGCAATGATTGATGCATATGTTTATGAGGGCAAGATTGAGTCCATATAAATTAATTTAAGTTGTAAATTATTTTCATGACAAGCACGGCGTCACTGGGGAGGAATAAGGGGCTGAAGTCCCTCACTTTGGTCAAGATAGGAATTTTTTATCATTTTTTCTATTACTTTTTAACAGTGCATGAACTAAAAAACATAATAAATCGTTAGGATACCGATTTTGTTTCATCTAATTGCTAACTTTTTCACGTATATTTTTATTATTTTTCTTTTATTTGCATTAATTCAGTAAATCATTTTTTGTATCATTGCAATGTTTTAATTTTGGATGTGTAAACATGGCCTTCTTGATACAAGAAACTGCACATTTCTTTTCAGGAAAAAAAAATTCTCCCAATCAAAACAACATCTTCCTCTGTCATTCACAACTACGTGCAATCTGAAACGAAAGGTTGCCGTTTCTTTCCTTCCCCAACGTCTAACACTAGAGTTTTAGCATGACATCCCCCTCCCTATTTTTCCCAATAAACAATAATATTTTCAATAAACAATCAGTTCTTTTAGCACAATAGCATTTTGCTAAATTTTTGTCTGAAAGATGCTTTTTAGCCCTTTTACAAGGTATAATTTCAAAAAATTTCTTCACGTCGGACCCAACCATGGTGGGTCCTCCTACCTCACTAAACTTGACTCTTAGCCCCACTGGGCTAAATTTCGTTGCGCTGTTTACATCATGTATCCCCCAATTAGCTATTTATTAGCTTAATTTTGCAAACCAACATTAATTGAAGTGAATATAAAAAAACAATTTACGCTCACGTAGAGAAATAGAAATTTCATAGGCAATGAAGTTTCAAGTTTGTTTTCACTGCTTAGAAGTTTGTCCTTGGTAAAGACCAGTGTACACTGGTAAAGCTTTCACTAGTAACCTATAGACAAACCGTTGCTACGAGGTCTGCAGGGCACCACTCAGTTTTGCAGGGCAGAAACCCTTTTCCCCCCCCCCCCCCCAAACCTATTGGCCAAGTTACGCCCCTGTCTGTAGTTGCCAAGAAAAACTCATTCTTAGCAATCATTTAAATTCTATATTTGCTATATATTATCTCGAAGATCCACCTTCTTGCGGTGGGGTGCGCAGGGTCAGCCCAATACCATCCCAGTATACCTTGGCAATCTACTATTGCTTATCGAAATTGTATGACTTGAAATTCTGTGTAACAGAATGATTTGCTTGATCTACTGGAGGTTGGATATAAAACATAACTACTATGGAAAAAATTTTACCAATCAATCTCAATCTCAAAAAGCTATTAGACTTTTATTTTTTAGAAGTTTAGTTCTTCTGTTGAAAGCCATGATCATGATGCATTATTGTTAAACAGATAAAACTCAGTGAAGTAACAGAACAAAGTTACTTTTAGTCAAATAACAAACGGTCCCGAACCTCTAGGGGCCCCCAGCAACAATTTTTCTTTGTTATTTTTCCTAAAGGAAGAGGACACAGCTGCTCCTTACACCACTAATAAAACTATTTGGCATAATGACAACAGCCTTGATAGAGCTGTACCAAGGACATACTTATCTTTGGGGAGCTAAGAACTGGTGTCTTGTAGCTAGCTAATTTTGAGCCACCACGCCACTGCTTTACATTCTACTAGTTCCCAAAGTAATAGCTAGCGTTGGCTCTTATAACTGAAAGTCTGGCCCCCGGTTAGCCCCCCCCCAGATTTTTAAGGCTAGAATCGCCACTGGATGTGATGACGATTTGCTTATGTGCCTTGTCAGTCGAAACTTATTTGAAAGATGTACCAGGGTTATCAATTGATCCTGGTGACTCTGATGAAGATGATGACATTATAACTGACTAATTTTAAGAAATTTTCGAGGCTGCTGCAAAAACTCCTGAGAACTATTGTATGACATTTTCATAGCAAAATATACATATGGGCATTTTTATAGCATTTTATACATTGGTCTATTAAAAAGCCCCCTCTCTTTTCATCCCCCTTTGAGAACTGAAAAAAGAAATAATAGAGGTTTTGCGTTACATGCTATGATCATGCTTGTAACTTAGGTTCTGGGCTAAATTCCTCTTGTTTATGCTTCCTTTTTGGAGATACTTCTTTTTAAAAGACTCATTTTCTATTTATACTCGTTTTATAGTTTTGTTTCGTTGGTTTTGCGCTTGGGCACAGTCCGGGCCGTAAATTAGTCATGTCATTTGAAATGGGGGAGGGGTGGTCAGCAGAATGAATGAATATAGAGTGTGCAGTGGGTCATGGCACCACCAAGCAATTTATGGCAGTTGATATTGACAGTTGAGAGGCAATCAATATTGTTGTATTTACTAAGATTCTTTCAACTCTATAGAAGGTATTTACAGCTAATACTTTTAATTACTTTCTTATGACTGGATGGATACCATTTATTATGCATGAAGAGCCACTTAATAAGGGATCCAGATGTGGAGGAACGAAAAAATTAAATAACTTTTACTACTAAAGACAGGTCTACTAGGAACTTTTTAATTTTAAATAGCCAAGAATTAGAAATGCCATGGGCACAGTTGTTCAGTAGCGGACTGGCTCACTGGCCCACTTGTACTCAATGGGGTTCTAAACCCTAGTCTTGATTCCTTCTCCTTGCAGCTCGGCTTTTTTCGAAACATTTTAAAAATTTGTAGTTTTCAATTATGGATAGTTTTTGAGACATATGTTGAGTTTCATGCTTTGTCAATTAAAAACAAAACTTGAATTTATAAATTATAAACAGTTAATGCTTAAATTTTACAATGCAAAGCAGCTCTGCAAACACATTCATATTAAAAAAAAAGGTTTATAAATTTTATTTTGATTCTTTCAATCTTTTGTCTGACTGTACACTCTTTTTTTACAAGAACAATTTAATAAGAACACGAGCCTCGACATTGGTCAAAAGTTAAGAACAAATTAATAACAACTGGAGAAAAATAACATAACGGAACATTTCAGAAGCTCCTCTTTTTTGCACAAGAACACAACTTTTTTACAAATCCAACCTCGTGTTAATGCAACTTACAAATTAACTCTAAGGTTACCTCAGCGGTTTAAAGGATATGTTCTTAACAGTATTTTTAAGATAAGCAAAGCAAAAAAACATTCGTATAATCTACGTAAAAATTACTGGTTTCCATTTTTAAAAAATCAACTCTTTCAAATTTTCTTCACGCGACAGACGCTATTGCTATATTTTCTTGTGAACAAAATTTCTTGGGAAGAGAATCTTTTCAACTATTCCCTGTGAATCAAAAGTCAACCAAAAATCTTTACCTCTAAAATTGATTAAATAAATAACAATATCTTAATCTTTAGTATGTTGAACATGCGACTTCTTTAATATAGCAATACTTATAGGCCTGCACGAAAATCACAACAAATCTGTAGGATTTGAATATCCTGTAGAATCAGGTACCATGACTCTGAAACTCACACAAATGCAGCATAATCATCTTGGATATCCTGTCTGCCTCTACTGAATGACGCATCTCCCTCTGAAAGGAACATAAAGACCAAATTAGCTATTTTTGAGCCACCAACTGCAGAAATAAAAAGAAACCCAGACCCGTTAAAGCGATGTTATGGAAAACAGCCTAATCTCATAGAATCATGGCATAATATCAACACAACCAAAATACTAACTTATAAACATAAAAGAGTTTCCCGCACATGAGAAGTTTCTTAAATATAATGCAAATTTTTTAGATGAGGCTGGAAGATTTCTCATATCATCTTTCTTGTCAAGAAGCGCCTTGAATTCAAAGAAATTTGCTGAAAACTCTTATTGGTACTGTATTGCAGCCAGGGACGGATTTAGAAGTGGGAGGGGGTGAGACAACCCTCCAATTTCATTTGTGTCCTTCGTAAAATCTTGCTTCCATTCGGTAAAAATCTTTTTTGGTAGTCAGTAGTAACAGAATAACGCCAAGAATTTACTTAATCTTTCTTCTTATCTTCTCAAAGCTAAAAACCAAATCTTGCAAATGCTACTGCATCAAAATCAAATTCATGTCTAACAACCACCCCCCACCCCATTATTGTTCCTTGAATTCGTCCCTCATTGCAGTTATGTTTCCATTGGGTCAGTTTGTTTAGTGATAGAAAATTAAGACTACGTCCTTTCACGAGTACATGAAAAGGATCGGACTGACAAAAATATAGTACATTCTACTTGGTAAAATTATCTATGGAACACAATGTATAATAAGCATTTCGAAAGTGTTTTGATGTCCTTTTGAAAAAATATCCTCTAGCAAACTGCACAGCGAGAGAGGGCAAAAGTAGACACAAAACGTCGTCTGAAACTAAGTTGTATCCAAAAAATCAACGCGACAGTGCGCTTTAAAGACATCGGCATAAAAAGTATTGCATAAATAGACCTAATGCAATATATACTTGCTTTAAGCACATTGAAAGGAAAAGAATCTCGTGAATGGCTCATAAGGAATGAGCAAAATGCAAGTATTAATATTTTTTTGTATTAACGAGGGCCATAAAGTCCCCATAGCACTACACCCTTGAATTGGAGCCAACGAGCTCTGGAGCGTCCTGGAATCTGGCTCTGGTAGTAACCAATTTATGCTTCTTGCAATTTTTTCAAGAAATGTTTCCGAGGATCCCCTTGCTCTTTTCAAAGGCGAAAATTTATTTTTAAAATCAGGCGAAAGGCCAAAAACGAGCAACTTTGCTGATAAATCGCTATAACTGTTTCAACGGACAATTAGAAAAACCCTGGGGCTCTTGCTCCAACAACCCGCAACTTTCACCCCTTGAGTCTATAATAAGTATTGCACTCCTGGGGGACCCTGGAAACACAGGTACAATTTCTTGAACAAAGATTTATAACTGAGAATTCAAAGATTCTAAACCCGCTTCAGAAGATAATTGAATTGAAATTATTCAAACAATTAGCAAAACAAAATATTGACCCACCAAAAAACCACAATGATAACATTTAATCCTTTTTTTAGATTTTGTTCATTGCGTTCAAGACTCTAACCCAAAACATTTAGCCGTTCAGTTACGCAAAGCGTAAAGCTACATCATGGGTGTGCTCATCATTTTTCCCAAGAGAATTACGCTTCGTCTACAAGCTATTGTTTATATAAAAATGAGTACAATAACCTACTATTTTTAACAATGGACGGTTACCGAGGCTAGGGGGGGAGAGTGAGGGGGCGGGGGAGGCGGGGCATTGTCTCATATGTATATGAAAAAGAAGTATATCCTTTCTACCTAGATACACGTTGTCTTAGTTTTGATCACTTGCTCATTTCCATGGACGCAATGGGGTAGGGGAGCAATATTCTAGAATGGACGATGAGTTCAAACTTTCTTGCATATTTCTTGAATCGAGTCGAATCAATTTTTTAAAAAATCATACGCAGACATACAAAAAATACCCAAAGATATATCTTTGGTTTGAGAATTAAGCTAGAAAGCTTCATGAGGAACAACCTCAACCACCCTACAATATTTTTTAGTAAAAGCCATAATTTGCATCGAGAAGTAAAATAATAGATAAAAATGCATAAGCATTGAAACATCAAGTTAAGTGGCCAAATTATAGGAGAACTGTAAGCCTTCCCATCTACATTTTTGAAGTCATCCTTTAGATCTGTCCAATTAAATGCTGAAATCATATTGGCAAAGGATAAATTGAAAAACACAATTTGTTAGACAATAAATTTCGGACAACTTTCTTACTAGCTTTACATTAATAGAAACTATGTCTAACGTGTATTAAAAAATTTAAGGTGCAATATCCTGTTGCCTATAAACTAAGTACTTGTATGCTGTTATATTTAAATAAAATTCCATTCAAAACAACCTTTTGAGAAATACTTTACTTTGGAAAAGAAATAAAAAAATATAGTCTCTTTTTCAGCAAGATTGGTAAAAAATATAAATCATTGTTGTTAAAAAAGCAGACCAGTTGCTTATCAGTACCTAAGGACACTGACTACACCCCTTTTACTTTAAAATATTTGTTGAACCCAAGTGCATGATCAGCATAAACAATTTCAACTGTTATTACTTAAAAATCAAATTTGTACCTGGATTTCAAATTTACCAGGAAAACAAGACTTTAGACAAATTGATTTGTTTCCCTGCGGACTAATGCTTTCTTGTGAATGATTCATTGCAATATATCCCTCAACTTTAAAGTAGATTAGCAAGACTAGTACCTGAGGGAGAGGGGCTTTGTAAGTTCAGTGACAAAAACCAAAACCAGAAATAGACCCATCCAGCAATGGCAAATAATAATAACAAGAAATATTTTTAAACAACCAGTTGACATGCTCTTCAATTTCCTCAAAAGTTGGAACAAGGGCTTATATAGAAAAGTAGTACACTGTCTTGAAACATTTCTGAACACACTTTCTTTAGCAATACTGAGGCTCAAAATTGTTAAAATCTCAGAAAAAATTGAGAATAATTGCCAGGCTTGAACTTCATGGACAGCTCTACTCTTCACTTATCTGAGTTTTTAAGCCAGAGACAGTTTACTGGACTTTCATGCAATAAGTTTCAGGTAAACACATTAAGTTTGTATGTGTTAATATGCTTCACGATAATGAAATATAGTAACAAGAATTTTAATTTTCTTTCTTGGAAAAAATGAATGTTGTGTTGCTTAAGAATTGCTTACGATATATCTCAGGCCCAGAACGAAAAAAGGGGACAAGTTATACATTTTAGTTTCACAAAATGACCAATAAACAAGTCAAAAAGTGGACAAGAGAAACTTTGCCTTATGCTTATGTCTGTAAAGTCAGATATTTTTAACACACTAGGTACCAAAATGCTTGTCAATGATTTCACAGATTCTGCTCATTTTTCATATTTCCTTTATGGTTTTGAAAAATTAGTTTTTACATAGAGAAATTCCTTATCTCCAAAACTTATGAAACTTATTTGTTGGCAAATAGCACAAAAACATTGGAGTTTAAAAACATAAAAACAAAAAAATTCATTGATTTTTCAATACATCACTGGTGAAGAAAATACAAGATTATACATTATACTTGTTATATATATGTATAATACAATTGTTTTCCTAATGGCAAATCATATCTCTGAATCAAAATGGGTTGTGACCTAAGAAGCTTACAAAACATCTTTCTATGGGCTGGCAATATTGGGAAACAACAAACAAGCAACATTCTACATGAAGCAAGATGGGCTTTTAGGAAGGAATACAGAAACCTCTTTATTTTGCACTTCTTGGGAAATAACATCACTCTAAGATATAAAAATCATGGAGCAGCTTTGCTGGGTAATTTGGAAAGAAAATCAGTTCTTCATTAACTCTCTTGCTACAAGTAAAATGTTCCATGTAAGTGATCCATGCAATTGCACACTGCATGTTACTCATTTCCAGAGTTTAGAAACAGTTGCCAGGCAGTTGTAAGACTTTAACAAATAGATTACAGCACCAAAAACAGCAAAATAGAAGAAAAATTTCATATACTTGGAATTCCTTGATGGCATCAGGAACCAGCATGCTGTTTTCATGTTTGAGTCAGTGTATGGAGGATACCTTATTGCATTTAAAGCTTCCAAATTCTGCTTCTTGATAAGGCATGCTTTCCTGTGTGAGAAAGACTCAAAAGAAAACTTGCCATGATATGCTCCCATACCACTTTGACCAATACCACCAAATGGCAAAGAAGGTACTGCTGCCTGAACAATTGAATCATTCACACAGACTGCTCCAGAGGAAGTTTCATTGATGAATTTATCAATGATGCTTTGTGTTTTAGAGAAGACATAGAGAGCCAATGGTTTTTCCCTTTTGTTGATAAACTTCACTGCTTCAGTGGCAGAAATAACTTTGACTATTGGGAGTAAAGGGCCAAATATTTCCTCCTTCATCACTGCATCTTCAGAGGTGACATCTGTCATGACAGTTGGGGAAATGTATTTCTCATCTTCATCAACATCACCACCAATTACAACTTTCTCTTGATTTATCAAATTTCTTATTCTCTGAAAATGTCTTTCATTAATAATCCTGGCCAGATCTTTGGATTCCTTTGGATTTTCTCCATAAAATTCTTTAAGAGCTTTTTTAAGAGATAGGGTGAGTTTTTCTTCAGTTTCTTTGGTGCAAAGAATGTAATCTGGGGCAAGACATGTTTGACCACAGTTCACATACTTCCCCCAAACAATTCTACGGGCAGTGATGTCAAAGTTGCAATCGCCATCTACATAGCATGGACTCTTTCCGCCAAGCTCCAATGTCACTGGAGTGAGATACTTGGCTGCAGCTTGCATGACTATCTGCCCGACGACATGACCACCAGTGTAAAACATATAATCGAATCTTTCCCTAAGGAGTGCTGATGTCTCATCCTTTCCACCAGCGATAACTCTGAAACAGTCTTCATCAAGGTACCGCGGAACAAGACTTTCAATAAGAGATGCAGTGACAGGGGACAGTTCAGACGGTTTTAAGACTGCGCAGTTGCCTGCACCAATGCAACCGATCAAAGGTTGGAGCAAAAGAAGTAGGGGATAATTCCATGCTCCAATAATCAAAGCTACACCATATGGCTCATACTGTATGCCACAAGTGTTAAATTTATTCATCAAATCGGCATCAGTTCTCTGGAATGCTGCCCAGGAAGGAAGATTGTCGATAAACTTGGTGAGCTCGGCAACAACCACAGTGTACTCCATCATTGTTGCTTCAAAAGCTGGTTTACGTAGATCTTGATGAAGAGCTTCGACAAATAATTCTTTATTTTCAGTCATCATCTTCAAAAACTGCTTCAGTTGTTGAATTCGTTGCTCAACTGGCCTTATTTTTCCTTGATTAAAGGACAATCTCAAATGATGAACAATGTCTGAGTAATCGATATTTTCTGCCATCTTTCTAGTAAAATTGCTGCAAACTAGGAAGATAAATTTGCCTATACGTTACTTTAGTAGCAACTTAATTGTCAACCTTTCTTCGCACACTTTCTTTCTGAATTTCCTTGTCTCACTCAAACTCTCTTGTGCAATTTGTTCTGTCTTCGCAAGTTCAAAGTACAAATACAGCAGGTCACCGGTATTATCTTTGTTACATATGGTTTCAAAGGTCCCCCGGTGTGATTATCACACTGTGATGGGCCAAGAAGCTTAATATACATACCTCACTTCCGTTTGTTTATGCTTTTCGCGGGAAAAGCTTGGTAATCCAGAGCTGTTGTATGAAATAACCAGTCTATTATTATTTCCTTTTTTGATTAAATGCAAGTACTTGGATTAAATAAGAAAAATTAATGCTAACAAACAGTGGCGTACCCAAGGGGGGGGGGGGAATAGGGGGTCCGGACCCCCCCACTTTTCTAAAATATGATCCTCGAGATTTGTCCAAAAATGATGTAAAACTCTATTTTCAGCCCCTGAAGCGCCAATTTAGCCGGGGAATTTCTTTCCCTAAAATTTGGGGGGGGGTATCTAAAGCCCTCAGGCCCCAACCCAATGCTCCATTGTGCCTTATCTCTATGACCCCAAAGGGCTGCACTAGCCCAATAACTTTATAAGTTTTTTCAACTGACTATGGTTTAACTCTCCCAAAAAATCAATCCGTAATATGCTCTGGGGGCCATGTGCATCCTCCCTGAAATTTAACACCAAAAGAACAGCATCCAAACCAGAACTGCGTACAAAGTCAAATTTGCAAAGGTGTAAAACACCACTGTTTTACAGTTGCCCTGATTCAGAAAAACACAATGAACAAAACGGTATCGGCGACGATTATACTATTCAAAGTTCGGCAAATAAACTTCAGCTTAACGGCAACGGCAACTTCGCGAACGACACGGCTGACATACGACGACTGTATTCAACGTCTCTATATAACGACTGATTCAACATAAAACAGCATGGCAATATAATGGAAAACACATGACAAAAACAAATTACCCAGAAACAATAGGGTACTGCCAACAAGAAAAGGCAACTAATGGGAAATGGCATGGTAACTGATTACAGACAAACAAGCGTGCATTAACAAATTCACAAACTACGTCACTGACATAAAACAGGAAAATATATTCTTTAACAAAGGGTAGGAAGTCCCAAAGGGTTAAAAATTTGCAAAGGCTAAGCACAAAGGGTCCTTGGCCTGATTGTAACATTTTGGTATTTTTCCGACATATCTCTCCTGAAGGGGAGGAGCGTTAAGCCAAAATAAAGGCTCAATTTTCTTCCTCTTACCTAGAATTTTTCTTCCTCTTAGCTAGACGCTCATCCGCTAGCTGAGGGTATGAGTTCATGTGGGGAGCTAGTTGGACGACAGCATCTCCCTCCCTGAACAGTTTAAAAAGTGCCCACCCTGTAGTAGCTGTATGCTATCAAATGAAAATTAATTTACTAACTCGGGAATGAAATGCCAATGCAATATAAAGGGCATAAAGCTCACTCAGAAGATCTGCCATGAGGCTACGTTCCCACATCATCTAGAGCTAGTTGGGCCGTTGGTGCATCGGCGCAAATCGCCCAATCTACCATAAATAACTAAAAGAAAAGGGGTAACTAAGGGAAGATAGACAGTTACCCCCAAATATGATTGATAATTTGGAGGGAATGGACAGGATTAGCCTCTTTCGCCCACTAATAGCCGATGCTCCAATCCTACCTAATAGCATCAGAAAACGCTAAAAAGCATAAAAGGTGCCTAAAGGTATGAGAGGTTTTAACGATGCCATAAAAAAAACTTAGCACGCAAAGCTATACTGAAAAGGCATTTTGCATAAAGAAAGAAAATGAGGGAGGGAGGGCTGGGAGAATGCAATAAAACAGCCTAGTTGTATTGTGGCTTCACCAAGCAAGGTGAGACCCACGCTATGTCAAAACCTTAGATACCCCTGGATTAATGAAGGGAATGAAAATGCCACGAAACACACATCTTACCCTATTTTTAGAAATTTAGCCCTTACCCTTACCCTAACCCTTCACTTGAAACAATTAATCATACTAATTTATGACTATTAATTAAGCTTATTTATGACTATCAGGTCGAGCAGTATGGAAACTAGACAATTCCGATTCTCATTCGCGAAGAGGAGGACCACGTGAGCCACGACAACAACAACGAAATCAACATGGCCGTCACGAAAACTTGAAAGAGCCTAAATGTTTCAAATGCCAGGAATTCGGGCATATTGTCAAGAATTGTCCCTAAATAAGAGGAAAACAGCATATTCACATATTGTGGAAGAGAAGTACCCACAAGAGGCTACAAATAATGTCAATCAATTTTCAACAAATGGGACTTATTTCTTCTACAAAAGGTGAGCTATCTGATGGATGGTATATTGATAGTGCTGCATCCAAACATACGACATATGAGAAAGGCATTTTACTTGATTTTGTGAGATAAAGAAACCAATGGAAATACATTTTGGCGATGGCACAGTTATTTTTGCAAATGGCGAGGGTAAAGTAAGACTTACCTGTTGTGATGGAGGTAATTCAGCAACGCTAGTACTACTCCAGAATTTGATATCAGTGCCTGCAATGGCACAGATGGGTGCCACAGTTACATTTGACAAAGATAAATGTACTGTGTTGAAAGATGGCCAGAAACTCACCCTAGGCTATATTATTGATAGAAAGCTCTATCGTGTGAATTCTCCAGAATTTGCAAGTCTTACAGATGTGCCCAATAAAGGAACATTGAGAAGTTGGCACTGCAGATATGGACATTTGAACCATATATATTTGAATCAATTGATAAATAAACAGCTAGTAGAAGGACTTGAACATTCTGACACAATGTTCGATGGTCAATATAAAGCATGTGCATTAGGAAAATGTCAAGAATTCCTTTTCCAAAGAAGAGTGTACATAGAGCAACAGAACTATTGGAAACAATTCAGAGTGATGTCTGTGGACCAATTAATATGGAATAACTTGGGGGAAGCAGGTACCTTTTAACATGTGTTGATGACTGCTCCAGATATGCATTTGAATATTTCATCAAATCAAAATATGAAGTTATAACCAAGTTCAAAGAATTTGTGACTTTAGTTGCAAATCAGACAGGATGTAAAGTGAAAGCACTGAGGACTGACAATGGAGGTGAATATACTTCAAAGGCATTTACTGAATTTTGCAAGGAGAGAGCAATAATTCACGAGCTGACAAATCCAGACTGTCCACAACAAAATGGTGTTGCAGAAAGACTGAACCGCACTATTATTGAAGTTGCACGTTCAATGCTATCTCATGCTAAATTGCCACAACAATATTGGGCAGAGGCAGTGAGTACAGCTGTGTATCTCCACAACAGAAGTCCAACCGCAGCATTGAAGGAGACAACGCCTTACGAATGTTGGTTCAAAAAGAAACCAGATGTCTCAAATCTAAGAGTCTTTGGCTGCTTAGCTTTTGTGCATGTTTCTGAAAGTCAGCGGTGTAAACTTGATCAGAAGGCTCTACAGGCAATTTTTGTCGGATACCCAGAAGGAACGAAAGGCTACAAACTATTTGATTTGAACTCTAAGCGTTTTATGAGGAGCCGAAATGTATAATTTTTTGAAGATAAATTCCATGACTTCAATGAATCAAAACAAGACAAAGAAATTGTTTTTCATGAATTCAACAATGTTGAAGATGATGATGAATTCACAGATGATACTACTGAACCTACTACTGTTGAAGAGGTTCAGTAATACCACAACTTTTCATAATACCACAACTTTTCAAAGAAGCTCTCATTGTTGTGATCTATAAGAAAGGAAGCAGACTTGATTGCGGCAATTACCGCCCTATAAGCCTACTAAGCCAAGTCTACAAACTCTTCGTTACCATAATTGCAACCCGAACCAAAGCAGACCTGTATGCATCTTTCCCAACGACACAAGCTGCTTACCAACCTGGCAGAGGAACCATCGAGCAAATATTAGCCCTGGAACAATTGAAAAATCCATAGAATTTAACAATCCCGTGTATATTACTTTCATTGACTTCACGAAAGCTTGACAGTGTCAAATTATCCTGCCTATGGAGCCTCCTAGATAAAACTTCAATCAATAAAAAATACATTAACCTTCTGAAACAATCATATGAAAAATCAAAAGCATATATCAAAACAGACATCGGAACGTCACGTTGCGTTGATATTCTGAAAGGAGTCAAACAAGGTGATGTTTTATCTGCCATTCTATTTTGCATCATCATTGCAGCACTTGTGCATCAAGTTGAAAATGAATGCTCATCTGGTTTCTCGATTGGCGACCACACTCTTTCCAATCTGAGCTATGCAGATGACATCGCTGTCATAAGTAACTCGCGTCACGAACTACAAACATTCCTTCATCTCCTAGCTTAATATGCAGCCGACGTCGGCCTGGAAATCAATGTCGCCAAAACCAAGTGCATGACAACCGATAAAATCAACACAAATCTCATCTTACCATTTATAACAATCAAATCTTTCAAGTAACTGAATTTATCTACCTAGGCCATAAACTCTCCTCACAAAATGACGGACTGGCCGCCGTCCAGCATCGCATTGGCCTAGGATGGGCAGCCTTCAACAAGAATAAAGCAGCGCTAACATCGAAAAGGATATCATATCATCTAAAATCGAAGATCTTTAACACCTATGTGAAAACCATCCTCCGCAATACATTGTTTCGATTCACAACATTTATTTGCATATTATCATCAGACCTCCCAACCCTTTAGATCCATATATCGGAACAAGCCCAATATATAACTACACTGTCCGAGGCGGCACCATGGTTGCCACCGAAGGGGAAAACTTTGAATTTTAATGCTTTCAGTCTACTGGAAAATGCACTTTTTGAAGCACTTTTTCAATAACGCAAGCTTTCTCTTCAATAAATATCCACAGGCTGAAAGCTATTTGATGGTTTTAATCGATTTTCCGGTGTCGTTGTTAAATCTTTTCGCTTATGCAACACAATTTTCTTCAGATTGGGACATAATCTCTCCGCTTTTTCTTCCTAGCATTTCTTTTCATGAAAGTATATCATAACTTCTTGCACCCTCTCAATATTTTTATGAAATGGCGCCTTATCTGAACTTCTACCTCCAAGCCAAAATTTTTTTGACGGGCTCCTTAAAAACACTTCCACACCCTACCTCGGTACGCCCATGGTATCTACTTTGTATTAATCATTCAGATTTAGCGTGAGATGGTGTTTGACGATCGTTGCTCTGTACATCAAAGTGAGTAAGGAAAAAGAAACGGTATGTTGCAAGGTGAGGTGATTCTTGTTTTCTTCGATAGAGGATTTTCAGGTCTTCTTTAAAGAAAAGTAGACACAAAACGTTGTCTGAAACTAAGTTGTATCCAAAAAATCAACGCGACAGTGCGCTTTAAAGACATCGGGATAAAAAGTATTGCATAAATAGACCTAATGCAATATATACTTGCTTTAGGCACATTGAAAGGAAAAAAATCTCGTGAATGGCTCATTAGGAATGAGCAAAATGCAAGTATTAATATTTGTTTGTATTAACGAGGGCCATAAAGTCCCCCTAGCACTACACCCTTGAATTGGAGCCAACGAGCTTTGGAGCGTCCTGGAATTTGGCTCTGGTAGTAACCAATTTATGCTTCTTGCAATTTTTTCAAGAAATGTTTCCGAGGGTCCCCTTGCTCTTTTCAAAGGCCAAAATATTATTTTTAAAATCAGGCGAAAGGCCAAAAACGAGCAACTTTGCTGATAAATCGCTGTAACTGTTTCAACGGAAAATTCGAAAAACCCGGGGGCTCGCGCCTCCACAACCCGCAACTTCCACCCCTTGAGCCTATGGGGGACCTTGGAAACACAGGTACTATTTCTTGAACAAAGATTTATAACTGAGAATTCAAGGATTCTAAACCCGCTTTAGAAGATAATTGAATTGAAATTATTCAAACAATTAGCAAAACAAAATATTGACCCACCAAAAAACCACAATGATAACATTTAATCCTTTTTTTAGATTTTGTTCATCGCGTTCAAGACTCTAACCCAAAACATATAGCCGTTTAATTACGCAAAGCGTAAAGCTACATCATGGGTGTGCTCATCATTTTTCCCAAGAGAATTACGCTTCGTCTACAAGCTATTGTTTATATAAAAATGAGTACAATAACATACTATTTTTAACAATGGAAGGTTACCGAGGCTAGGGGTTACCGAGGCTAGGGGGTGGGAGGGGGATTGTCTCATACGTATGTTGAAAAAGGGCCTGGGTGTTTTGTGTAAGAGGCAAAGGCCAATCGACAAGACTTGTGAAAATAAACAGCAAGTCACTCCTTGCCAGATTTGATTTTGGCAGCAAATGAAACATGAAATATACTGTATAGCTTCTGCGAAGTATATCCTTTCTACCTAGATACATGTTTTCTTAGTTTTGATCACTTGCTCATTTCCATGGTCGCAGTGGGGTAGGGGAGCACTATTCTAGAATGGACAACGAGTTCAAACTTTTTCGCATATTTCTTGAATCGAGTTGAATCAATTTGTTAAAAAATCATATGCAGACATACCAAAAATGTCCAAAAATATATCTTTGGTTTGAGAATTATGCTTATTTTAGGAGAACTTCAGTGTAATAAAAAGGTGTAAAAATAAAGTAACACTGTAAGCCTTCCTTTCTACATTTTTGAAGTCATCCTTTTCTTCTGTCCAATTAAATGCTGAAATAATATTGGCAAAGGATAAATTGAAAAACACTATTTGTTAGAAAATAAATTTCGGACAACTTTCTTACTAGATTTACATTGAAGGTATATAGCTTAATACCTCTAAAGTGTATTAAAAATTTAAGGTGCAATATCCTGTTGCCATTATTCTTAAAGAAAATTCCATTAAAAGACTCCTTTTGAAAAATAACTTGTTTTGGAAAACAATCTAAAAAATATAGTCCTTTTTGCGGCAAGATTGCGAAAAAAAATATAAAGCATTGTTGTTAAAATAACAGACCAGTTGCTTATCAGTACCTAAGGACACTGACTACACCCCTTTGACTTTAAAATATTTGTTGAACCCAAGTGCATGATCAGCATAAACAATTTCAACTGTTATTACTTAAAAATCAAATTTGTTCCTGGAATTCAAATCTACCAGGAAAACTAGACTTTGGACAAATTGATTTGTTTCCCTGCAGACTAATGCTTTCTTGTGAATGATTCATTGCAATATATCTGTCAACTTGAAAGTAGATTAGCAAGATTAGTACCGAAGGGAGAGGGGCCTTGTAAGTTCAGTGACAAAAACCAAAACCAGAAATAGACTCACCCAGCAATGGCAAATAACAATAACAAGAAATATTTTTAAACAACCAGTTGACATGCTCTTCAATTTCCTCAAAAGTTGAAACCAGGGCTTATATAGAAAAGTAGTACACTGTCTTGTACATTTCTGAACACACTTTCTTTAGCAATACTGAGGCTCAAAATTGTTAAAATCTGAGACAAAAATTGAGAATAATAGCCAGGCTCGAACTTCATGGACAGCTCTACATGAAGCAAGATGGGCTTTTAGGAAGGAATACAGAATCCTCTTTATTTTGCACTACTTGGGAAATAACATCACTCTAAGATATAAAAATCATGGAACAGCTTTGCTGGGTAATTTGGAAAGAAAATCAGTTCTTCATTAACTCTCTTGCTTCAAGTAAAATGTTCCATGTAAGTGATCTATGCAATTGCACACTGCATGTTACTCATTTCCAGAGTCTAGAAACAGTTGCCAGGCAGTTGTAAGACTTTAACAAATAGACGGCAGTACTAAAAACAGCAAAATAGAAGAAAAATTTCATATACTTGGAATTCCTTGATGGCATCAGGAACCAGCATGCTGTTTTCATGTTTGAGTCAGTGTATGGAGGATACCTTATTGCATTTAAAGCTTCCAAATTCTGCTTCTTGATAAGGCATGCTTTCCTGTGTGAAAAACACTCAAAAGAAAACTTGCCATGATATGCTCCCATACCACTTTGACCAATACCACCAAATGGCAAAGAAGGTACTGCTGCTTGAACAATTGAATCATTCACACAGACTGCTCCAGAGGAAGTTTCATTGATGAATTTATCAATGATGCTTTCTGTTTTAGAGAAGACATAGAGAGCCAATGGTTTTTCCCTTTTGTTGATAAACTTCACTGCTTCAGTGGCAGAAATAACTTTGACTATTGGGAGTAAAGGACCAAATATTTCCTCCTTCATCACTGCATCTTCAGAGGTGACATCTGTCATGACAGTTGGGGAAATGTATTTCTCATCTTCATCAACATCACCACCAATTACAACTTTCTCTTGATTTATCAAATTTCTTATTCTCTGAAAATGTCTTTCATTTATAATCCTGGCCAGATCTTTGGATTCCTTTGGATTCTCTCCATAAAATTCTTTGAGAGCTTTTTTAAGAGATAGGGTGAGTTTTTCTTCAGTTTCTTTGGTGCAAAGAATGTAATCTGGGGCAAGACATGTTTGACCACCGTTCACATACTTCCCCCAAATAATTCTACGGGCAGTGATGTCAAAGTTGCAATCGCCATCTACATAGCATGGACTCTTTCCGCCAAGCTCCAATGTCACTGGAGTGAGATACTTGGCTGCAGCTTGCATGACTATCTGCCCGACGACATGACCACCTGTGTAAAACATATAATCGAACCTTTCTCTAAGGAGTGCTGATGTCTCATCCTTTCCACCAGCGATAACTCTGAAACAGTCTTCATCAAGGTACCGCGGAACAAGACTTTCAATAAGAGATGCAGTGACAGGGGACAGTTCAGACGGTTTTAAGACTGCGCAGTTACCTGCACCAATGCAACCGATCAAAGGTTGGAGCAAAAGAAGTAGGGGATAATTCCATGCTCCAATAATCAAAGCAACACCATATGGCTCATACTGTATGCCACAAGTGTTAAATTTATTCAGCAAATCGGCATCAGTTCTCTGGAATGCTGCCCAGGAAGGAAGATTGTCGATAAACTTGGTGAGCTCGGCAACAACCACAGTGTACTCCATTATTGTCGCTTCAAAAGCTGGTTTACGTAGATCTTGATGAAGAGCTTCGACAAATAATTCTTTATTTTCAGTCATCATCTTCAAAAACTGCTTCAGTTGTTGAATTCGTTGCTCAACTGGCCTTATTTTTCCTTGATTAAAGGACAATCTCAAATGATGAACAATGTCTGAGTAATCGATATTTTCTGCCATCTTTTTAGTAAAGTTACTGCAAACAAGAAAGATAAATTTGCCTAAACGTTACTTTGGTAGCAACCTAATTGTCAATCTTTCCTCGCACATCTTCTTTCTTCGCACTCAAACTTCTTTCTTCGCACCTTTAGCAACAACAGTTTCGATTGGTTATTATCAACAAATGGGGATCCCACCGGAACCGACCGTACCGAGTTTTTACTGGCTTTTAAACAAAGGATTGTGGCTGGGGATACCGAGCATGGCCAATCACAGTAAGTGATTCCGAAGCCAACAGCATCACAACAACAAAATCTCGTGAAATTAAATGGCCTAGCGTCGTGCGATCGGCAATGCTCATGTGAAATACTGACATGGGTACAATTACTGACAATGCCCATTAATTTCAAATGGCCTGGTTACAAGAACCCTTTTGTAGGCTAGATATTCATATGAACCAAATTTTAAAGTTTTTTTGAATGATCTACACCTATTTATGCTTATGAAAAACCTTAGTGCAAAGGAAACATGTGCTTCTATACACAACGTTACATTACTTTACTCACTTGATAAAATAAAATTTATTCTACGAATTAAAAAACAATCTGTTTTAGTTTTTAACATTTTTGATAGAGCAGGCTGTTTATTTGCTGCCTTCTAAAGTTAACAAATGTTGAAAAATAGTCAATCGTGGTTAGTATATTGCGTTGTGAGTAATTGCCCCTTATGTCCCCTCTCAGCTAGCTTGCTATTTTTGCCTTGCTCGCTATCTCCTATCACCTTTTATTGCCTTGCAGGTCAAAGTGTGTCTGGGTTATTGCTGTCTTAATCTATTTCACCAAGTATGAAACAAACAATGAAAAAATCGAAGCATCATCAATTATATAATTGTGAGAAGTTAATTTGTAATCAAAGTCTTGTTGATAGTTTATTATAGACAAGAAAGTGGGACAAAAAGTTTTCACTGAATTTTTCACAACTCCACATATCCATAAATTTATTGATGATGAATTTAATTGTTTTTGTACTGTTAGATAATGTAATTCTAGTTATAATTATTTTCTTTGTGATATTTTCACTTACATTTATTGTCACCAGGGTATCACCAGTTGTCTTGGTGTGGCAGACCCCCTCCCCCCTCCTGTATAATGCTTTGGTTAAATGGTTCTCGTTTTGGTTAAACGCCCTGTAGTAGCTGATGCTATCAAATGAAAATTAATTTACTTACTCGGGAATGAAATACCAATGCAATATAAAAGGCATAAAGCTCTCTCAGAAGATCTGCCAAAAACATCAGAAGGTCAGTCATGAGGCTACGTTCCCACATCATCTAGAGCTGGTTGGGCCGTTGGTGCATCGGCGCAAATCGCCCAATCTACCATAAATAACTAAAAAAAGGGGGTAACTAAGGGAAGATACACAGTTACCCCCAAATATGATTGATAATTTGGAGGGAATGGACAGGAAAAGCTTCTTTCCCCCACTAATAGCCGATGCTCCAATCCTACCTAATAGCATCAGAAAACGCTAAAAAGCATAAAAGATGCCTAAAGGTATAAGAGGTTTTAACGATGCCATAAAAGAAACTGAACACGCAAAGTTATACTGAAAAGGAGTTTTGCATAAAGAAAGAAAATGATGGAGGGAGGGCTGGGAAAATGCAATAAAACAGCCTAGTTGTATTGTGGCTTCACCAAGAAAGGTGGGACCCAAGCTATGCCAAAACCTTAGATACCCCTGGATTAACCAAGGGAATGAAAACGCCACGAAACACACATCTTACCCTAGTTTTACAAATCAAATTCTCAGAGCAGATACAAGAAAAACGCGAGGAAGCGTGGCACCAGAAAACATAACGAATAAGTAATAACAACAATCTCAAGCGATCCAGGTAGCGCTCAAAAGCCCCCCGTGAAATTAACTCTGATTAAATTTCATTTAATCATCATGAAAAACGTCCGCATCCACTGTCTTGACAAACTTATTGTTTGTTACTGTTTGACACGGTTGTGTGTGTGAAAGGTTTATCAATGGCGTTTTCTTCCACTCCAACCTTTCTTTCTCTACATACATCATGTAAAGTGAATTTAAGAAAATTCAGATGTTTCGTGAGGTACTTTAAATGCGTGAAAATTACCTCCTGGAAACACGGATTTCCTAAATGGATATATCCTGCTATGGAATCACTCAATGCAACGCAATTTGTTAAAATCATGTCGAATAAAGATGTACTCTAGGTCATACTTACGAAATTTGAAATTCATTGTTCCTTTCAATGTATATTCGCTCAGCAACTGAAAATTTCTGTTCATGTTTCGGCCGTGTAAAGATGTATCACACTAGTTTTTTTGTAACCAGACTGCAAATCCCTTGGGGGGAGGACTGGGCACTAGATCCCCTAAAAATCTGGAGCAAAACGATTTTTTTGAGAAATCATCATCATAATCTTTGAAAGAGAGAAATCCCTGGTAGCCGAGTTAAAAGCAAATTACGTTTTTCTGTGTTATTGCAACAAACCTCAGCCGCTAAGTCATAGAGGGGAAGAGTCACAGTACAAGTTGACTTTGTTTAGAAGATGCCCCATGGTTATCGATTCATCCTGTTGATTCTGATGAAGGCGAGGACCTTATAATTGATCAATTAAACTTTCGAAGCAGATTTGTAGGACATTTTTATAACAAAAAAGAACATTTTGAAAATCTTTTTGCCTTTAAATTTCAGTGATTCCGACCAGCAAGAGTCTCGAGTCGACGATATAGCCTCTATCTGGGTTGAGAATATAGCCCTATCACTGATCTAAAAAAAACTGGATCGCGCATCCTATTGTTCTCAAACCTTAGAAAGTGCGGCCGGCGAATTTCAATCGGCGCCATGCGCTTGTGACCACTTCAGCGGGAAAATGAATAGCTAGGATGCTGGAGAATAAGGTATTCGCTGCATTTATTTTGCCTGTAAGAAATGCGAAATAGGGAACTGACGATGAAAAGGGAATAAATGACAAAAAGGACCATGAGAATCAAGGATTGCAAATAAAAAGGAAGCTACGCTCCACTTTTTCACCGTGAGTACACTACTATTTTTATTTTAGTAGGCCAAGATCGTTGTATTTCTTAGGTACAGTTATGCCTCCTTTAAACTGGGTTTTCACGAGTCTGGACCATTTCAAATCCTTTTGCTAAAAGGATCAAAAGTGATACGGTTAGCCGTATCAGTTTTGCTACGGATAGCTTGGAGTGGTGTAAACGGGAGGCCAATCCGTATCACTTTTGATACGGATCAACAAGTCATCTGTGGCAGTGTAAACGGGGCCTTAGTTTCCCAAATAGATTGCTACAGTTAGTTACTTTGAAGTAGGTAGCTATTTGGAAAGTCTTGCCTGGTTTTAGATACCCAGATAGATTGCTATAGTTAATGTTTATGAATTCAGTAATAATTTTTTACATGGCACTAGGCCTAATCTTTATTTCCCCATGGAAAAATTGAAATGTGGGACTGCCTCATAGAAGAATGTATCAGATCTATAAAGGCGCAGGCTAATAGATACACGAAAAATACTTTTATATTTTTATTTTCTAGGTAGAGCAACTTGTGTGCATCTTTGACTTGGTGGATTGACAAAGACATGTGCCTTCACCACTTGTTTTGAAATGAAATAAACATCTGTTTATAAAACCATAAAGGTTTTCCATTTTCAAGTTTTGGAAAGGAACCAATCACTGAGATGTTATGATGTGACTAAGCAATGGAAGTTGTTGCTAGCAGCTGAATCTTACTAAAGCAAAACAAACTGCAATATTTATAACATTAATTTTGGAGTGGAAACAGTAATTTAGATTGTTTCAGGAGGTTCTTCAAACATATTTTACAAATTCAAATGTTTGCTACAAAAATTGTGTATATGTTTAGAACATTTAGCAGTAAAATGAATTTATTTTGTGAGCTTTATGCAGTAATCTATGATTATTTCTGGAACAAAATTACCAATGTAATCAAATGTTTTGCTGTAGTAAGCCTTTTCTATGAACCGTATTAGTCTTCAGTTCACAAAAGTGTTGTCACTCATAGCTTTTGTCTCAGGGCTGAAGGATTTATCTCTCAAATATGAAGGATTTATCTCTCAATATCTCTCAAAGAGCTGTATACATAACAAATTCAAAAACCTCAAATTTTTAAATCACAATCTTAAAATTCATTTGAAACAAAGTCACAATCTTTTAATTACTATTCATTGTAATATCTTTTACTTATGAAGTTCTAGCTCAGTAAACTATATATGATTGTATCCCTCAATAGCTGTCAAGCCATTCCATTGCACTTTATTCTGCAAAATAAAGAAATGCTTTGTCAGAGGTAATATTAAAATTTTGATTCAAAAGTACAACCAGGCATATTCTTTAAGGCTTATTTTTTCAGAGGAATATGATATCACTCTTCAATTAGTCCTAAGTCACATAAGTCACAAACATAGTACAAGCGGTGATTCACTTGAATGTAAGAATGTTTCATATCACATCATTTCAATGTAAAATGTATTGCTTAAACAATGTAGAGGGGCACAAAAAGTTAGAGGTTTGAAATCACGGCTAGACTTGTCTGGAAAGAGCAGCTACACAAATTAAACATTTTCTATCTACAAGAAACTCAGTACTACACTGGGGTTGCTCCCAATATGTTTTTGGGGGTTATATCCTATCAGAGAAACAACTAAAATTAACTTTTACATATGAAAGCTACTTATATTCTATGTAATTATCGCTGCTACGTGGCTTTTTCATGGCAATCTACGGCTCTAATTTGATCAAATAAGTAAAAGGTAGCTAGTCATATAGTCACTTGCCTGCTGATTCGAATAAATATATTTGCATCGTTGGACTCTCCGTGGAGACTTGAGTTTAGGAAACAGTCTAATTACTGTTTTTGAGTGCCAACAACGAAAGAAAAATGTTTATTTAGATTTACCTTAGTTTGATTTCTGTTTTCGAGTTTCAATCCACCTACTAATAATAGGCCTAAAAGTGTAGGCTATCCGTAAAGCAACAAGAAATAGAGAACCAAAATGCCTTACCCTCCATAAAATGGAACATTTAATAATTTGATGGTCCTTTACGCTCATATATATTTAGATTTACCCACCTTTGCCACTATTTGACGACAGAAACTTCGACTTTACTTGTCTGAACCGGCATTTCCTCGTAGTAAACAAGACCACAAGTCTGCAAAAGTGGTCACAAGAGCATGGCCGCTGCGATTTCTCAGCGGCCGCACTTTTAGAACAATAGATGCGCGATCCAGTTTTTTTTAGATCAGTGAGCCCTATGGCCTAGATGTCTGACTTTGATTTGTTTATGATTTCGCTCACAGTTAAGAAGAACGAAGGCATAGTTTTCCTCAGAAAGACTTATAAGTATGGAAAATACAAAATCTTAATGAAGCTTATGCTTCCATTTAAAAGACCACGTCTTGAAGTACTATGCCTTGGTCATCGCAAAAGGTACAGAGGAAGTTGAAAAACATAATGAGATGAACTGTGTGTGAATATTCATGCAAGAAAATGAAGTTGAAGCTGATCGTTCACCAACAAAATTTTAGTGAAGAGGAACTCATTATAAATCCTAGAGAATATAATGGACTTCAGGTTGGTGATGTTGTTGAGATATATCACCCGGAAGACACGTTTAGTCGTCTTTTGCTCAAGGTAAATAAGCTCAGTACTGAATTTCAACAAAAGGATACAATCAGTATCGAGCAATCAGTGGCGTCAACATTCCAGCTAAGACCATATCTTGATGTCTATATAAATCGCGTTGAGCCAAGTGATGTCACTTTAGATATGGTAGAGATTGCTTTCAAAGACCAGTACTTGAGCAGAAGTGATATGTGGAGGCTGCAGCGATCACTGATTAACTCGTGTGTTTATATGGGCAAGAAGCTTGTGTTTGCCGGGATAAGAGTCCAGGTGAATGAGTTATGGATTGATGGAGAAAAACTTGCATGTGGTGTTGTTGGAGAAGACACAAAGGTAAAGGATGAAGTATATTGATAAAAAATTGAGTGTATAAGAATCAAAACTCAGATACAAAATTTTGTCCTTACTTGACAGATTGTCCTTAATTAAGCAAGTTTGAAATTGGGCATAGAACTAGATTTTGCTTTGCAAAATACATGTGTTAAAGTAATATCAAAGTATGATTGATAGGATTCATTAGAATCATCATTTAAGTATTTGAAAAAGCCTTAAAAATACTTATGCTAAACCTAAAAGCTTCAAGTCAATGCTTGTGTCTATTATCATAACGAAATATACCTTCAATTGCAGATAGGCCTGGTGTAAAATACTAACACCACAGATTTTGCAGACTATGGAGACATACTATTTTCTAAGGATAACAAACTGATAACATGCCTGCTTGCAATCGAAATTCATGTTCATGTTTTACATGTTTTAGGCGTGTAAGGATGGCTCAGTTGTTAGAGGCGCTGACTACAGACCTAAGGGTTCGTGGTTCAAGTCTCTGGCATGACCAAACTTTCACCCAGAGTGGGGAGAGTTGCCAGCTCTCTGTAATTCCAGGTGTAGGAATCAGGAGGTGTGGTCTCATCGAGATGAAGGACCAGGACACTGCTCGATAAGCATAACTTCTCAGTGTCCATACTTTCGGATGCTAGGTAGCAACAAATACAAATACTAATGTTTTACGCAAGTTCAAGTCACAGACTGTTGTTCAAAATTGGTGATTGTACAGTTTTCAGTCTTTTCATGGCAGACAATTGCAATTATGCATGTTATCAAAATGTTTTTCAATGAGAACAAACTGTTCTCAGAATACATCCAAGCTAAGATAACAAGTCAATTTAAGTCAGGCCTTGAAACCTTTGATTTTTTTCATAAATCTGTGGAATTCATGTCTCCGTTTTAGTAATTTGCAATAGGCATATATCCTAAAATGCAAACATCAGACCTTCATTTAAATTTGGTCTTTAGGCAGTATATGAAGAAAAATAGACTCTTTTCATGACAGCCAGTTGAAAGTAGGCATGTTATCAATGTGTTATCCTTAGAAAATAGTATGCCTGGGAAGTCTGTGAAGGCAGCAATGTATGCGATTTAGACCTGACCATTGCAGATAGAAATTGTTTGGACAAATCCATTTTAACCAACATATTTTCTTTATTTTCATGATAGCTGATTTCTTCTTTCCTTTTCAGATTGTTTTTAGGTCACAGAGTGCCCAGATCCACATTTTTATTCAAATGAGTGCGGAAATGTGGGAATTTGATTTCTTTGGAGATTTATACTTCGAAAAGACTGTAAATGGATTCTTAAATGAGTTATTTGGAAAATGGAAGGAGAAAAACTGTAATCATGAAGTTACCATTGTGTTATTTTCTAGGACATATTATGATGCCAAATCATTTGGTGAGATTGGTCATTTATACCTTGTAATATAATAAAATGTTTCTTTAAGCCTATGACTGCTATTTCTTGAAGTCTGAATCATATCATATTTCATTGGAAGAAGAAGGAAGTGGAAATGGTAACATAGATGAAAATCCCTAGTTATTTTTACGCCACCCAGAGCATTTTAATATCAAAAGTATCCACTGAAATATCATTGAAGTAAATTTTCCACTTCTTTTGATTTCCTGTTACTCTGAAATATGGAAGCAAGAAATATGGATTTATTTATTTATTTTTTGCTCAGGAAGTCAGAAAATTTCAAGTAGAAGCAGTTATTTGACATCCTTTGTAAAGCTGATTAACAAAGTTTTCTATACTAAATAAAGCCATGCTTAGAGTAAACAAATAAAAGTTTATATAATGCATGTTTAGTGATATTGATTTAAAGAGTCTTTGATATCATTTGCTATATAGCCTAGTGATTGACAATAATTCTAACCTCAAACATCTTCTGAAATTTTGTTGTTATTTGTTCCCATTTTAGTTTGATTTCTCACCTTGACCTTTTATGAATATATCAATTTAAGATATAAACCAGGGCTATTGGAAGTGCAAAAGGAACTTTTTGGGCTATAGCCCCTGAAATAATTGCAGAACTGCATATATATATATCATATCATATTTCCTTTTATATACCATATATAACAGATCAATGTGAAGCAACTGACTGGGGCAGCTCTCCTAATATGGGTTTTGTTATGATGACACTGTATAAACAGACAGCAACTTAACTCATTAGTTGAATATCAAGATCACTTTGTAAATACATTAGTTACAAGGTAATGGCCCTAACACTTGATTTTCTTGTAATGCAGTTTCTTTATTTAAAAATACGAAACAAATCAATTTTAGATGATTTCCCAAAAGAGATGCAAAGCAGTGTTTCAAAGAGGCTGGATGGAAGATTTTATCAAGATTTTTATAAGGTTATTATCAATGCTGAACAAGTTGATGACTGGCAGCCAATAGCCATGACTCTTAAGACAAACTTCAACAACTATCTGAGCTGGATCGGCTGTGATGAGGGTGGCTCTAAAGACACACCTTTGTGCACTAATTCAAGGGCAACTGATGGCAATGTACTAGAAGCAGTAAATATTTCTTTGAATGGTGAGTTTTCATTGTTTGTTTTAGCTTGTTGTCTTGTTTTGATTTATACATGTAAAAGGATGCAAAACATTTTCATTGTATTGAGTTTTAAAATGTAGTGTGGATTTACCTTCCCTTTATCAAATCATTTTGCTTTTCTGGTTTTGGTTATAAATCCCTTTCTTGGTGTGAGAGTAAACTTGGTTACACAAGCACTATTTTTCAGCACAAATAAAAATTTGTGCTTGCTTTTTATGTAAACCCCTGAATTCTTCCAAATGTGTGGTGATTATTTTTTTGAACTTTGCCTGAAAGTTTTCATTCTTTACTGTAATTCTTAATAATGGCTACTTTTCAACATTTTAGTGTTTGAAACCTTTTTTATTGATGTTAACTTGGAAAGAACTAATTCAACTGTCATGATTATCACACCTGGCTGTGCAGTGTTTGATGTTGAAAGAGAGCTCACTGGGATGACGAAACAGAGGCTAATGGATGGAGGTAACTCTTATGTTAATTTCTTAAAAAAATTTTCACAGCCTATGCTAATGATTTTCAATGCTGATCTTTTGTGCAGTTTTTAGAATCTTAATTTATTTGATATTTTTTTTCCTGAAATTTAGAGAGCTTAGAATCTGATCTTGACAGTAGAGGGGATATAGAATTTAGTGAATTTGGCAATTCATCCCACCAAAGACTGCAGGGTTCTTCACCCCTTGCCCCCTCCCTTGGCCAGTACTAATCTGAGTGTCAAAGAGGAAAAATGCATGTGAGAACATCATGCAAAATCTCAATGTACAAAATGTCTTCCAGCTCACCTGAAAATGTGAAGGTCATTACTGTTGTGGCGAAGTAGGAGCGAATTAATTTGGTAATAGGCAAAGAAGCAAAAAATTACTTGGGTATGCTTGATAGTAAGCAATACTGTTAGCGCTGTTTTCTAGATCTGTCATTTTTTGTTTCTTTTTCATTATACTGTTTTATACCTTTGTTACTTGAACATTGTTCGTTGAATCTCAGGTTTTGGAGTTGATCTTGTTTGCCTTGCCGAGCAGCCTCTTCATGCCGTGCCATTACTAAAGTTCCTTAGCAAAAAGCAACAGAAACTTAAAGACAATCACGTGATTACTATTGATTACAACATTCCTCAATGGATCAACCACAGCTTTTATCGCTCCTCTGAACAAAGGAATTCGTCATCGAGGTTCATTCCTAGAATTAAAGTTCCAGAACGACCAACTTTTGTTGATGTTGAAGATGTTCCGGATGGTAAGCTTGTTATGTGATTAACAACATTCTTAATGGATTTTATTTCTTAGAGTAACTGCTAAGCCGCTAAAATAAACATATAAGGCGAGAGGAAATTTCACCTTCAGATGAAACCATTTGATCTGTACAGGGCTTTCCTACAAGTTCAGTGCAGGTAATTAGATCAGTTTTGTACAGTAATCGAGATTATAGTATGGAACTCGAAACTTTGACCACTCGTCCATGCAACTTGGGAAAAATCGGGAGGTCTTTTTCATTCTTTCTTCATGGTAACCTACCTTACCTTGCTACAAATTCCTTTCTAAAATTAACATTTCTCCATGCAGATTATTTATTAGATTGCTATTTACCTTTAGCCAACAGTACTTTAAAAAACGAGCTTTTTATCTATCCTCGCCAATGCCGTACAAACTCTTCAGTCTATGCTGATGCATAAACTTTTTATGTACCACTTGCTAGTGGTACATAAAAATTGTAAGCCATTTGCATGTTTTTTTGGGAGAAAGCATTGTTTGCTTTTTGGTTTAAGAACAAAACCCATTCTAACTATGTATATATACCCCGTTCTTTCTCCTATTATCGGATGTGTATAGATGTTTATAGAATACAAAACTATACAGTACCCTTTAACGTGGACATTAGAATACATCAAGAAGAGGTGCCTGATGGTCTCATTGAACTCAAAACTCGAAGTGCCAACTTAGAACCGTTTGATTTTTATTCACTAAAGCACAATATGCTGTCTATGAAGCGTCTGTAGAAAAACAGGACTTGGGACTCTAGGAGGACCCCTCGACAGTTAACCCAGTGATTCTGAATTTGTATCAAACATTTTACCAAAGCAATTTAGTATGCACATTGAAAAGAAGGCTATGACCACATACTGCTGAACGCTTAATCGATATGATGAACTTCTTTTATATGTCTTATCAAAAACAATGCCTAAAAGCGCTTTAAATGTTTGTTGTTAGATACACGAGAGCGTCCAGATCATTTCTTCATGCAATCCGAGATCGATTTTGATGAATACGATGCCCAAGTCTTTACGTATGCTACCCCACGTACTGTATTGAGAAGTAAACTCTCGAAGGGTATTCAGAAGAAGCGCAAAACTGATCTTCGCGTAGTGCGTAAATCATCTCCTGATATGCACGCCGCCAGAAGTAAGCCTGAATTGAAGACGCAACCATCATGGAATGGCAGCCAACACGATGGGTCACCCGTGCCCCCAATCAGGTCTTTGAGCGAATGTGAGGATGTTAGACTGGGTACTTCGTTTGGCGAGAATATGATCTTTATCGAAGGTAACAGCTTTTCCACAATTATTTGGCAATTTTTAGGGTACCTCTAGCGTCTAATTTCAAATTTCCTTGCTATTCGTTTTACAATAGCTTTTCCACTATTGTATTCCATTACTAAAATTCTGAATTCATGTTTTTCTTCCTTTTTCCAGCTATAGCTCCCCAAATTTTTGAAGACTAAAGTTTACTTGAAAATTATTGACTCTTGTAAACTTCTTCTCAATAGATGACACAGTTGGTGAAAGTGATTCAAGCCCTGAAGTTGACGTCGTTTTGAAAAGAAATTTAGTTGGAGGTAGCTTGAATCCCGATTCCTATCCAACCTACCAAGCAGGATTCATTAATCCATTTAAGCCATATCACTTGTCATATAAACTGACTTTGTTTAGGCATCTTTGGCTTCATACTTTCCCTACGGATACAAGTGGAGAGGCAATGCAAGAGCACCACAAGAAAGTGCCAATGGATCAAGACGGAATTTCACCATCTGTAAGTTGCTTTCAGCCATATTTTTTATGACTCTTGTCGTTATCTGGAGTGGAATATTAAATTGTTGTGTGAAAAGGTAAATTGTGATTCCAACGATGAGCGCTGCTTCAAAATGGAAATGAGTGCCCAGCCTCCCTCTGCTAATGAGCGAAACCTTGCAACCATTCTTTGAAAAAAATAAAATAACCGGGGGTTGTATGAAGTTACAATGATTTTTTATTTCCGAAGATCTCCGGCCATGATTTTTTGTGTGGGACTTCTACTCTGTTGGACCACTAGTGCACCATTCAACGTGACAACAAAAGAAATTCAAAAGAAGCAAGGAAAGAAACTGGCTACCCCCAACTTGCCACGCGACAGATTCCTCTGTAAAATCCTCCGCGTGCAAATTGATTATAACAGACCATTTAAAACTGAGCTTTATGTCCATTCTCAACGATGTCGTAAAACAGTAATAGAGCAGCTATTTGATTTAAAACGTTTCGTATGAAAAGTATGAATATTCAGGTTAGAATATCTAAGTATCAATAGCGTATTGTCATTATTTATCCCAAATCATCTCTCTACATTAAGCTAAAGCAACATCAATAAGCAAAATATTTTCATGTAGATGTTGCATTTTTCTACCAAGTTATCTTTACAAATTCATCTTTGCCATTTTACCTCTTTTGGGTTCTTCTTTTTTGGTAACGAGTTAACCAAAATCGACCCTAAAAATATTTTTCATTGCATTTAGTTTTTTGTGATTATCTTTTTGTTTTTAACTACTTGAAAAACGTATTTTATATCTTTAATCGTTTCTTTGCTTTTTTAAAGGTATTTGATATTGAGGAAGCTACGATGTCAATAACGGAAGGTCAAAGATCGAGTGAGCAGTTTGAAAATCAAGATAGTCTTCGGTTTACACTTGACAGAAGACATGGAGATGCATCTGAAAGTTTTGAATTGCAGAAGGGAAGGTCGTTCAAAAAAGTTGGAAGTGACAAATCCTTGTATAGTGGCTCATCAGGTAAATTTTTTGTGCCCATTAAGTTTGTTTTGTTGATCAGAATTATTTGTTCTTTATCATTCCTTTTTCAGAATGTTTATAAATTTATTAATTGAGATGTTTAGCATTTTTTAATTATGTCTGACAATATATAATTTGTGAATAAAGAAAGGTCATAAAAGCAGTCTGCTCCGCGGACTCCAAGGTGTTCTTGCGGCGAAAAATCGATGATAATGTAGCAAATAAGAAACACCGCAATGCGACGAGAATGAACAACAATAAACACACGTAAATTAACGAAGGCTAATATTTCGCCCCGGCATACGGGGCTTCATCAGTTCTTTGCTCAGTTGTATGCCAAGGCGAAATACTAGCCTTCATTAATTTACGTGTATTTACTGTTGCTCATTCTCGTCGCATGGCGGTGTCTCTTATTTGCTACAATATATAATTTGTTTTTCGTCATTCTATGTAAAGTGCTTTCTTGCATGAAAATAATGGTCGTTGCTACTCTTTTTCAGTTATAACTTTCAAATTTCTTATTTAACATAGCCCTCTTCCAAAAGCATTCACTTGACGAATGGTGTTTTATCTCTAAGATTCAGGAAGTCAATAAGATGCCCCATGCAAGAATCAATTTATTTTTAATACGACTTATTTTTCAATTGGCTTGACTTCAAAGGAAGTTTCATTACAACGCCTCTTTGTATCCTGTATTGTAAAGAATCTGGGTTAAATCTCACTAGGTTCAATCTTTGTAGATTCAATTCCAGTTGTAGTTAGTTTACTAATTAATTTATTACCATCTCCAATATATTCACATTTCTTAGATTTCTAGAAACCTGTTTTAGAAATGCATAAAGAGGCATTATGCATCTTTTACATGGCCCAGTGTCATATTGATTTTGGATATGTAACCAGAGGATTTTGTTGTTAAAAAGGAACAACGGTGTTTACAATGAATTGTAAAATGAAGCACTCTGTTTTAGGCCATTTATTGTTTCAAAGACAACAGGATCAAGACTGGACAACTGCTATTCTAACTGGCGTTGACTGGAAATCTCTTAGTATTCCAGCTTGTCTACCTTTGACAACTAATTATTTCCCTGATGCAAAAACATTTGAAGATGATTTCTTCTGGTACAACTACAATGTGATTATTGATGACAGCTATGAAAGGTAATTTTCTGTCTTCTTGTTTATTACCAACAATGCTTTGTTTTATAGAATTGTTCTTGAATGTTGTATGTCACCACAAAAGCCATACAGTCTCTTGGCTTTCAAATGTGTTTGGGAGTTGGTTATTACTTTTGTGAACGGCCCTGTTTGTAAAATTAAAGGGGTGCCTTCGTTTCTTTTTACACCCAGTGATTTTTGTTGGTTTCCAGTAATGGTGTACAATATTCTAATTGTGCCACAAAATAATGCACGTTATTTTCTGAATAATGTAAGTGAAATTTCTTTTAGATTTCTACATTGATTGTTGGGTTGTTAATATTTGAAATGCAAGGTCGTATTGATAAGATTCATTCTGTTTGTTTAATCATTATTCATCCAGCACATGGTTTATCCACTTATAATACTGTTTCAATTTATCAAGGTCTATGGCGGATGAGAACTTTAACGATCGTTTCAGAATGACTACCAAAGACAAATTTCTCGAGGCAGTCAGTCAAAGAATTTCTCAAGTAAGCATTAATGTTTGTTTACTGATCGCAACTGAAACTTCCCAATCTTTAGCAGGTTTACCATGCAACTTTCCCATCCTTTTTGCTCGTGCAGAAAAATTCGTCTAAACGTTGTGTTTCTGAACTTGTCAAAGAAGTCGCAAAGGATCAAGAACAGTATTTCATCCAGCCAATCTGTCTAAGAATTCAATAAAATAGGGTAAGGTAAAGGTAGGATAGATGATGTCCTTTTGTTCTAAGTGACCCTCGTCACGCTCGACAGCCGTGCGACCGCCAAATCTTCTGGACTTTGAACTCTCGACGTGCGTCGTGTTTATTTGCATGTTCTATTCTAACAGCTACAAAATACATATTTATAGCAATTTATCGAAAGAGACATATCTGAAAATTGTCACCATAGAGTTCTTAAGTATGAGGTCATGAAAAATACATTCTTATAGACTTCTTGCTTTTCGACCAAATAATCTCTGAAACAACATAATGAATGTACCTCTAGATATAGAAAAACCGCTAAATAAGTTGATACACGGCAGTTTGATGGGGAAAAGCCTGTCCTGATGTGGCTCTGGAAATTTGCAACACAATTGACTGAGTTGGCACATTTAGCCGTATTTTGTAATGCTCTTTTAAATTAATTGGTAAAAATTCAAAATTTCTTTCTAAAAGTATATCTCTCTACAATTATGAAGCTATTCAAGACCTTTAGTGTATTACGCATTGTAGTCAATTATTTTCCATTATTTTGTCTTTTTAATCAAAGGGATTCCAATTTGTGAAAAACAGAGATCGTCTGAAATTCCTTCTAAGTCCTAACAAGGGAACAAGGCCATCAGTGTTTCAAAGGCTTTCAGAAAAATTAGAGGAGGAATATGTGCTTTCTCATGTGCAACAGGTTCATCTTATTCAGTTTGATGGAATGGAATTGTCTGTAAATAAATACGTGAAAAAACACATTCCAACTACAAAGTCTATTGAATACAAGTAAGCTATGTCACATTTTATGATGATTTTGATGTTTTAACGCTTGCCCTATTATTAGCATCCTTTTTTCAGAAATATTGTATATCTTATGGTGGTTTACCTACACTTCAAATGAAATTTAAGATTTTTTACCGAGTTTAGGATAGAAAAGGTACCAAGGTTTTTTAATTTTTTTCGTGAGAATAAAGCAAAGAGATACTGCATTTTTGAGAAGCATGCAGTCGATTTATGCATTTTTTGAATGCTTCTTAAAATGGAAATTGTGTCTAAGCTGTAATAAAAGTTACTCATCTAGTTATCAACTATGTAAAATTATTGAAAACGGATAGAGATAGGTAATGTGTCTGGCTTGACAAAAGCAGAAAGCGAAAAAAATTCAAATTTAGTCTTAGCTATAGTTATATTTTTTCTTACGTCCCACTAGATACATTGGTACTATGGATGTAAGGCAATTTCACAGGAAATTAATTTATTGATTTAGAAATTAATGCAATATGCAATATAAACAGATAAGCTTGTGTGTAGAGAGCTATTAAATTAAAAAAATAGCTCTCTCAATAGGTACACTAACCAAGTTGAAAAGGCTCTATCCTACATTTGGTTATCTTTCATAATTTTTCGTATTATTAGGTACAAGCTTTGGCCAACCAACTGCAGTGAATTTCAAGGTGCTTGCACCCTTTTTGCCCATGATGATACAATCAACTATAACTGGAATTATTTAGACCATTACGTGACTGGAGAGGGAGAAGACAGTAACATGCTTTTGGAGGTAAGCATATATATTTTTTAAAAAAAAGTAACGAACATTGATTTAGCCTGAGCATTATGCAGCTTTTTGGCCAGCGGTAACAAAACATATTAGCTGTCACAAAGCAAAAAGCTGAAAACCACCCTCCTTCAATGCGTGCAGTTACTTATTTCTCACCAAAAAGGAGCGAATTTATGCTTGACTTGTTTAAAAATATTATGGAATTTTTTCTTATTGTTTGAAATGTTTGGGATATTTGAATCATTTCTTATAATCTCCTTTCGTGTATACTTTTATAGTTTCTGTGTGCTAGAAAACGTTAAAATAGTGCTCTGAAACACGTTCAACCCAGAAACATTGCATCACAGAAAATAATAATTCGATCTATAACCATTGGTATTGCTTCTCTTAACTTAAGAAAATCATAAAATTTTTATATTTTATCTGCAGGATATGAAATATTGGAGAAAGCGATTTCTTTTACTTCCAAGACGTGATCAGGCGACGGAAGAGACAAAGTATTCAGGCGATACAAAAATGATTGAAATTGAAGGCTTTCTTAAATTCATGGAAGGTCTCAACGGAATAAAACGACCCATCAATCAAAGGATGTTATTCATTTGCCGAGTAAGTTTGGCAAAATTATTACAAATTGAATATTATAGTTAAGGGTTTTATGGCAAAACGGTCGGTGTAGCTCTTCGTATTAACAACAAGCAGAAAAAAATTGCATTTTTTGTCAATTGATGTTAATCATGTTGATTTTTGTAACATAAAATGATGAATTTGTAGAAAAAATTTCTTATTTTGCAAGAGAACTGGCCTAGGGTTTGGTTGATCGAAGGGCTATATTCGTACACAATGATTTACACATGATGAACAATTTTGTTGAAGTTTGTTTTCAATCATATTCCTGGCCATGTATTCGACGTATGCCTTTAGTTTTAAAAGAATTGACCTTTGAATCAGACCTTTGAATCAGGGGTTTTATTGGTATATTAGAAAAATGTATTCACTTTGAAAAGAAATCGTGACCACCCTTTTAATTCAATTGACCCAAACATCTTGTAAAATCTTTTCACCAGCAACACACCCCCGAGGATCAAATCACGTATCTGGAAAGAAGACAAGGGCTGCCCGATGATAACAAGAAAAAGGGAGATAAAGTTGAGTCTGAAGGAACACCCAAAAATAAAGCAGCTTCGAATGGTGCGCAGAAAAAAGGAACACCTGTCAAGGAAAGTCCTTCTGACAACAAAGAAAAGAAATCTAAAAGGAACTTGTCAATATCATCTGAAGAAATGTTAGAAGATCAGAAGGGCGCATCGACTGAACGTCAGTCCTCCAACAAGTGAGTATCAAGGTGAACCTTTGTATTTGCAAAAAGTGAATATTTATTGGAGAATGTATACGGGGAATGTATACGGCTAATATTTGAGTTAATGTAAGGAATTGAACTTGAATGGAGAAATTAACTCTATGATTTTAAGATTGGAAGTTTAGTAAATATTTGTTAAGGAAATTGGAAATATATTTGACAGACATAGCTCTTTTGAAGTTATTTGAGTCAGGCACAGTACTTTTTAAGTTTGGTATGATTTAGAATGAGCTTAAACCTAAAGTCAGGGTAATGTTCCTTAATATTTACAAGATTGATATTTGATATCTGTGACATCGAATTTTGACAAAAATGACAAAGCAGAGAGTTGATTAAAAATTGGAGAGTATTTAATAAAATCGAGGCGAGAAGGTTTTCAGAGTCAAGGACAAAATTCTGCTGCATAGGTGTCGATGTTTATTTTTTGTGTTTAATTTATAGTGAAGATACGACTCCGAAGCAACATTCTATTCCATCAAAACTGCCTCCTGCACTTGGACTAGCGTCGACTTCTCCATTGGAAGACATTGTCAAAGCCATGCAAAACTCCGAGTAGGTCTATTCATTGTTTCTTTTTCTAATTATTCATTTCTAGTGCTTTTTAGAAGGGAAAAGGTACGGGCCTTCCTCTGATTATTACTAATACTTTTCATAAGTACTGTTTTACCTGTCGTGAATCCTTAGGCATTGAAACTCTGATTTTAATCAGGACTCTTTGGTTATCGTTGCAATGTGGGCTACTCTTTGACCACTAACTTAAAAGTTTATCAGTGTCTTTAATTTCTCCTGACTGTAGCACATTTGATGCTTTTATATGAGCAAATATATTTCTAAATTTTTTTTAAGTGCAGCTATGTCTAAAATTAAGCTTGAGCCTACATATTAAAAAAAATTGGAAGTTCTTATGCTGTAATGCGTGCCTCAAATGTGCTTCATTAACCGTCCCCCGTCGCAAAAGTCAAAGGGCATGCGCAGTAATAGCCAATATTAGATAAATGCACATTTTCTATGATTCCAAAGACGGGGGATAGCATCTTCAAATTGAGACTTCCATATGTTCTTCTCTCCCCTTACAGCAAGCATTCTTCATCCTTTGCAGATATGGGCTGAGCTTCCTTCCTGAGCAAGCTGGTTTGCGACAGTGGACCTTTATAAGTGCTGAAGCTGTTGCGTGGATGATCAAGAGTGTCGATGGGGTCGATGAAAAGCAAGATGCTGTAGAACTTGGCCAGGTAGATCCACCCATTTCTAACTTCGACTTGTGCTCCTGACTTTAGCTTCAAAAATCCTCTGGCATTGATGGTCGCAGTTTCATATGAAGCTTTTAAGATTAGATGAACTAGACGTAAATTAAGATCATGTGATACTTAGCTATGTATTCAGGAAATTCCAAGTACAAGACACAATTGCAATGTTTCTATCAGAAAGATGAACTTTAATCGAGAAATGCTCAATGCATTATGAGGTATGAAAAAATTAGAAGTAAGGGAAATAGAGAGAAAAATCCAAACGTTAGATAAAGTTTTTAGAAATATGTTGATATATCGTTTGACACCCGTAAGGACTTTTTACGATACTGACAATTTTAACTTTTCGTTAGTCGACATTTCAACAAGACTTTTCTTTCAATGTTTTCGTGTCATATTTTTGCAGCAAATGCTTGACGCAGAGTTGATCATGCACGCCTCTCAATCTGAAGCCCAATGTTTTGTCGATGGCATGTATTTGTTCTTTGTCAAATCCACAGAAAAAGCTGAAGGCAAGGAGACATTTTATTTATCCCTCACTTTGCCCAGGCAGTGAAGGGATTCATATATTTTTCAGTTGATTGTCGAATGCTTTCTTTATGGTTAGAATACCCGTAAACCAAATCATCTGGTTGCCGACTATTAGAATTGTAGTATTTTAACTGTCTACATTTATTGGCTAGAAGAGCCAGAACACTTTTTTAATAATGGTAGGGGTATTTCTTGATTATTTTCATTTGAATACTGTTTCCAATTTTTTATCTTTTACTGGTTATTCGTTGATCCTCAGAAAAAGTGGAGAAGCCCCGAAAGATTTCGTTATTCTCATCATTTGAGACAAGAAGAACCGAGGAGGAATTATTAATGAGCTACAATACTAAATGGTTCGAGGTTGAAGTTTGGAGAGGAAAGCCTCCTGACAAAGTCCCTGAGTATATGAAAGAGTCACTTGTTTCTGACTCACCTGTAAAAAGTCCACAGAGTCCAAACAAAGACAGAAAGCAGCGGGCAGGTATGATGATTATGATGATATCACAAAACCATTTAGAAACATAAAAAGCATTTGCCAATCAATGTCATCTACTTGACTACAATTAAAGCAAATCTTGCAATGCTGTATTGACTTTCCAATTTAACGAATCCTTCATCATATGTTATCTTTGTCATAACAATATATTTTCTCTTTGTTCATGTTTAGCATCAACTATTCCTCCATATAAACCTTACTACAAAAGCATGGATTACTGTTTGGACAGCAACAGGCGTAGTGATCGGGCAGAATGGTGTACTATTTATTACAACGATAACTATTGCACCGATCAGTCGTTTTCTCTAGAGCTTGACTGGATGGTATCCACTGCATCTATTCTTTGTGAAAGGGTATGATTGATTTTAAGAATTGCTATCTTTTGATCGATGCTAGGTAGCTAAGCCTTGTACTGCATTTAAGTTCTTGTTATATGATTTACAACTAATTGTGACTTGCATTCGTTTGATTTGTTTTTGTAATTTGTAATTTCAGCTTTGTCTAGATAAGCGTTGATAGCAAGACGGACATGTAGTTCCGTTCAGAATATATTGATAGTACCATTTGCTGTCAAGAGGCCATCGCGACATTAACTTGGCACCAAGAAGATTGAGAATAGATACATCATTTTTTTCTCGAACACAAATTCAATTAAGAAATATCAATGCAGGTTTTTAACCTCTACCGGTATCAGGACCGGATCTTCTTAAATACGTAACTAACATTTACTGTTTATCGTCTGATTACACTCAATGCCCGTAGGGTCAATAAAAAAAACAGTTTTTCATTGATTTAAAGCATTTTTTCTGTTTACGTTGTCATGTATACAATCTACCCTTCCTTTTTTGCACATTCTACCTTCCATATCTTGTAATTCATTTTTCCAAAGGTTCAGCACTGGGCAAGAAGAGCCAATACTTGTGGCTTTCATTTAGTTCCAGCTCCTCTGCAGCCATTGCCTATACATTGCAATTACGATTCTTTAGCATTCAAGAAGAATCCTCTTAACAAGCCAAATTTCATTCCTTTGAGTATAGAATACCTCCTCTCACTTGGGCAAAAGCACATGTTTGAAGGTCAGTTGTGTCATGCTAAGTATTTGCAAGTTCTCTAACGCTTGAATGAATCGTATGGCTTGAAAGAATGAATCTTTAGACTTTTTAATATTTTGATAAGCTTCACCATAACCTTTTTCAATTAAGATTTAAAAATTATGCCTTATTTTTAGATTTTGATGAGTCTACATGGAACAAAAGAATGGTACTTTTTCAAGAAGCTATTCTATTAAGGTAATTGATTGATTTGAGATTAACTGCTCGGTGAACCCTATTTTGAGCCAGGATCTTAAGATCTATGTAAACAGAGAAAGTAAGGTGAAAATGTCTTGTATTTTATGAATTATACTTAGCAACTTCATATGGACATGTGGTAGTAGTTTATCGAGTTCTAATCGAGAAGGGATGAATTCTAATCGGCATAAAATTATGTGAATGGTGTTTGATTTAGACTATTATAGCTTCATTAAACGTAAGTAAAATATGCAAACAATCTTTTGGTGGTACAAAACTTGTAAATGGCTTTGAAAAAAGCAAATATTTAGTAAACTAAAGCTTTTCGGAACATTCTCGTTCCATTGGTAACATTCTCAATAGGCAAGCGGCACTGATTGGTCAACCTATACAGTCATGTGCTCGTGTTTTCTGATTGGCCTATTTCGATCCACAACTGGGTATATATATTTCCTAGCGAAGAGTTTTCGATCTATGTTCTGACGTTTTAAACTCTGAAGAGTGTCAGACGAAAAGCTTTAGTTTACTAAATGTTTGCTTTTTCAAAGCCATTTGTAAGTAAAATACTGTTTTGCAAAGATAAGGTTTTATTGCAATGTACTGTTTCATTTAAGTTGTAATTCTAGACTTTTAGTAATGGTCTCAAATAAATTGCAATTGCATAAAGACTGATGTGACGAATACGAGAGGACTATTTTGTTATTTTGCTTATAGGAAGTTTAAAAGTTATATATGGTAGAAATTATATGGAAGGAAGCGTCAGACATCTAATCTAGCAGTCGAAGTTTGTATCCGACTGTAAGATCATCCAAATTAAAAACTTTGGTAAAATAGTTTTAAATAAGTAATTAAAATGTCATGTGTATTAAAATTTGTAAACTGTCAGCAAAAATGTGGTGTTACCAAACACTGTTTAAATACTCTAAACTAAAATGCTATACACAAAGGTAAGTTCTACATATTAAGAGGGTAAGAAGTTCAAAATAAAATGTTAAAATAAATTTAATTTTGATGTAAATTTATAGGTTTTTACAATGAAATGTAAAACTTCCTATTAGGTAACTTCAATGCTTTCTTCATATCAGATGTTTAGAATCTTTCATTGAATATAATGTATGTTGCCTTTAGATTTGGGTTTCTAAGAGACTTTCCCAGAACCAGCAACACGTATGGCCTAAGCTTCAGCAAAAAACGGGAGGCACATTCAAATCAATATGTCCATTGGACTGGTAGCGTTTTTGTTAAAATAGTCGAACAGCCCATGGAATTTCAGCTGAAAGCATCGCCCAGCGTGCGAAAAATCAACTTCGAAGAAAAGGCCGAAGATGAATTAAGTTCCTATAAAAATTCTTCGCAACGTCTCCAGCAAAAGGTCGATACTCTTCTCAGTGACCTGGGCAGTTCTGATATCGAAGGAGAGAAATTTCCCGCAGGATTCTTTTGGACACATAATTATTCACTTACGAAGAAATGGCGATCAAGCTATACAGGTAAGGCTTTTTTATAATATGTGGCTTGTTTTTCATCGATTGCAAGACTTTCATTCAATGCTTCTCCTGTCATTTTATTTCCAAGATGCGAAGAAACCATCCTGAAAATAAGGAGGGTGCCCTGTAATGAGGAAGGGGGAGGCATCTTGAAGGTAACAGTTCCCTTAAGATGTTTGTTTGCTTCAAGAGCCTGTATATCGAAATTCTGGAATTGAATCCCCATCTAATAAGAATCCAGTCAGCCTGAAATTGGAATAGCATCTTATTTGCAGCTCAATTTAAAACCTTATAAGAACTTGTTGAGACTTGATACTCTTTCAATACAGTTGATTATTTACCCCATTTGATTTTGTGATGGTTGCCTTTATAAACAAAAAAGAATGTAATTTGCAATATATTGATCATCCAAGGACAATCTATAGACATATTAGGGCTGATTAACACCTCGCATATATATTTTAAAAGAGATTTGTTCACCAAATTTTCTGAAGTGCTGAGCTGCAGGAAATTTCTATCAATTTCAGTCTTAATTCCCAGGCCCCTTTCTCGGCTTCTCGGCACTTTTGCCCTTGAGGATGTTTTGTTAAGAAGGCAGTGCATGAATTTCAATGCTTTTGTGGAAGGCCTGGCCGTAAAGAAAGAAAGGGTTACCACGGATATTACGAAGATCTATTTTAAGTGATTGATAGTGATTTTAATAATTGATAGTGATGATTGTTCAATATCTAATCAGATTTGAATCACTTTCATTTTAAAGGCGACACGAATGCTGCTAACAATCTTATGAGTGAATTCAGTAATTTTTGTGCTAACTCGAATGGATTGCTTGAAGAGTTTTGGAAAACAGCTGTCAATAAATGCAAGTGTGAGCCTGATATGGAAGAGAATGAAGAAGATGAGCAATGGGAACGGCAAGATGATGCTGATATTGTCTTATGACACAGCTATTGCAGCACAACTTGGATATCACATGGGGCCAATATGATTTCCGAAATGCAGCGTAGTTTAATCAAATTAATGTAAGGATATTGAAATCACTAATAGAATATTATTTTGGTTATTAGATCAGATAATTTTTTTAAAATGTGATATTGTTTGTCATGCTAGTTCAGAAAATTGAATTTATTTCAGAAAGATCATTTAAGAAAGCAGTATTTTATCAAAATAGTATTTCTGAGTTGAAAGAATGCTTCTATTTAAGAGGTTGCATCATCTAAAAGATGCTATGTCATTGTTCGCCAGCCTTCCCAACTAGAGTAATGATTTTATTTGACCTGTTTACTAAACAACAGGTCTCAACAGGATATTTGTCATAGATTTATCATATTTTCTAACTGTTTATTTGCTCGCCATTCTTTGTTGTAAAAAGATTTACTGCATCGTCCAACTTTCGTACTATAATAAGTGCATCCTATGAACGGTGCAGTTGTTTGAGTTTGTATATTGAATCGGACTTCAATAAATTAATTGCTATTCCGCTGTACATTTTATTTATCAAAAGATATTTTACAGCATGTTTTCTATGAATTAAATTTACATCAATAAAATCCGGGAAATCGAAAGATGCTTTCGCGTTTCTTTTATTGTTGAATCTTTCTGTTTCGATTGGTAGTTTAAGTGTGGAAATGACATTTGTATCGAAAGGCCAAATATATGATTTTGACCAACGCTCCATTGTTAATCTTGTATATTCACAAAAAAACATGTTCACCAAATGTGTTCTGTGCCTGCTATATAGACGCAGACTTTTCTGAAATTTACACCCATTATGAAATGTGAAAACATACCCAAAAATTTATAAATTTTCTAAAAGAATTCCTACCACAAAACTTGGATAAAATATGAAATGCAAACCCTTAAATTTAGTTTAAATTTGCAAAATTCCAACAACTCAATCAAGTTAATAAAAGTACATTACTTTTCATATGAAAATCAGTTTGGTCAAAAATTTAAGGCCAAAAGCTACCAAAATATTTATAACCATGCTTGATTTTACCAAAATTGATACCCCAAAATTTATTTTCTTCTTGAAAAAATGGTACCCCAAAAATGGCACATGCCATACCAGTGTATGTGGAACTTACCCCTCCCCCCACGCGGGTCCCAGTCAGGAAATTTCCTGGCGGGGACAGTTTCACCGCATTTATTACGGAGGGGCATTTACACTACTGCTTTGTTTCATGATTAGTAAAGGTAAGTGGCGAGACTTTTGGAGTAACTATAAACCGAAGGTTAAGTATGTTTTGTGATTTGTCGAATGGTCTATTTTTATTCAATGTACCTATTCTATATTCGGCGAAAACTTTGAACTATCCTGGTCGAAGTTTGCTTCCTGTCTCTGCCCTGTCTTAAACAAAAAGTTTTAAAAGATCAAAAAAACTTCTGGAAGTCTTAAGAAATATTTCATAATGTTTTGTAATTGTAAATGTGATTGGTTAGATTTTTTGCTGGCGTGGATTTGCTTTGTTGGTACATTTGTACATATGTAATGCACTATAAATAGAAGCGGGAGAATTGACTTGACAGCAACAGCAACAACAATTCCAATATTTTGCAGCATACTATGAAACTTTCAAGTAATCGCCACTTGTAAACTAAACGCAACAGCAAGCAGATCTCTTCTTGGAATCATTTGCATACAGGTATAAACCATTAATTTTTTCTTTGTAATCGTCGCATAAAAACGCACACAAATTTGTTTAAAGTTAATCGAACCGGCGCCATACATGCAGAACGGCTTCGATGCATTAGCCCAGTATTACATATTCGCTGAAGATTTCCAAAATTGTAATTAATGGTGCAGTTTGTGTATGAAAATATCTTTGGAATACTGATGCCTCAATTTGGCACAAGAGAGAGAAAAACCATACTAGATTTGTTGTTATAAACCTTAACAGGAATTTTCATGTTACTTACAGGGCAATTACATGATTCCAACCTCTGTTAAAGCAAATCATTTGCCCCCTTTAAAAGATGATGTGAGTAAGATAGAAAAAAGGTTTTTCGTAAAACATTTAGGACGATTAATGCTGCTGTCAGTCACTTTGGTTTGAGATAAAATGTGATTTGCCATTTACATTATCTTAAAATGTAAAAAACCAATATCAAGCAATCAATGTCAATATAATAGTAAATAGTAAACAAATCAATATACAATATTTGTAAAAGAGAATCAACAGATGGAAAACTTGCCTATTTCTAGCTTTGAATATGCAAATAATTCTAATGAAACTTCTCTTTGTTCAACAATGTTCATTGATTCCCTGCAAACTTCAACCATACCATTTATTGCTCAACCTTTTTATTTTAGAGGAAACTGGGACAACTTTAAAAAGTGCCAACATGGACCAAACCAGATATCATCAACCCTTCTGCAGATTTCTGAACTTTATGAGGCTGATCTACTTCTCTGATCTTGTCATTTCATGTGCATTATGGCTTACAGGAGGGGATTCCCAATACTTTGAAGATGGCATCACCAAATTCAAGATGAATCAGTCTATTTTTGACCTTGCAGTTATAAGATTTTTGCTAAGCATCTCATTCATCGCATTATATACAGAGATAGAAAGCATATGCTGGCAGATTACTTCCAATGGCAGCCAAGGCAGGAGCTCAGATCTAAGGAAAAAGAAAACTTTATTCATGGCAATGACTTTCTTATTTGCTGCTGGAAGTCTTGCTTACAGCATAGTCAAATTTATTTTCATCAACAACGAGTACAAGAAAGATAAAAATGACATTCACTCTACTTGTTATGCTCTTGCCATATCTTCAGTGGCATTTTCTGGGCTCCAGTTCCTTTTGTTCTTTGTAAATATTTACATGGAACGAAAGCTGATGATCAGGTACAGTAGAATGATTGACAGCGAGGGTGAGTCAAGTGATGACCAAAAGAAAACCAAATCCAAAGCAGATCTGGGCAGACTCTTCAGTCTTGCAAAACCTGTAAGTAAATTTTTCAGTGTCTAAAGTTTTCAATATTAATGCCATGGCTTGATAGTATCATCGCTTTTGACAATACTTTGTAAGATTATTTTAATGGTTACTAAGAATCTTTTTTATTGAAAGCTCCCAATTTTATTACAGATTTTACATGAAACAAGAAATGTTTGTTCAAGATATCTCAATTCTTCAAGCAGCAAAACAGACTTAGGTTTTAAACTATTGATGTTTTGTCTTTGCAGCTAGGACACTTTGTTAGTTCAAAGACACAATGAAGTATAATACCTTGCTCTTGCAGAAAAAAGTCATATTGAATTGTTAAAAGGTGTTACATATTCCCTTGCTAGATATAAAAGTTAATGTAACATGCTTGAAATGCTTTCACTGTAGTGTAATGCTTTCATTGGTACTATATGCTTTCAAGTCCCAATTGAGTACATTTTGTAATTGTAACAGGAATTTGTCTTGCTCATTGGTGGCACTTTTGGTTTGATTGTTGCCAGTGGATCACAGATGGTTGCACCATTGTTTTTTGGTAGGGTAATTGATGCTGCTCTTAAACCAACAATGGGTAAGTAAGATTCCATTTGCAATATATTTCAAATCCTTTTTTTCCTTTATCTCATGTTGTTACAAAATTTTATTTTTAAGAGAAAATTAAACTGTTTTTTGTTAAATAGATTTTCCTCAAGACAAGGAAGATTCAGCTTTCATGTATCATTAAGTGTTTGGCTGCCAACAAATACTCAAATTAAAAACTGGTTTAAATAATGTTGTTCCTTTTTAGCTTTAGGGTTTCTTCATAAGTATATTAGGCTATTAATTCTAAGTAATTACAATTGATTATGGGTAATTACTCAATCTTGCACTTCTAGTTATTAACCCCTGGTGTCATACAATTTGATCTTATTGAAGTTAAAAAATGACAATCACCTCTAGCTCCAAACCAGTAAATTGGAATCCTACTCAGTTGTAAGAAAGGAAAAATATGCTTTTCAAAGGCAATCAGCATTTTATAACCTGTTTTTGATGAGGATTTTGTATATTATTTCATGTGTGCCATTACTCTGAATATAAATCAACTCTGAATATTGTGCCAGTTTTGTCACAAAAGCCCCTTCATGTTGGTCTAGCAAGGATTTCCTACTTGTTACAATATTTTAAAATGTCATTCCAGGTCCATTAAACCAAACCATTCTTATTCTCTTTGGAATCTACACTGTTGGTGGAATAGCATCATTTTTTAGGAGTTGGCTGTACACACTTTCAGGACAGAGACTTGTAGCCAGACTAAGGGAAACGGTATTAACATATTTTCAATCTTATAATAATCATGATATAACAATTTTATATAACAATGTGAATACTATCTGTAAGTAAAGTTGCAGATACCTGAGGGAGAGGGGAGGGTGGTTGCTGCAAAATATGTTGGAAGCTATTGGTCTTTTGCTCAACAACAATGGGAAAATGTGACATCATCTTATAAGAGCAAAAGTCTTGCCTGCCAAATATTTGACCAAATGTTTGCCATTGTGTTAGTAGCTTTATGCTTCCATTTTTATAGCTCTTCTTGCATGTCATCAATCAAGAAGTTGCCTTCTTTGACAAAAACAGGTAATTTTTACCATAAAATTTTTTCTAATTTCCTAAATGGGTTTTTTCAAAATTTTTCTCATAGATCTTTTAAAGGTGATTAAATGCTACTTAGCGATCACGGGGGCAAATATTGTTTAGTGAAGCCTTTCAAGGACCTTACTTCGAATGGATGGCCATTTTGAACATTGATCGTAATTGTAGCATAACAAAGTATTTTTGCATGATAGAATAGAAATTGACTAATTTTTTTCATGTCGGTCCTCTAGTAAGAGAATTTGATTATTTGACTTGAGTAACAGCAGCTTATTATTTGCGCATTTTCAACACTTTAATGATTGTTTGATGTTTGATGAAATTGTGCTTTGTTTGGCTCTGAATGATATTAGAGAGAGGAATGAGCACTAAAGAATGACCAGCTTTAAGCCACTGGCCGTATGGTTAAACAACGAGGTAGGACTGTAAGAAAACTTTGGGTTTTTTAAAGATGCATACCTATATAGATATCTGTTTATTTGTTTTCATCTTATTTATCCGTTGATATTTGAAAACTCATATATTGTAAAGGTGATGTATTGGCATTACGGTCTATTGTATTGTTTATTTATGAGATTTTTAGAATCTTTGGTATCTTTTAATAGAACTGGTGAGCTTATGAATAGATTGTCTTCTGATTCGCAAGTCATTCAAAACGCAGTGACGGTATGTACGATTTTCCCTTGTATTTTGCTTGATAAATTCACGGTAGTGCTGAACATTTGGAAAACACGGAATTATGAAATCGCTCTATATGAAAGTCTTTTTTATCTAACATCAAGTTTCTCCATTAAACATCTAACATCACGGAGAGTTTTTTTGTTCTTCATTTTCTTTATAGGAATTTTTTAAGATAGCTGAAAGAATGCTGTTATAGCTAAGATATTTTCTCAATCCCATGAAAAATAATAGTATTTTAATATGCTTACCATTATAACAACCTTTATTAAAGTTCTCCAAGGTAAAGCTTCAGTTCGAATTGCTCGTTATCTTGTAAGGTTTGCCATGTATCTTTGGTATATAGAGCTACACATAGTGAACTGTGAAAGAACATGTTGTGTTTAACCTGCAGGTGAATATATCAATGTTTGTTCGTTACTTACTGCAAATACTTGGCTCAATCGCAATTATGTTTGCCGTTAGTCCAAAACTGACTGGAGTCCTTCTAGCTGTTGTCCCACTTGTGGCTGTTGGCGCCCAGAGATATGGTAAATTGAAAAATAATTTTCCACACTTAACGTTATCATTAAACAATGAATTTTGTAATTCCATTTGAATCTGGCTTCATCATGCTGCATTTCCTTGAAGACTTCAAAACCAGGTGCCAAATCCTAGCTTAGCAGAAGCTGATTCTGGATTTATGTTTTGATTGTGTTAATGTAAGAAAAAAATTAGTTCAAAAATGCTAACCCACAATGATGTACATGACATTCACTTGCAAAGTTAGGCTAAAGATAGTCGGTAGCATAACTTCAATTTCACTAGAAATTATAAAAGTTTAGTTCTCAGTAACTCTCTGTTCGTAGAAGATTAAATTATCATAATATAACAATTGTTTTGCCAATATCTTTGCTGAGAAATTACCAACCCAAGGATACGATTACGTGACTAATTGGATCAGAGCGCTTTTTAGTCTAAGTCTAACCATTTTTAAAAAGTTCACTTTTGTTTTTTACTGGACTAAACTTGTACGCAATACATACACATGCAGGTTAATGTACATTAACATTCGATAGATAGATAAATATGCATTAATCTTTAAACGATTTTTCTGTCGATCTTTCAAGTTTGCAATGTATTTCCTTTTTCAAGTCTACGATCTTGAATATCATTTTTGAGTAAGGTAATTTCCTTAATTTGCTTAACGTGTTCTTTCTGCAGCGTGAACCTTCCTTGTATGATATGACTTCCTTTGAGCTTTAAATAAGGTCAATTATTTATCACTTGGAACAGATTAAGCTTCTTTTCTTGCTGTCTAGTATAATACCCGTCTTTATTGAGGTGGATTTATGAGAGACATGACGAAGAAGTTCCAAGATAAACTTGCTGATGCATCGACAACCGCTGAAGAAACTCTTGGAAATATTCGAACCGTCAAGTCGTTTTCACAAGAACTAAAGGCTTCGAAGATGTACAATAAAGATATTGATAGCAGCTATCATGTTGGATCTCAACTTGCCTTGGTCTATGGTATGCCATTGAAGTTTTAAACGAGTCAATGTAAAATTAGTCTTGGTTATACAGGTTTTTCTATGTAGTATTTGTCTGCGAATTGGGTGAATTAAGAGATGGCTGAATTGTATGAGGAGCTGACTGGATTTTTCAAACTATTTCTGAAAAAAACGATAGATCTATTACGCTATGATATTTATATGAAATTTTAAAAAATCTTATCAGCACCCTTTCAGGTTACGGTGTACTTTGTTATATGTGACTGTTCATAATCACTCAAAAGTGTTATCTTTCACCCGATACTCATAAAACATTAAGTATGAAATATTCGGTAATTATAAACAGATATTAGAAAATTTTTATCAAGAAGTATATCGAAAGAAACAGAAGTGGAAGAATGTACCTTTGATCGGTTCTGGTTTTTTGACAATCAATAACTGCTAACCCCTCACATAGTTGAAAAGTTAAAGAAATAAATCCTTCACCCTTCAAAAGAGTTCCTTTTTGGTTTTTTGTCAACGAAACGAAATAAGACTTTCCTTCCAGGATAATTTTTTTGGGGGTTGCCGCACTCATTTGAGGATTTTCTCTCGCTTGCCTCCCAAACAAAATGTTGAAATTGTCGTCAAATGTTTCAACTCATGCTAGGCCCTCGAGCGTCTTGGCTCTTGGTGGCCTATGAAAACATTCAAGTTTATTTGGATTTGTTTCTTTTTGGAGCAGTTTTCTGCCTGATGCTCGTGAGAACCTGTTAATTAATTCTTGTTGTTTAGGTTTTTGTTGTGCTAAAAATTGTATCTTTATTTTAGGCTTCTGGAATGCGTTGATGTCCATTTTTGCTCAGGTATTTTACGTCTCGCTTTTTATTTAAGAGATTAAGTCAGTCATTTGAAATGATTATTTTTTGCTTTTTAATGTACTGAGTCTTATTAATGTACTGAGAATATTTGTGATAATTCAATTTTCTGGCAGAGTTTTGAAAAATATGTAAATCTTACCCAAAAATATAAAACTGAGAATGGACATTAACGTTATCTTATTTAATAGCACTAAATTAGCTCTAATCTTCCTGAATATCAAATTATGGCTACAAATGCTTGAATTTATAATCAAGATCGAAAGCACTTTTATTTTTTCCTTTTTGGAGTTTGCCAGTCAAACAATGTTCTAGTTGATGAGATTTTGAGACAATAATACAAAAAATCACACAAAAAGTATAGAAAGAATTTCGAAACATCCGAATTTTCGACATCATGAAATGAAAAGATATGATGTTCAGAACGTTATGTTTTCTTCTGCTACTAGGCAAGCAGGCAAACGTTCTTTTCTTGTATTTTAGGGAGCAATTGCCTTAGTTTTATGGTATGGTGGGAAGCTGGTTCACACTGGAGATATGACTGTTGGGACACTGACATGTTAGTATATGCAAAGTATTTTGCTTTTCAACTCTATTCTTTTATCTTAATTTCACAATTGACTGATTTAGATTAATATTAGATTAGTACCAGCGCGCTATGTTAACACACCCTTGTTTTCTTGTGACGATTGTCTGTCTAATATAATCATATATAGCTTCAAATGGTTATAAGTATTGTTCTAATAATTATTATTTTCCATCAAGATTGCTATCCCTTGATGTTATTTTATTGTACCGAATATAAATCTTGTAAGGGCAACAGACATTCCAGACCAGCACACACATTCTTTCTGGGAATGTCTCAAGTAGTCTATGTTCAGTTGTATATTTCTAGCCAGAAGTCTTATTCTTATTTTCAAAGTCCTAAAATAGTTTGATTGGTGAAATGATTGGTTAATGACTTTAGATCATCTGAGTGTATTATATTTTGAGAAAGTATAATGTTGGTACTACATGTAGGCCGACAGTTCAGAAAAACACGTGACCTTGCTACTCATGTCATGTACAAAGGTTTGTGAAAACGAGATGAAAAAGTAGGTTTCTAGAAAATCTGGCAAATTTTGGCCCTTGATTTGAGCAGATTCAATGAAACAGTACCAGGCCTTTATTTTGTTGCCAAAAACGTTGTAATATGACTTGCTTTGCCTGAGTCTTGAGCCGCCTTTTCTGTCATGTTGAAAACCATTAGTAACTATGCTGTTGGCTGCGTAAATGTTTGGAAATATTGGTGTTGCAACTGATGTTAAAGCAACGAAAGACGATGTCCTTGGTCATAGCTCATTTTAAGAAAAATAAGGAACTGCAATCATGCGTTTGGCCTCAAGGCATTGTTTTGACTTATCAAACTAGACTAAAAGCAACATCTCTCTAAATTGTCTTATACTGTCAGGTTTGAAAGAGATAAATAATATAGTGCTGGATACACAGACAAGGTTTAATAATGTCATGATGCTATCTCATATATAATAAGGAAAAAATTTGGTAATAATATTGACGATAAGAATAATCAAAAGCGTTTTTAATAGAACAACATCGCAATAGGAGCTCAAAAGGAATCATATTTATAAGCAAGAAGATTTGTATTTGTTTCTGTAAAGGATTTTTAAGTTACATAGTATATGATAAAGAAGCAAGCTGTGTGCTCTATTAATGTAATCAAAGCAAAGAGCATTGGCTTGCACATTGTTTTCTGAAGTATTATTGGTGAATAGTGACTATGGTATATAAATTAATGTTAGGTTACATTTTGTATTTTTTTAGCATTCATGCTCTATACCCTAAACGTTGCTATGGCATTCGCATTCCTATCTTCTTTATACGGAGATTTCATGAAGGTAAATGGCTATATCATATTCTAATTCTCTTCTTTAATTATGCTACATTTGTGTAAGCTGTTGTAGTTTAACTCAGTTCTCATAATTTTAAAAGTATTTTCATCTCCTGCTAAACCTAGTGCATAGCAAAAGCGTATAACAGAATAATACAGTGGAACCTCCATATAACGGACACCAGTGGGACTAATGTTATTGTCCGTTGTAGAGAGGTGTCCGCTGTATGGAGGTGTCATCTTTTTTTAACTTTTGTTTTGGGACTCAAATATCTGTCCGTTGTTTGGAGGTGCCCGTTGTATAGAGGTGTCCGTTGATGGAGGTTCCACTATACAATAACAGCTGCAAAGAAAGTTTTTAAAGATTTGTTTGATGATCATATAAAACTTACCAAAGCAGCACACCAAAGCAGGTAAAGGGCAGTCTATACATAGCACTCAGCATTAGATCTCTTAACATTAGCCTTTTTTATTCCAGTATGTATTAATTATGGAAGCATATTTCGAAGTACTCTCTTTTCTTTTGAGGCTGTTGGTGCATCTACTCGAATATTTGAGTTGTTTGATCGAGACCCAGAAGTGAAATCAGGAGACTATACCTTACCGTCATTGCAAGGAGGTAAACTTATTTTTCCCCATGAATTAACTAAAAGGTATGCTTGAAACTGGTTTAGAAAAATCTTGCATGTAGATAGGACCTTCTTCAGGTTAAAAAACCAAAAGTTTTTTCGAAGCAATTAATTTCTGGTACGTTATCCAGATCTTTATAGTCTCATGTTCTGTTTAGTTTTAATTAAATCAGCAGCAAAATTTGTCCCAGCGAAGTTCATAATTAAATCACAGCAATCTATTCCCTTTTCCATGTTTCTGAGAAGACTTATTAAGATTACTCAATTAGATTTAATTTTCTAAGAAAATTCGGTGATGAAATGATTGAAATTTTAAGCTAGTGCTTGAATCTGTGAAAAAGCTTAAACGATGAGGGCTTTTTTATTGTAATTTTTGAAAGAATATATGTTAAAAATGTCTACGATTTCTTGTAGCTGAAGTATCTTTCAATGGAGTTGTCTTCCGGTACCCAACGAGACCAGATACTGATGTTCTCAAGGTATCATTCTATGATTTGTATTAACCTCTTCTTTTGATATTTGTATCTTAATCATTCAATAGGACCGTAAAACACCAATAGAATTTCATTCAACATCTTTGCCATGGAGAAAAAATAGACAATGATAAACGGTTCCATTAACTGGGACTCACCTCGAGTTGCCCATTATCTTTTGAATTTACCTTGTAAAATCTCATTCAAGCAAAATATTTGATATTTTTCATTTTTTCTGCAGATATTTGTTGTTCTTGTTAAAATGTGTACAAAAAACCCTGAAAGATACTTTCCACTGTAACATTTTTGGAAAATGTTACACGCTTTTTTAAAGACCATTTTTTGCAACTATTCTCACTTGAAATTTTTATGACATGTTCTTCTTAAAATCCTTTATTTTTACTATTAGATAGATAATGTTTTAGCGCAAACCTTATTATAGGAGCCAATTGCAACCTTATATAAGGGCCAATATCTCTTTTTTAGGGTATAACTTTTTCTATAAAACCCGGACAAACTGTTGCTCTCGTGGGACCTTCTGGAGGCGGAAAAAGTACCATAATAAACATGATTGAGAGGTTTTACGATCCAATCGAAGGCCGAATTAATGTTGGTATGTCATAATGTTGGCTCCATTGTCGACACTGCTTCTTTTTTTGCTTCTTCATTCTTCTCTCCTCTTCCTTCCTCTTTTCCTTCTTATTTCTTCTTGTCAACCTCCTTATATCTTCTTCTTCATCTGTTTTTCTTCCTCTGCTCTTTTTTCATATTGTGTCTTTCCTTGTTCTTCATCTTCTTCGTCTACCTACTTCTTCTCCTTTTTCTTTTTTTTATATTTGTCCTTCTTCATATTCTTACTCTTCCTGTTCCTTTTGCATATTCTTCTTCCTCTTTCTTTGGTTTTTCTTTCTTCTTCTATATTTTACTTGTTCCTTTTTTATCTTCTCTTTGCTTCTAAATCTTCACATTTTCTCTTCTTGTTCTTCCTTTGTTTTTATTTTCTTCATTTTTTTCTACTTTTACTTCCTCTTCTTCCTCTTCTTCCTCTTCTTCCTCTTCTTCCTCTTCTTCCTCTTCTTCCTCTTCTTCTTCCTCTTCCTCTTCTTCTTCTGTCTTCTCTTTTTCTTCTTATCCTCTTATCGTCCATTTTCCTCCTCTTCTTGTCTTTGTTCTATATCATATGTTTTTTCCTTTTTCTTCTTCCTCCTCATACTTTATCTTCTTCGCCATTTTCAACTTTTTCCTTTCCTTTTCCTATCTTCTTCTCTTTTCTCTAGCTATTAGGCCGTCTCAGGATCCTGGATCCTCCCTCTCCTGTATTGTCGATCTATTAGTCGACGTACCTTTTATTATCCTTTCTGACTGTTGCCTCCAACAACACTTCTCAAAGTTCTCTTTCCCTATTCTTCTTGTTTCGATTGTATCTCACAACATCTCATCATTATTTATTGCAATGAGTGACTGAACAATAAAGTTGTAGTATGACGAAATATTGATATCTTCTTGTAAATGATGTTATATTAGCTTGTAGAAAATTCAATAAGAATGACAGATCAAGCATGGTCAGCTGTTAATGGACTTGTGAAAGGATTTTTTTTTAACCAACACTGAGTTTTTTTATAATTTTATCTTTGTTTCGTAGGTAACTTAAACCTTTCTCAGGTCAATCTTGACTGGCTTAGAAAAAAGATTTCGATCGTGAGCCAAGAGCCTGTATTGTTTGCAACAACAATTGCCGAGAATATAGCTTACGGCAAAGATGCAACTGAAGAGGAGGTACGTGTTAATCTCTGTATATGTTTTATGCCCCAAGCCTATACCCTGCACCTGGAAGCGTGACTTATGGCTTATAAATACATTACCTATTTTAAGTGAGATCTGTGAAGTATTACAACGTGATTCTATGAGGAAAACACGTAAACAAACCCAGGAAAAATTTGAGAGTGTCATCCTTCCGAACTGTTGTGTTGATTCTATGCTTGTTGCAGCACAAGTTTCAGACAATTAAATGAAAACTTTGAATGCCTTAATTTTTTTCTTATAGACGTAAATTAGGTTTTTGAAAGGTGAATAAACATAACCCAAAGTAGTTTTTTTCGCAATTACTAACATTTCATTGTATTATTCACTCAGATTATTGAAGCTGCCAAGCAAGCAAATGCCCACACTTTTATATCAGCGTTCGAGGTAAGTGGGAGTTGGTTGATCAAAGCAATAAATATTTTTTTAAGCAAAGGCTTTGTTCAATTAATGCTACCTGGGCTATTATCAAGGCCAAACCTGTTATTGCATTAGTACTTAAAAGGTACTGGTCCGACCGAGTAACTACGTATTGGTCCGACAGTGTAACTATGTATTGGTCCGACCGAGTAACTACGTATTGGTCCGACAGTGTAACTATGTATTGGTCCGACCGAGTAACTACGTATTGATCCGACAGTGTAACTATGTATTGGTCTGACCGAGTATTTACGTATTGGTCGGAAACAGTGCTCTCTTTTTTAACAGGAGAAAGGGTTTTAAAGGAAACCATCATGAGGGTCATATGAATAGTCTTCATGAGCATCTGATGTCATAAAACTGACAAGAGGCATTTACTGCGCAATTTTCAACTGTGTTTGTAACTGATTTGAGCTGAAAAGAGCTTAACTTTAAATTCGGCTCATGCTTAGTTGTCCAACTGCTAGTTGACGGGCTTTTATTGGTCAACAGGTTAATACATGTTGCATATACCGTACAGGTTTGTGATAGCTTTCAATTGCAATGCCAGCCAATTATTATTAACTTTAATAATGAGCACAGAGTGTATTTACAATAATGTCATAGCTACCAGCGCATATCATTGGATATGTCAAGAGTGTATACGCTGTTGATGAGTCGTTTCAAGGGCTTGTATTCCTTCCCTGGTCCTGTTAACAACAGTTTCATTTATAAGTGAGAAAAGTGATCTTGAAATTATCTTTAAATCGTCAGAGATACGTGAAGCAATTGCTCTGATTATTGGTGACCAGTATCTATGATTTATCGTTTCAAGCAATGTACAAACTGTTTACTCCGATTTTAACGGTCATTTATAAAAGAGAAACTACTGATTACTATTTCTTTCATAAATTATGACCCAGCTTGCATGTGTGATCCTATTATTTTGTTAACTAAATGATGTTTATGGACAACTAACGTGATCTTCTTGGCCATCATTATGTATATCCGTTGTCAGTTGGATGTGCTGTTAACCTTTAACTTCTTCATCTGGTGTAGTGCGTCTCTTTAGGTGATCTTGGTTGAGGCTATTAAATCAAACTGTGAAACAGGGATTGCCGTCTATTTTGACGGGAACCAGCTTGTGGTTTTGTCTTCTCACGAAACAAGTCAATACCACGTGATATTTAGCCTCCTTTTGCTCACCTGGCGCTCTGGTATGCAAGCTCTCATGATAATTCAGGCCAGGTGACCTTGCTGCAAACCTATGTTGACAGACGAAAAGAGCAGTTCTCCTTCCCTCTTCACTGCTATATTAGCATTCCTCACAAGTATTTTTGTGTTAGAATAAAATAGTTTCTTGTAGGCTAGGCTCCTTATTTGCAAAAGAGTTGGTTTGAGCACTACAACCGGCTGGCATCTAATTTTTTTCTGTATGAGCTTTGTAAATGATACAAAAATATGGCTTCTAGCAGTGTTCTGTATGAGCTTTGTAGATTTCTAGCACAGCAATTTCTGAGATCAGCTGGACTCGTTGTGTTAGATTTTGTATCCTTCTGGTTTTTATAAAGGAGGGAGGAAGGGAATGCAGAAAAAGTGGCACAGAGGCAATTTAACGGAATATAAAAAGTATAACGCCAATTGCTCGTTGTTTCAAATAATTTTGGTAGGCAGTGTACTCTCGAGAAAAAGATTGAACCCGCCACTTGAAGATTCTCACGGCTTTATTGCAATTTAATAGCAACACGATTTGTGTCAAAATACATTTTTGTTTTCGGATCAGCAAGAGTGCGATTTAATTGTTCTGGTGGTGTGAATTTGGTTATGGCGTGATTGTAAACAGGATCAGAATAAATAAATTTATTAGTCATTCTTTCTGTTTGTTTATTTTGGTTTGGCCAGATCTGCAGTACAGATGTATCTGCGCGAAATCCTGCTGCTAAAGACCACAAAATATATGAAAGCCCAGATGACGTCATGGGAATGGAAAATTTTCTCAGTCAGGGGAAAATCACTTCGATTTCTCGTGGTTTTTCCTTTTTAGAATGACAATAAATGGGTCTAGGGAAAGCAAATTTGATAAACATCGGAATTATACAGTTTTTGACGTTTTTGCCTTTTTTTGTGATTAAATTTGTAAGTCAGAAATTTTGCTGAGCCCAATAATTTCTATCATTTTGGATTAGAATCCATAAAATTGAGACTTCATTAGGTCTGAGTTTTTGTCAAAATTGGCATCAAAATACAATGGTTTGTTAGCACCTGGTGCTGACTGATTTTCTAATGTTAATTAATTGGCTAAAAATAGTACTTATGGTTCAGGAGAAGGAATGTAACTCCGTATTTTAAATATCATATCTGAAGAAATTGTCATTTTTGGAAGTTACCCGCAGCTGAATTTCTCTAATTTAGAACTTTATTTTCAATTTGAATTCTAAAATTGGTTAACTTTACGAAATAGCTTTTGCAGATATTTTTGATATACCCATGGGTGAACTCAATTCTTCAATGCTCCTCCGGTGTTCGGTGTACGAGGTTGTTAACAGAACGAGGTTGATTTGTCAAATTCTAATGTAATCACGACAAAAAGGAAATCTAGTTTTATTAGGAAATTTGTATCATACTACACAGCTTCATAACTGCGCCATAAGAAAAATCACTTTACAGCTTCCTGATAATACATTTTGTTCGAAGGTCTTCAGAGTTTAAATTTTCAGATATTTAGCCCCGTATCAACACAGACAATTCGTGGCGCATTTGGTAGTTTTATTCTTAAACCTAATACAGATAAACTGGATCTCTATGGTAACGCAATCTGATTGGCTAGACTGGTCGCATTGTAACCAATCAGATGACAGAGTATGGTCAACTTAGTTAAACTGAGTCTGCGTTTTCTGACTAGTCCGTCTCAAGTGCGTATTTGACATCTAATGCTACGGTAACTTGAATTCTCTGAGATTGTGGTGAAATCTTCTACACTTTGTACCCTAGTCACCTTCATTGAGGTTACCAATTGAAAGGCTATCGCTGTTATATCTTTCTTGATGGCTAATGTCTATTATACCCTTCTATGTGTCCTGTGTCAGTCAGTGACGTTGGTGTTATTTTTGCAAACTAATCGCCACCTTGCCATATCGAGTTTTGTGTCACTGTATCCGATTAGGCTTGTTTTCCTTAAGGTCTTTGGAATGGAACACGTTTGATCTAATTACAAATAGGAAAGTCATTTGCCTAGAGCTTTAGGTTAATTAGATAACCATTTGGCCACTAAACAACCTTAAATTGTATCTTATTATGAAACATTTGTAAACGTATGTTTGTAAACGTTTGTAAACATTCAACAGCCATGAAAGTTTAGAAGATACTTTTCAGTAAGTTTTAAGTATCTTCGTCTCTACAAATTATCTTCAAATGGGTCACTGTTCTGTTTATCACCTCCCCCCACTGTCCTTTCTTGTTACCCTTTACTTTTCATTTTATGCGCACTTTTTCAAAAGAACACGGAATTTTTAGCTAGATTCTAATTTCATTTTTTTTATACTTAAAATTTATTAATAGTTTTTGACTTAAAAGAGCTAACTTTAATTAAAACATTAACGTAGCATAAGAGCTCTTCTTTCTATCATATATTCCGATTGGTCAGAAAATAGTAGCGCAATTTTTTGGCCATTTTATTGCTCAATTTCTTATATAGATGTTTCCTTGTAGAATTTGGTGTATTAGCTGTAGTTTCTGTAACAGTGTACACTTTAGCCAGCTTGGCAAGGCCGCCTTGTCGGTTTGACCTGTTGATCACCCTTCTCTGGAGTTTGATATCATAATTATAAAACGTAAATGGCCCTCAGAGTTTTCACACCAAAGCCTCAATCTCGTTTGGCTTTGAGGTTTCAATTTACTAATCGATACATAATCCAAAAATGCTCTAATATTGGATTGCAAAACTGACTGTGCTACCAACAAGCCCCGACCTGGATAGGAACCGTCTATTAACGGTGTTGGCAAGACTGCCGGATGTGATTGCAAGTTTCACGTGTCGAATTTTATCTACTGCCATCATTATTATCTTTGCAATGCAACTTATCATTTTTTAATATATATATATGGGATCCAGAATATTTTCGTTCTTTAGCCAATCAGGGCCGCCGGACCCGGGAGGGGGGGGGGCACGGTGGGAAAGCCCCGACTAAACAAGGCGTTGCTCCAGTGATTCTCAATTTCTAACAAACATCTACTGCAAAAGAGAATGTCTTTTTGGCGAGAAAAATTTCCTCAGTGTGTCGCCAGTTGTTTCTCATCCTGTTTGACACCGTATTCTCTCTAATGAACGCCGGGGTCACTCATTTTATTCTTGGCCTCAGAGAGAGGGGGTGCTCAATAGAGAGGGGTGCTCATTGGAGACGGGTGCTCATTGGAGAGGGGTGCTCATTAGAGAGGGGCGCTCATTGAAGATAGATGGATCTCCACGAGTTTTGAATTCAAACGATCATTGTTTTTACAAAAATTAATATTGAATTTGCATCACACTTGAAAAAGGAAAAAAAAATCACAAGATGTCAATTTCTTCCGAGTCGGAACCCTCGTCGATTTGCATAAACACGGGCATAGCATCTTGAACATCTGATTTTGCTGAAAAAGGAAGCAGTCATTAGAGGGAATACGGTAGGTCGACCAGCGTACTACTACGCGGTGTATATAATCTCGGAAAATTCAATTGATCTAAAGATAACAATTTAGCTGTTTATTTTTCGTCCGAAAATACCAAGTGCTCACTGCTACCATGTTTTTAGTTTAGGTGCATCATTTTGCCATGCTCTGTGTACTGGTGCACTACCCTCACAAAGAACAAATTTTTTTGAACTTCCTATGTAGAGCAGACTTCTTCTATTTTATAAGAAGGTCTCTATAATTGTAGTGCACCATTTTGTAGGAGGTATATAGACCAGCACCCATTTCGTTTCTGCAGTCATGAATACGGATCCTGACATGGGATGTGTAAAGTTGAAAGGTATCTTTCTAGATAGCAATTACCAATGTGCTGGGTAGTATTGGTGCATAATTTTTTTGCAGTCGATTCACTTCATTGCGTCGGAACCGCCATTGACAGTTGGTAGCTGATTGATAAGGGTTGGCTGCTTCGCAATATTGTAATCTTATGTGGTGGTGCCATTGCAGCCACTGTCAATGAAGTTTTATGTTAATTTTGCAGAGCTGGTCAATGTTTTATACCAAACTGTTGTTCGTATTGCAGTTTTGGGCGTATTTCAACTATTTTAGGAGAGATTGGTTCACGGATATTTCCTGATACAGTTAAAGTGATCATCAGTGTGTCAGGGCAGTTTTTGCCACAGCTTAATTAGAGGTGTAAAGGCTTCTACTTGTGGGTGGGCCTAGGATCTTCCTAGATTTGCAGTCTGCCAAAATGTATACGAAATATTTTCTTATTTATAAAAGGGCCATCGGTTAGAATGGCAAGATCTTGGATGAATCCCTTTAAGAAGGCAGAGAGTTATACTATTTTTGTTTATTTAGAATAGACTGAATTGCATTTAAACTATGTTAAATTTTGAATGTGACGGTAGGATGTGGTTTTGTCCCCGGCTTACCGAAGGCTGTACCAGGATTTGCCTAAGTCGACACCGATCTGTTCTATTTAACTGGCTACACTATATTCTAGTCTAAGTAAACACAGGAACTTGTAAAACTATAACTTGAGGTGCACGACGAGATAAGCAGTTTGGAAAAGTGTAATCAAGAACTTACCAAATTATTTATCTGATACCTATGAGATATTGCCTGTTTCTAATTGATATCATTGTAGGGGATAACTACTCGTAACGTCAGAAGATTTTATGACGTTTTGAAATTATGAGTGCTACACGAACTATCATGAAGATAGAAAGGGGAACTTATTTCTGTCAACCAGTTTTTTTAAGGCATCGGCAATAACCATGCCAATTATTGGAAGCTTTAAGTACAAGATCAAACAGGGACGTCGGATCACGTTTTTGAGTGGTGGAGTGGGGGGGGGGGGATGGTGTGGCTCTTGGGAAATAAAAAACTTTTATGGTAGTTGTCCCGCATTATCTGTCTATCATAGTTTGGCCTGCCTCTCACACAGTGATTATGAAGTATTTTTCACGTTATTAGAAACAAACATTCTGCTTTGAAAACCAATAGAGGTCATTTCCTTACTTTAAAGAAATCATACAGTGCTAACAGAAAAGAAACATGTTACATAGTGAGTTCTCTGTTCCATTAGGTTTTTAATTGCAACATATTAATGGCAATCTGTCTCGTTGTGGATTGGTTAACGAGAACAATAGCTGGAACAATAGCCTAAACACGATTCCAGCGCTCTGCCATATTTTTTACAATGCGATAAATTAAAGGGGTACTGGAAACAATAAAAAAACCCTTGTTCTAATAATCAATCAACGTCGTGACAGATTGCCTTAAAGTTTCTACTAAATTTCTACTAAAGTTTCTTTGTTTTTTTTAAAAAATTTTCAATGCTTGCGCAACTTTATGGTTGTATTATTTTCATTATCCACGCTCGTATCTCAGCAGGCCCAAAAGAAATGTATCTCAGCTTTTTTTTGTAAAAGTATATCAATTTTTAATGAAATCTATTAACGACTCGATTAACTGCTTGTCCAAAATTTAACTTCCATTTAGATGGAAATCTATTCATTTTTTCCTTTCTTGTCACAGTTATGAAGGACTACTGCTAAAATGATGGGGATTAATTTTGTATAGGCGGATTACTCACAGCCATTCAAATAAATATCATTGATATAGGAAACATATTCTATGAAAAAAGAAAGAATATTTCTTTAAGAGTGAAAAAGCTCTTTTGAAAGTTTTTAGGCCAAATAAAGCTGCTGGATTCATATGTCACAGAATGCCATATCTTTTGATTAAAATTTGCCTGGAAACTAGACTTGTAGCCTATAAATACGCAATTACACTATCTTCATTGTTTTAACACAACGTAGCTAGGCTCTTTTTAGCAAAAAATTGATAAGGAGGACAATAGGATGATGTTTTTATACAGAAGCAATACCCTAAACTGAAACATCTTTTTACGACTTTTAAAGAATATAAAAAAATTTATGGCCTTTTCAACGAGGTTTTAAACCAAGAAAAGCAGACAGTCATAAGAAGTGATTCTGGTGTAGCAGCCATACCTCAAAGTAACAAGCTGATAAAACATCTTTGTGTATAGAAATGTAAGATCAAATTTATCAGAAGCAAACACACTTTTTATAGCATTTTATAACTTTCTCATACCTATCAGATTTCGCTTCTTTTTTTCATAAGTGTTGATTGTTAATTTTTTTTCAACTTCAATTTCAATTGCCTATGCGTATGTAGTGAGACCTATAAACAGAACGAGAAACTGGTTAATTTGGCAAGATCAATTCCTGTGTTGGAAATTTAAGCTTTTTGTTGTTGACTGGTTAGACAACAAAACTGATAGGGGGTTAGATAATAGAGTTAGATAATTCTGTGTCATTCTCGAGTATTTGCTCCTTTGCTGTTTTGCTTCCTGATTGCTTTATTCTTCAATTATATATATTTTGATGGTGTTCGTTATATTTTGTTTAATATCACTAAACATGGGCTCTGACAAAGGTTGAAAAATGGGGGGTCCAAGGGAAAATTTAACACCCATAACAAAAGATTTTGAAAAATACTCAATTGTTTTGCAAGAAAAAGTGGAGGGGCCAAGGCCCCCCCGGCCCCCCCCCCCCTTCGTCGGAGGCCCTGTAAACTCTTGATATATAAAACATGAGTAGCATTTGCAGACTGAAGAGAAAGTGGAGATGTTGTTGGTTGTGCAAGTGTCCTTCTGATTTCTGTTATCTAGTGTTACCCAGAGACAAGGCCCTAGAAGGCCCTAGTAAAATTATGGTCAATTTTTCTAACCAATGAGCCAAAACTTTCCTTATGATACAAAAAGGCGTGGTCAAGGTGTGGTACATTTAATCTTTTATTTGCACTGAACTTCCTTAGGATCATCGGCCGTAAGAAATTGTTCTGACGTCTTAAGTTTACTCGTGTTTTGAAAAATAACAGCATTTTCTATGAAAATAAATATTTTTATGAATCTCAACATGCAAGACTTTATAGGCATTTACAATAGACGTTTTGTAACGCTATGGTTGCTTTTATCAGAGTCCTTCTTACTGAAAACTCAGTAAACAGCAACAATTTTCAGTAAAGGGGGATACCCTAGGATAATTTTGCAAATCGTAACTAAACTTTGTAAATGATTTTGCACTCGTTCTCTGAGTGGGTTAATTTTGGAGGTTTTTTGGTGATTACCGAGTTTGCAAAAACCTATGTGAAATGAGTTGACGACATTAATTAAGTTTCTAGATGATGAGGTCATCAACTTTTTATAGAACTTTTTAATTTCGAGCATATGATTCAAAAGATCACAATAGATTTGTGAATTTAAGTGTGTATTTTTGAAATAGGTGACGATTTGGCCAGCTATTTTTGGTTTATGAATTTTGAAACCAAGATCGGATCACAGTAATGTAAAAGGTGCTCGCTTTTGATGTATTGAAGAGGACGGTCCTTCGAGGTTGCTACTCGGAGCTTCACTCTTGATGCAATCATCAGGCAAAGGGTATCTGTTCTACTAAAAAACAATTAAAGGGCATATGTCGATCCCGTGCTTTGTACTAAATAAATTTTTAAATGTATTGCATTTAGCCAATCAGGTTGACGGCAGATACCCTTTAAAATGTGGCTATTTCTCAGCTTATATTCATGCTCTTAATTGTTTTCATATTTTTTCTTTTCTTTATAACCTCTTTATATTTCTTGGAATAATACGTTAAAGATCTGAAGGTCTATTTCCGTATTCGGCTTTCTATAAGTATTTAAACATAAACCATCAAGGCCATCGTAGTACAGCCTTCACTCATCCAATCCCACAAGGTGACAGTGTGATGTATAGCGCACAACGTGGGCTGTGGAGGCCTTCCCCTTCAAACACTGAGTGACGAATCATTAAATTTCCATGGTCGACTGTTGTTTGAAAATGCTAATCTTTTAATGGGTCATTAAAAACGCCGCATGCACAATGCATTGATAAGAGAGAGAAAAATCGGTACTTCTTCTGGTGAAAAGATTGAAACTAATTGGCTAAGCAATTGACACGGAAATGTTGCTAAATGCACGGTGAGTCTAGCCAGATAAAAGCGAGTTGGCTTGCACTAACGTAGCTAGTTGGCCAGTGGTGTTGCGAAGAGGCTGAGCTCAATTCGCCTGCGCATTGGCCTTAAAAAGGATTTACACGCTTAAAAGATTAACAGATACGAAGCTGGATAGAGGCAAAACATTTCTCTGGCGTTTTTGTGATAAACGGAAGACCTTACGCATTTTTGAGATATTCTGCACGCGTTTTAATCAGTTCCTTTCACGATCGTATGCAAGCATTTGTTTCGCTGCTGCTGTACTGACATGAAATAAGAAGAAAACTCGTATCATCATCTTGAATCAACCTTGCATCTTCAACTGGCATTACGCTGTTTTAGGAAATCGAAGTTGCGAGGGCTGCATACCGTTATCTTCCGTTTTTATCCTGGTCAATTTTCTATAGTGGTTGATGCTGCAAAACATGAGCATCCCGATGGCGAACTATTGAAGGAGATAATTAAAGAACAATTTATTCATTGCAAATATCATAAAAAGAGGATTATTTAATTAATAAATCCGTAGGATACTTACGACAAGTGTGTATTAAAACTAATCTTCCAATTGCTAACTGTTTAATCGACAGTAGGCGATTGTTAGCTGAAAGCGTACGAGAATGAGCAACTTTAGCATTGACGCGCTGCTTGGCAAAGTCACTCTGAATAAAAACAGGCAGAAAGATGGAAAGAGCTGCAATAACGGAAATGATTCTGAGAAACCCTTTGAAAGCATTTATAAACGCAGTCGGCTGTCGATCGAAGAAAACGAAGAACACAGAGGAGACCCGTTACAAGAAGATGACACAGGTTCAAGCTCTGAAAGCGATGTTTTCAGTGACAAAGATTGCGAAACAGTCAAATGTGAGTAGCTCTGTTTTTTTTCAAAACTTTCAATTTTCTATTTTTTTGCACTGTATATCACTGCTGAATTTGGTAGTAAATGATTTTTTCTTTTCGTGATACTTCACTCCTTCGTTTCCCCGTTTAATCAAAGTGTATGTTTTAAACATGTTTTGAAGCGAAGATGGTTCCTTGTTGGCAAGTTTCCTATAGATAGGGACGATTTCAATAAAAGATGCCATTTCAAATTGGGTCCTTAAAAAAACTTGGACGTAGTTTTTTTAAATTTTAAGTCCATGCTGTTTTGAGCGTTATTTATTCTTTATTTTTTTCGATTTTCTTATTTTGCCAGTTTCTAAGTTCTACTTATGACCAGCCCTTTAGGGGCCATTACTTGCTATTGAAGGATTTCAAACACCCATTTGAAAAACGAGAAATTTTGAGCAAGATTCTCAAAATATCAGATTTGTCTACTAACAGATTTTTGTAGGATAAGAGCTGAAGGTGCTGCATGTTAAATGTTAGATACATCTAGAATATTATAGAATGTTAGTGAATAAACCTTCCAGCTCATCATGAAATGCCCCATAGCTCAAGCCAAATCGTATGGGTCCTTTAGATGTGACTGCAACGCATTCCAAAAATGTGTACTTAATAGTTTATGAATATTTTATGAACAGCAAATATAGTGAGTTCTGCAGTTCAGCTTGCAAGTCTTCTTGTTTGGTTATTTTTACCCATAGGCTCAACAAATCACGATGCTGCGAAAATTTCAGTTTTTTCGAGTTACAGTGCACATTTTACTTGCTCCAAATTTACCGTAAACAATAATCGTACTATTTGCCCAGAAAACTTGAAAGTAAAGCTCCCAGAATAACAAAGAGAAATATTGTCAAATGATTAAAAATAATGCTTTCTTAATCGTCGGGTTTGCTATAGAACAGCCCCCAGGAAATTGTTTTTTCTATTTTCATGACTCAATGTACCCATGAAACATAGAAACAGACTACAGTCTTAAATTGGAGACAGCCTAAAATTGTAATACTAAAATTGTAGTATCCAAATGCCTTTAAAGCTGAACCGAGAATATGGATATGTTTAAGGGATATGATGTTTTTAATATTGTTTTATTAGCAATCAAAGCTCAAAACAAGGCTTTCTATTCGGTATTATTTGTCTTGCAATACTCTCTAGTTTAAAGAGCACTGTAGTGAACTTGACATCATAAGAACACTACAATGTCACAACTACATATTTGAACAGCATTGCTTTTGTAAGCAGAAGCACCGGAACATGAATCAACTCCCCCTAGGGCCCTGGATAAGGCCTGAAAAACTGGCTATTTGAATGACTGTTTTGAAAAATTGCATACTATTTTTTATTGTATAATGACACACGCTTTGTGTAATCATCAGATCGAAGCCTAGGAAAAAGTATTTCATATGGTCCTTTAAGGTTTTCATATAGTCCTAAAAGATTTGTGGATCAGCAAACTTCATTTCTGAAGAAATCTATTTTATCTTATATGATGTAAATAAGATATTTTAAAGGTGACATTTCATTTTTAACCGCCTTTTCTAGATAATGTTTGGCTCCCCTTTGCTGCGGTGCTTTATCACCGACTTTCCCAGAATAGTCTCGCGGCTGTAAATTCATTCACCAATACGTTTAATTACTCACCATTACACAATGTGTCATTTCCAAAAAAGATTGATAAAAAACCTTTTTAAGTTAAGTTTGACAAACCATATCTCTATTTAAAGCCCTTTGTTGAAATTGAAGTATGGATAGTTTCATGATTCGTTTTCTTTAGCTAACGATAACGCCAAATTTCCATCGTTATGGTAACATTGGTTATATCCAGTCATAAATGCTTTGTTGATAACATAAACCACAGTTACCCACGGTACCCACGTTGTTCGTCTTCCAAATATATATGTACTTTTGCATGCACCCGCTGCAAAGGTTCACTTTTTGTATCTCATATTACAGTTTATTTTAGTTTAACCTTGGCAGTGGCAACTAGATAGAGGAATACCCCCCAATCTGGATGGAGCTTTCATTATAAAAACCAATGGAAATATAGTCGATAGATAACCTGGTTCTGAGAAGTATTATTTGCGAAGGTTGGAAATGTTTAGCTGATAAATGGTGCTAAAGTAAAATCATTGCTTCAAAAGGCTGACTAATTGCTTTAAACTAGACAATATATATTATGTTCTATTGGTACAATGCCAGGAAGGTGTAATATAATGCTCCACAAGGGTGACTTTTAGTTCATTAACCAATGTATTGAAAATACCTATATATCAGCATCATATAAACGACAACAACTAAACATGAAAACTAATCAAAGCTATCATATCAGTTCAAAGCTTTGTGCCAATATTGCTTTATTTATAAGCTGTCTGTCACAGATTAGAGCCACTGTTACTTGCTAAGTTGCTTTGTTTGTCCCAGTTCATGATCATAGTAAAAAACCTGCAAATTGTTATTGATAAGTTTGTTATAAGTGATAAGATATGACTTTATTTTGCAAAAGAAGTGTTGCAAAACTTGTAAAAAATGTTGCAAGTGATAAAGTTTCAAAACCTTTTTGGAAACTGTAAATGGAAGTGCAAATTATGTTGGTTAATTTCCATAATAACTGCATGATATTTGTTCCGAAATATTTTCGATTGAGCCCAGTAGGCGTTTATTGAAGGGTCAACGTTTAGGGCTGGGCTTATTAAAAGGGAGAGCTTATTCGAGAGGGGAGGGGGGTGGGGGGGGAGGTAGTTGAGACAGTTATAGCTCTTCGAAGGTAATCGAATTGTACTAACTTCAGGAGAAAAGTAAACTTGAAAGTAAATGTTTAAATCAACTAAAAGATTCAAACATTTGTAACACAAAGGGTTTTGTTATGATAAATCCAAGATTGTAAATATGATTAAAAAAATTCCTTTAGAAAAACACCCAAATCTTTGAAAATATATTGTTTCGTAAATTTCTTGGAGTTTAGAGATGTCCAAATAGTGATCAAATCTGTTTCTATTTAGGTCAAGCGGAGAAGCCACTGCCGACTTCATTTTACAAGGGAATACGTTATGATCCGCTGTATCGCGCTGTAGAGAAAGGAAAGGGCCCGGAAGACAGCAGCCCGGACAAAAATCTAAAGACCACGAGAGACCCGGGTACTAAATTGTCGAAACCTCGTCGGATCAGAACTGCTTTTACATACGAGCAGCTGGTTGCCCTTGAGAACAAATTCCGAACAACTAGGTATTTATCTGTTTGCGAAAGATTGAACCTTGCCCTGAGTTTAGGCCTAAGTGAAACTCAAGTCAAAATATGGTTTCAAAATCGAAGAACAAAATGGAAGAAGCAAAATCCGGGCCAAGATGTCAACGGGCCTACCTGCTCGCAATCGGAAATTGGACCAGATACCTTTACTCATTTTTCTCCGCTAAGTCACTTGCCGCCGTTTCTGCACCATCATTACGATCCACACATTCCGCTTCGATACCCCCTTATTGATTGCAGTTACCTTAGTCACCCGTTATCTGTTCCGACGTTTCAAAGAGAATCGTGTAGTTGCATGCATGGTCTTCCAACGCACTGCGAACCCTACTGATTTGAATTTGTATAAATTGTATTGAAATGAAACAGTTATTTGTTATTTTCAGCGAAACCTTTATATACCGTTTGATAGAAGGTGTCCGTTAATACGAGGACGTGTCCGTTTGTCGGAAGTGTCCGCAAATAGGAGATATCCGATGATGGTTACCGTTTTTGAATGTTCACTGTGCATTCAAATACGCACGCCTGGTGACTTCAATTTGGTAGCTTACGGCGTTTTGATCTACTGTATCATATCGACATTCTATAAACTTTATGAATATAATAGATCAATGTGTCTTTGCGTTATATGTAAAAAGCAGTTATCAGCTGACAATTTACTGCGCTACTTGTTGAGCCTGGAAAACAATGATGTGAACATAAACTTCAGGCTTTCAGGTCTCTCTGACATATGTCATTAGAAAAAGCAATATATATAAATGATAAAATTTGTGTATCGAAATGGTTGTGAATACTTTAAATCTATCGAATTTTGTTATTCATGAAGTTTTTAGCGTTTAATTTTGACGGTAATGTTATAAATTCTTTCTGGGTAAGTGATACTGCGCTTGCCAAAATGCTTCTGTGTTGGAGTGAGCTGGTGTTTGTTGTAGAGTATAGATTTGTATCATGCGTTTTCTCAAAGAGTGGTAGTTCATTGACGCACATTGTTTGAAGCAAATATAGAATTGATTATTAATCCCCAAAGAGTGACAGACAATTTGAAAAATTGATTCTAAATCACGAAGAGTGACAGACAATTTTGAATTGCTATTTTTCTTAATGACATGCTTGGATGTGCTTTTGTAGATAGTTTGAATGGAGATCATATTCGTTTTCTGCAGTGTTGTGTCGTTCTTTATATGCAAGCATATGTTGTGTTGATTGGTAATTCTCAACCTCGATGCTATGAGGAGGCCTCGATGCACGATGACCATTATGAAATTGTTTGTCGATTAAGACAGATACGAAATGACGGTGCGATTCTGATCGACTTTCAGCCAGATTCAACTTATTTTGACAGTTAATCTTATCAGTGATCCTCATTGAGAAAGATTCGAAAAGATCATTGCGATGGGGTTCTAATTCACTAATTCATTCACATTCAACGTATTTTGAAATTTGAATTTTTAGGTGATCCTTGTGTGGGAAAAATGGAAAATGATTGTTATCAATGTGATCAATGATCGTAATCAATGTGATCGAGTCGAAAGTGATCGTAATCAATGTGATCGAGTCGAAAATGATCGTAATCAATGTGATCAGATGCTAAATCTGCTTTCGTTCATTTTCAATGATTTTCCCACATATATCTCTTGTGTTAAGATGGCAGGATTCGGGAAAAAAGTATCAAAGAGGAAATCTGAAATTTGATGCCAATTTTTGTGGTGATTTTTTTGTGGTGATTTTTTGTGGTAGCTAACTCCTAAAAAATATTTTTGAATAGGTTTATTCCATTAAACATATTTATATAAAATCCTTTTTAACGTTATCTTTTTCTGTTAATCGTATGTTTGTTCAGTTGATATTTTCTATGTTTGTAGTAACCATTTGTTGGAATTCGTAGCTAATATGGATGTGTACAAATTTTCCTAATAAGTGTACTGAAAATCTTCGTTCGTATCCATCTTTTATACTTCTGCTGTTCATGTGCGTCGTCAAATACCATTTTCACAAAACCAAAATTGAAATTTTCTGCAAACAGCGTAATTTGAAAAAACAGTTTGTTGTTCTAGCTCTAGCTCTATCAGGGCTCTTTGAAATTTTGATTTAGAATTTCTGCTTTTATGTGCAGAAGGGGACAGTAAAAAACAAATACGATGTTTTTGACTCCTTAAAGGAATTTAACACAGGTAAAAGTGGCCACTCAACCACGAGCGAATGACCAATCAAATTGCGCACCGAGAAAAACACGTGAACGGTTTCCGCAGAGTCCAGTGGTTTCAAGTGAGCTGTTTCCAATTCCTCTCTTGTGCGCGTGCTCTGATCAATTTGGCCTAAGTTATTTTTGGATTCGCTCTACTTATGTATGTCAAATGCCCTTAAGACGCACGTTCGACGAATGCCAGTTGACTAGGCACCAAAGTGATTACAAATTATTTCCTATTATCGTCAAAAAGTCTTTTTCGTATGTTTTTGTTATAAATAGCTGTGGTCGTATGAGATCCATTTGTCTGACCGAATTGCAACCCATTCTTCTTTTCCTTTTATGCAGGATCATGTTATATATATAGTTAATTAAATTTAGAGCCCCATCTTTTTATCATAAATAGCCCTATCTTCTTTAAATTTTCATGATCTTATAACTTCTGACAGTTTCTAACTGATTTGTCAACGAGGTGGCATGTTTAACAGTAGGTGTGGTCCTTCAACAGAGCTGCCCAAGGCAGTTAAGCGTATTTCCCTTCTCAACAATAACCTTATCATCTTATTACTTTATTAAGTAAACAGTTGTTCCTGTTTCTTCTTTCTTTCTCTTTTTGTTTATAATCGTTTATCAGGTTTATCCCTATATCTCTATGTGCAACATTCGTGTTATCAAAGATCAATATTTGCAAAATTTAAAGAGAATTCGGTGACCTGAGAGCAGTTATCTTTTGATGGCCTAATTTGATTTCAGTTTTCTGTTCTTTTTTGTTTCTTTGACTACAAATATATCTTTTGGATCGTCCTGTTGTTTTCTTTTATCGTGTGGAATATTTTGGAGCATTCCTTAAGAATTACACGCTCGTTACCAGCAACATGCAATGTAGAAGTGCCTTACTTTGAGCTGTGATTGCTGTGGGCTAGACTTGCCGAGTGATATTATCAAAACCATAGAATGTAAAGCTTCATATTATCAAAAGGATATCTTGCTAACAGTATTATATATTTTCCGCTAGAATTTGGAGGTAGTGAATCTACTACAACAGCCAGCATCCCCATTTTCTTTCAAGGCGGTTTTTCTTTTTCAAAAGCTGTAGAGTAAATTTTCTGTATTTTTGGAGATATGCTCAAATAACCATAACATGCATATTGTCTAAGCACTATCCTCAAAACTAATTATTTGCACAATAATTTGTTATTTGTTTTTAATGAAAGCTTGTTCTGCCTTTAAAGCGTTTTGTCATTTTAGCCTGCCTTGTGACATTGTTCTAGAGATAAGAAAGACACCTGTTTAACTTTTAAGGTTGTTTATTAAATGCTTGCTTCTTTGTTCGAACTGAGCAGCCTTTCCTGTGCTAGATATTTCAATTAGAAATTTACTTTTATTAGCATAAAATCTACAGTCATAAAGACTTACCATAAAAAGGTTCTGGTAATGATTGCTTTAAAAAGAAAGATTCGTGTCTTAGATATCCATTGTTTCTTTGTTAAAACAAAAATCATGACCCCCAACTCTAGTCTAGAATAGAATTTGCGGCGTATCATGGATTGAGATAACATTGTACTAGGCACACTGCTATACTGATGGAGTCTTTATCTCGTTAAAATGCCTAATCTTTCTTATCACTATCTTGTGAAGATAGAATCGTATGCAGCCCAGGTCATATCTTAGGCTCCGTCCTGTTTACAAATGCCTCGAAAAAGAGCATTCATTGGGATGTCGGGGACTTGATTTTTGCAATAGATCTCGTTTCTCCTAGGCCAAGTCGGCAATATCGGGAATGGCTTATAAAAACACATTCACACTAGTCGTATAAAAAAATGAGAGAAGCAGAGTCGTCGTATTTTCCCCTTTCCTTCTCTCCGACAATTACTGCAAATTGTCTTGAAGCACAAATTGCAGTTTTAAAGGTGAATTTCAGCCATAGTTCTTCTTAAAATGATTTAAGTTAACTGCAAAATTTCCAAGTATATAAAAATAGATATTGTTCCATCTAGCTTGAACAGTATTTGCCTGAACTTTCAACAGAGAGAGAGAGAGAGAGAGAGAGAGAGAGAGAGAGAGAGAGAGAGAGAGAGAGCGGGAAGAGGAGTATCTCGGGAAAGGAATGCACAATTTCAATTTACTGATTGATGCTCAAAGTTATTTTCAAAGACATTGTACAAGGCTCCTTGCAGAAGCGATTTTCATAAAGATTACTTTTGGTGCTTGTAAAAGGTTACAACAATGAAAATGTAAACATGAATAAAAAATCAGACGAGAATCCTTTGGCCATTAATAATAAAATCCTACCTCAAATGCAGAATTTTACTCAGGGTATGGAAAATGTTCTGCGACGATTTGCAAGCCTCTCAATGTGGTTGCTGTTGCAATTGTAAGCTCTCATGCTCTCCAGTAACACCATCAGCATACTTCGATTTTTAACATTTAAAAAATATTAAGTGTTGACATTATCACCTCACCCGAATTAATACACAGAAATGGGCCAAAAAAGCAACCAAATGGATCCCAGGGGCTAGTAAAAGAACAAAAAGAAGGCCTAAGCGCAGATGGAGAGATGAAGCCAAACAAAAAGCAAGAAAGGACTGAATGCAAATGGCTCAAAATCGTGGTGAATGGAAGCGTTTATGGAAGCTATCCACCAGCAGTGGCGGGGCCAGCTAAAGGTGATGATGAATAATGATGATGTTGAAGTGTTATAGCATCGCTGTACTGTTGGCAAAAGTACCCAGCTTTTACAAAATGCCAGTTATTGGCACCACCTTGAAGTTGGGTTACGATTAAGATCTTCTTGGTCAAACTGCTTCTCTTAAGCACTGCACACAGATAAATCCCAATAGGTTAATTTGCAGGGACGTGCGAAATTGTCAGAGATCAACCCAAGAGAAGCAGTGCAAAGCCAATGGTAAATGAAGTGTTCTGTATCAAAAAGGATTTCAATATAGTCTTAAAAGAGATCTTGTTCCTGAGCAAATTCTCGATTTAGACATGGATTGAGAGATTAGTAATCTACCACATGTGACAATGGTTTTTGAGCCTAAGAAAAGGACAAACTTTCTCAAGAAAATTACTTACTCTTTTAATATCCAATCACAAAGGCTGTTTGACAAGTTAATACGAGGTTTTCGACTAATTTATTAAAAGAATAGCCACCTGACGACGTGGGAGTCACATTGTTAAACGATCTGGTACTGCATACCGTACCTTTAATTTTTGGATGGTATTTCAAGGGGATGAAATGAATGATAAAGGTTCAGTGCATTGGCTGTCGAAGTAATATTTCTTTTCAATAAGAAATAACTGAAAATATTAGTATAACGCGTAAAGCACAACATAGGGGCATGTTAGGGAATCCGAGTGACAAGTAGCTCCATGGTGGCTTTTAAGAAATCAGAAAGTGAAAGAACCTCCCCTGCTGCTCTAGATCTTGTAGCGTATCACGTGTCTGAAGCAGTCAAGCTATTTATCTTCGTAGCAATGACCCATTTCGTTAGCTACAGTGCTAAGATACACCGTTATCGATTCACTTATCTTAATTTATTGATAACTATGTAATAAAACAAGAGACACAAACCCAAAGCTCTAAACCAGCTCTAAACTGATTCACATCGCCCTCTAAGTGCTTTAAATTAATATTTTAGTACTGCGATGAGTTATCAGATGTTCACTGTGTGTTTAATCTTATTCCGAAAACATTAGCGATAACATTGTATCAACTTTGCTAGTCATAGTGCTGCTCTCGTGACCTACAACGCGAGGAACCTTTCCATGCAGTTGCACAAAAAGACTGGGTATGAACAGAATCTCCTATAGCTTAGTCTCTTTGACCACCTATGAACAGGATCTTCTTTATTTATTGCGACCGCCGGTGCGCAGAATTTTCTCTACACACTGCGACCGTCTATCTTTTAAAGCAGAATCTTCTTTATTAGTTCCGGCCGCCTAACAACAGAATATCCTTACAACGTCCTATATACAGAATCCACTTTGTCTATTTCTACGCCTTTCAACAGAATCGCCTTTTTTACTGCGATCGCCTTTTCTATTTGTGATCGCCTATGAACCGGATCTGTCTATTTATTGCGACCTCCTATGAAGAGAATTCCGTTTAGATTGCTTCTAATTATATGATATTTCTTAAGCATAATGTCTATCAATTTGACCCGTCTGCATTGGTTTTTAACAGCGCCCAAGAACGAATATAATAACTCTCTAAATGCCATATAGACTTGGTGCAACTACACTGCTCAAAGAAAACGCATATTGCAAAGCTTTTTAAAACCGTATTCTGGTTGC